CATATTTGTATGTTCAATTTGAAAGTTTTGGAGGAAATCGTTAGAAGTGTCCATTTAGCCGACTCGTCATTTCATGGTCAATCACGACGGGAAAATATCCATGCCTACGTCCATTGTTTAAAGGTTTGTTGGCTGAATGGCTCAGCGGGGGTTGTCAGAAGATCGTCACGCGTGCCTTGACGGAGGCCCTACAATAGGTAACGACGACGAGTATTTACTTTACACTGCATGAATGTGTATGGTTGGACACAACTAAAATAGTGTGTCGCCCGAGTTTATTTACCTTCGCTTTCCCCGAATTTCCCTCAATCCCCGTGGTTGTTAGTATTTCCAAAATGTGAAACCTTGGGCAATGTATTTATCGTGCATCGTTCAATCCCTCTAGCTCGACATTTACGGGTTAGAAGACTCGTTTGACTCGAGGTGAGAGTTTGTCGTAAATATGTGCAAATCGGACTTGAGTCCTAGCAAACAATTTGAGATTACTTGGTTTTACAGATATTTGAGATGAGATTACAAATAGTGACGACGAGTGTACTGTGCTTGCTATTTTTAATGAGTAAAAATGTACATACAACATTTTCACATAAAGTTATTGAATGTACATAAATATTTGATTTGCCCCTATTTTGCAGTTGAAACACACATGTTACTCGTCAGTTCGTCACTATATATATTCGGATTGAGTGCTGAGCTTAAAATCATTCTACTAACGACGGCTAAACAGACCATTTTTCAAGGCATTAAGGTTCCATTTAGACCTTCATCCTATGATATTGCTATCATCAAACTGTAATCTGAATTCAGACTCTTTTGTTACTTGCTATATATTATATTTTCTCTCCATCCATCATCATTCTCCGCTTCATAAACAAGATGTAATGCATTATACAAAACACAACCCATTTTTCATCGTTTAGCAAGTTTACAACGCTGACATGATTCGAAAATAATAATCGCATCAACCTGCCACACACTGACTCTACACTAATCCTAATCCTCAAAACAAGCTTCATAGTCATCTACCCATGCACAATATATTAGTACATCTAACAGCATCTATGTAGCCTTAAGCTCTAATGACTTTCGCACTAATTATACTTTATCTTGACGCATTCTGTAATTCTCGCTTGGAAAAGTATAAAAATACCCACATAATACATTTGTATGCATAGTTCATCAATGTATAACTACCACTATCGCACACGTTTATTCTTGATTATGCTGTATGTGCGACCCTTACAGTGACCCTTACAGCGTTAATTAATATTGGTATAATGCAAATAAATAAAACGCGAATCACCTGCGGAGGGTGCAGCAACGGCATTGACTCGATTGATTTGATTATAGGAATCACTGAGGCTCTGCTGTTTTGAACTCGATGTTCATTTCACACACTTTCCACATTCAAATTTAAAGTTGAGATCAAAGCGTCTCATGCAAGCAGAGGTTTCGCCTGTTTTGCAGAGCAAAATGCTCTTTTGATGTTGAGTGAGAAGGAAACTTTTCATCTTCTTTTAGTCGAGAAGTCTCTTTGATCGGTGGAGCGGTCTCATCATCTCGGTTTCTGCCTCGCTTGCCAACTTGCCACGCATCACCTATCGACATAAGGTCCGTCCCCCCTCTGATGAAAAAGCTCATTGTCTTATCCTCCACTCATTCCATCCAAATTTTAGAGAGAAAGAGACTGCACGAAAGTTTGAGAGTATAACAAAAGTAAATATCTTTGACTCGGGATTTCTGCACTCTCAGCAATTTTTTTGAAAATAAATTTAAACAATCCCCAGAAAGTTGGAGAGTATAGTCATGCAGCCATCCTCGCTGTGCATATGTATATCCCACTCCCACACACCCACGTCTGAGAATAAGATCCTCCTGTTCTCATATAGTTGCAGGACTTTTGGCATCTACAGGGAAAGTCAAGTGCCCATATTTTCGTGAAAGGTCAAGTAGGTTGTAGTCTTGTCGTGCCTCCTCCACAACCACACCACACCAGGTTCAACTTGAGGGCATAAAAAACCTATGGCGAACTCGGAAAGAGCCCAAGCAAGGTATCGGAAGCGGAGAAAGCGAGGCGAATTTTCCCCAAAGGGCGGAGATGAATAGACTCTCACTCACTCTTCTCACACAAAACAGGCCCACCCCACCATCGCCACTACCAAGTTTTTACAAGATGGAGAGAGATAGAGAGAGATTGAATGGCTGGTCCTGGTTTAATAAAACTTTTGTGCTGGGCTTATGGCTCCCTGGCAAACAAATCCAACGCCGGCATATTTGCTTCCTCCGAAAGAAGAAAGAGCAGAATGGAGGAGACCCTCCTTTCACTTCTTTCTCTCCCAGCAAAGAAAGTGTGTACTGTGAGCTCGGGCATTTGTGTGGCGTCGTGTGTGGAAGAGAGAGGAGAAAAGTCAATAGAAAAAGTTTCCAGTGGAGTAAAAATAAATAAAGGAGAGGATGAAAAACTTCCAAGTGGATGCCGATTTTGTATAGATTACTATACAAAAATTACTATTCCGATCGGAGAAAGGGGTGCAAAGGACAATGCAAATGATAACAATAACAAGGTTCTTCTATCTCCTTATATATTTAATTAGGGGCATGGCACATTTGAATGCTACTCAATCATCCCATCTCCCTAAAATTATTATTGAGCCATAAAACACTTCTTACATTACATATACAATGCAATAAATAATAAAGCACAAATAGAATAAACATACACAAGAACAATTGATTTACATTCTCAAAAAGATAATACCGAATACCGAATAATATAATACCGAATAAAAATAAAAATATAATTGGCGATAATACGATGCTAGTCGATGCATCTATCACGATGAATAATATCAATATCATCATTAACAAGTAATGAACCACACAATTTTACAATCTTACAATTTAAAAGCCATTTAATGACTTTTAAAACTGGATTTTGGAGAGAGTAGTCTTTTTCAGTCTTCTTCAGATGAGGCGGCGCAGGAGGGTTGATCAGACGTGGAACGCACTCTGTCAAACTCCAACTCCAATTATCCAGCAGTAGCGGTCTCATCAAAAAAGTATTGAATGAATCTCTCTTGTCAACAAAAAGAAACTTACCTGATAACAAGAATAAATTGGATTTCCCAAAATCTATGCAAATAATTCAATAATAAAATTGGCACATCACAAAAACATTTATCATCCAAGTAGTCAAACCCCAATTCTTTCAAAGCAGGCGAACATTTTTCTCCTGAAAAGGAAACAACAATAGTGACAACAAGGTAACATAAAAGTAACATAAAAGCGTTGTTAACAAGGGTGTTCGCTGCTATTGGGCAGTAAGGAATAAATGATCGCAGGTTAAATTGAATTTCACCCCGCTCCCAATGTAATCAAGTGGGCACGTGATTTTCGCGCGAAAATATCCTGCGATCATTTATTCCATAATGACCATACCCCGGACAAATATTTTTTTATCCTACCCTACTCGTGTTGAGCTCAACATGAGTAGGGTAGGATAAAAAAATATTTGTCCGGGGTATGATAATGACCAATATGTCTCTCAGTTGCGAAACGCAGCCAAAGTTGCCGTACCGGAACTATGAACTTGGACCCTTGCCGGGCAAAATTCTTAATTTTGGCTGTAGGCACCTGTCTCTGGCTTAATTGACAATTCCTAATAAAATAATACAATTTTGGAGTGTTTAAAACATATTTTTAAACACTAACTGCTATTTTTTTTAAAAAATATTTTTTTCGATTTAAAAAAAAATTGTTCTTAAATTCGAAGTTTATACTTTTTAAACACTACAAAATTGTAGTATTTTATTAAGAATTGTCAATTAAGCCAGAGACAGGTGCCTACAGCCAAAATTATGAATTTTGGCCCGGCAAGGGTTCAAGTTCATAGTTCCGGTACGGCAACCTGGCTGCGTTTCGCAACTGAGAGACATAGCAGCGAACACCCTTGGTTGTTAATATTTTGTTCATTACTCTTTTTTCGTTATCTCTCCTCTACTACCACTATTTGATGATATGATCTACGAAGTGAAGTTACATAGACCTATTTTAGCATGATGTAGCATATAAAATAAATTGATTAAAGTCTATCAATGATTTTAGGAAATCATATCAATTGGATGGAGTTTTGAGTGTGCCGGATGTGGACAGTGATTAGCGGAGAACGGTCGGATTGAAAATGTGCGGCGAAGAATCAAAATGCGATGATTAAAACGTTCATTCCGAGCTACAGATGCGTCGAAATTAGTGGGAGGAACAAAAGATACTACACTTATCGGATTGAAATTATCTACCAAAATGAACATATCTCTTATCTAGATCGCCGATATTCTGATTTTCTCGCCCTTCATAAGGAGGTAGGTTTATTTTATGTAGGCCATTTCAAAATAATACATTGTTATAATTAAAACGTAGATTCGCCGTAAATTTGGAAGTGATACTCCATTCTTTCCTCCAAAGAAAGTACGGAACAACTCGGCGAAAGTTTTGGAATCTCGGAGAACTGGATTAGAAATATATCTACAAACTGTCCTCCACTTTAATCCGCTCCCGAACGAAATACTACGGTTTCTTAATTTGCATCACAATCAACGGTAAGCATGCTGACAGGCTTGTTGACGATGAGTTGAAGTAATTTTATGGGGAATTTATTTTACTTTAATTTTCGAAACTTATTCCTCTTCATATCGTGAGCTAATTCTTAAGGTTGTTGTCTTGCATGGTTGAATAAAACAAATTATTTGGGAAACCATTTTTGACTAGAGTTGGCCTCAAATCTCAGACACTGAGGGCCTCAGTGTTTCTATATTCTCATAGAATCACCGTCTTACGACTATGAATGATGATGAATACACGAAAACCTTTTTTTTTTTACAGATCTATGCAAATTTTATAAGGTGTTTATAGAATATATTTATAGAATAGATTTATAAAATATTTAGGTTCGAGCATAAAGTTGACTCGAGTAGCTTGGAGGACACATATAACTGGGAAAGTGCCATATTGAGCCAACCTGCGGCTGGATTTCTAGAAGATCCGTTCGTGGCTGAAGAATCCGATTCCAGTAGCAATATTTCTGATACGATAACCAGAGGCGTTCTGGACGCTTTGTACAACTGTTAATAGTAATCCGAATATCGATAAAATGGCGTCCCTAGTAAGAAGACAACAGATAACTGTCTTTTGCACAGCTTGGATTAGTTATTCTGTGGTAAGTATGGGTTTAACTTGTTCTTGTTCAACAAATATCTAATGACGGATTAGAGATGCTTTAAAATTTTAGTTTCTAACTGGTATACTATTTTATATGCAGGTATATTTTTTGAGGAAGCCCATAGGGATTATCAAACCAAGTTTAGAGTCTGAATTTCAGTTATCTAAACAAAGCTTGGGATGGTTAGGTAATTCATTTTGTATGGCGTCCTCACGTCACGCTCACCTCAGTTGATAATTGAGTATAGTGTCCAGAAATAGATTTCTCATAACTAACTTTGGATTTCAAATATAGATGTTGCGTTTCTTTTGCCGTATGCTACCATTCAAGTTGTTGGGAGTCAGGTTGGAGACCGATTTGGACCCAGATTGACAGTTGCACTCTGTCTCTCAAGTATGCAATGCAATATATTAATTATTACTTGTGTTGATTTATAATCAGTCTGGTATCACATCATTTTTATTGTTTCAGTCTCAGGAACGGTAATTTGTTCCATATTGTATATGCTTGAACTAGAATTGAAAATATTAATTATGATGATGATAATAGTAGATTTGTATTTCGATAGGCCATGTTCACCTTCGGAATCTGGAGTTCATACATAATGCTTCTAGTCGTTTTGTGTTTCAATGGTTTAGCACAGGGCCCATGTTGGCCGGCATTTTGTAAAGCCGTCTGCGCGTGGTATCCAAATGAGAAACTTAATTCAGTTGTTGGATTCTTGTCCACTTCAGTTTTTGTGGGTGGGGCCCTTGGAACGGCGATAGCTGTCCATCTTCAATCTAGTACGTCATGACTTTCTCAAGCTATTTACGACAAGTTCTTAACGCAAATCTTCATTTGCGTGATTTAACATATGTTTTCAATAAACTCTTAATAATTTTAATTTGCAGTATACGGTTGGCGAATGGTATTTCTGCCTGCTTCACTAGTAGCAGTTGCACTTGGGGTAACTAATTAAATCTATTACATAGGTAGACTTTTCCCAATTTTATCCAAGTGTTTGAACTGACGCAATTGCTTATGACATTATGCATAGCTTGTGAATTACTGCGTTATGCTTACACCTCAAGAGAAACACTTATCAGTTCCTGGCAAAGAGGTCGTCATCAACCCAATTAAAATTGGTGACGACATGCGACACCGTATGACGTGTTGGCAACTTTGGAAAATTCCAGCTGTACCTGAAGTGACGGTAATTTGTTGCATATTGTATATACTAATTAAAACTAGAATGAAATTTTTTATTAATTAAGATCATAATAGTAATTTGGTATGTCAATAGGCAACGGTGCTGTGCCTGAAGGTGGTTCGTTACTGCATGTTTATGTGGTAGGTCATTTAAGCATAGACAATTTTATCTGAAGAAAATATATGGGGTAACAAACTTTATTTTCTATTTAGGCTACCAATGTACCTTGGTAAGAACCACAATATTAGTTAATACCAGGGATAATGCATTATTCCAAGTTGTTCAAAGATGGTGATGTTTTTTATTCGTTGCATAGTTCACTACTTACAGTATTCCGTTGCTCAAGCTGGACTGTAAGTACATAATCCAAAACATTGAAAATAAATATCACAATTATTATCGATTAAGAATTATTGACTTCACTAGATTCTCCACTATTTTTGATGTTGGTGGAAGCATGGGAAGTCCATTATTGGGGCTGATTCTTGACAGAAAATTCAAAAAGAACACATTGCTAGGAATGTGGCTCTGTGTGACCGTGAGCTCAATTAGTATGGCGTTATTCGCAATGACGGCTAGACTGGGGTTTCTTCACAACGCATTGTTCATGTTCATAGCTGGAGCCACAAACGGCGGAGCTGATTCATTGCTAGGTTCAGCTAGAACTAAAATTAATTATGGTTATTATTTACTGAAAATTTGCCTATCACACAGCCGGATCTGTTTCAATGAAAATGGGCGAGGCAAATGGAATGATGTCCGGTGCTGCACTGACTGGTATATATATATATATATTATACGATTACTGGTATTTAAATTTCATCATAACGCGTGGAATACACTAACCTGCTACGTTTGTAGGACTGATAAATGGGGTTGGAACAATGGGCGCAGTTTTGGAAGGTGCGTGCTTATTATCGTTATTATGATTAACAGCGTGATTTGATTTCACTCAAGTGCATTCCACAGGTCCCGTTGTTGGTTTTGTAAGCGACAACTATGGATGGGCAGCAATGCTGCTGATGATGATTTTCCTTTCTGCTTTATCGAGGTATAAGAAAAATTCTGTAAAAATTAAAAATTTGAAGTATACGAAAAATTTAATAGATAATTTGTTTCAGTTTGACGATTTTTCGAGCTATGGTTATTCAGCGAAGAGTGGACCGACTTAGTGGGGGGTCTTATGAAGACAAAGCACCACTTTTAGCATAGTATGCATACACAGTCTCATAAATATTTTAGTTTAAACAATAGTTTAAACTTTAAACTAAACCTTCTATGCCTTGTATGTGTTGTACGCTAAATGATTTTAGTCTATATATTTGTTTTGTGATGTTCCTTCTTGTGGTACTTTGTCGCTACTGATATTTATTATAATTTCCTCAAAAACGATTATGTTGTATTAGACATTTAACTGATAATAATTTGTGCTAGATCATGATAATGTCCTATTAATAGTTAACGATCTTATTTTGTAATCAATTTGTCATTATCGAAAATGCATACCCTTAAAAATTATGGAACGCAGTAAGACACTTTATGAGCAATAGCACCGATGTTTATTTTGATATTTTTTATGATTTAACACGGAAATAAATAATAATAGTCGAACCCATAATTCTAGTAATTATTTATATCTCTAATCCTGTCTTCTGTGTCGTATAACATTTCCTTATTCTCACACAAAAATGACATGCCAAAATTCAATTATCAATCAGGCATGATGCATTCATATGTCCGATACGTTATGGGGACAAGAAAAGTCGTGGAATCATCCAAATCTCACTTTTGTTCAATCTCGTCTCGTCTCATCTTCCTCTCTCAAGTGACGACAAAATCTAGGCTATCGTTTATCATGCTCTATTAATAGTGAGCATATATTTTACACATCTGCCTCAAACAGCATCAGTCAGTCCCTCAATAAACTTGACGTAGTTCTTTCAACGAAGATTTAGCCTTTTATACTCCCGATGCGATGATGACATGTTTAAGTGAAGGGATTGGTGGGGCGATGATAGGAAAACAAGGCAATTCAGTGAGATACCGTTAGGTATTGAGAATCTTTGTAGATCTTTACAAATCAATACATACAAGCACAACATGTTAACGCAATGGTGTTTTAATTCAAATTTCAAATATTTACACCGAAATTCTGGGGAATAACAAAATTTGGTCATAATCAATTTTATATATCATGCATCAATTAGAAACAAACTTTATCCTTAAGTAAATACTTTTAGATTTTCGTTCAAATTCTGGTAAAAGGAAGTACTAACGGGTTGTAAAAAGTTCCTTAAGGAAATAGATGCGTTGATTCATTGCGTTGTTTGCCTAATTCTTCCAAAAGTCTGCAGTTTATTCCCTGTTCATTGACGAAACTTAACGCATGGGGGCTCGTCTGCTATTATTTGAATAAGATTGCATTTGAAGAGAATAAATGATCAAAAGAACCAAGCAGCACACAGGACTCAAATAGCTGACGATGATGACTTTGAAGCTGACAATGCTGATGTACTAACCTAGAAATGTAAAAGAAGTGCGTTTGTGGTTCGTCACTCTACGACGATGAGAAATCCGTCGTGCAGTTGAAGCCTGGTGCAGTCGTCTTTCTTACAAAGTCACCGAGCGATAACAAAAACAACTTAATTATTAATTTCCTTTGGTTGGACTGATACCTTCCCAACTGCCACGGAGGAGTTATATTTGTGAGATTTTATATTTTATATTCCTAGCCGGCCTAATAAGTAAATACATGTCATTCTAATTCGTGCAGATCATTTGTTAGTTGAGATTATCATGACCACAGTCCCTATGGCACACACCACACGGCGACAAACTATACCGTGTAAACTAAACTAAATAAATAAAGACCTCGCTTGCTTAGTTGCTTGTGATTTCGTATCATCATCTAATTTGCTCTCATACGTACAAGTAGAGCTAATGAGCAACCAAGTGTGATAACTGCAGTATTTAGTGCATAATTAATGAGAGCAGTATTTGGAAAACATGATATTAATTGGTTAACTTCCTCCGTGCAAAGTTAGTTTCATTTTTGACATTGACTTTCGACCTAATCTTTAAGGCAAACTCCACCCGCGAGTGTGCATGCAAGTGCACTCACCAAGTGACATCCTATTGCGACTATTGTCGGTGGGAGGATAGGAGATCTAAATCTGGAACGAAATAACAAGGAGACATCCGAGTCCGAGATTTTAACGCCATATGCTAAATGTGAATGAAAACACTCACGTCTGCGTTTTTGAAGTCTATCGATCCACGCGACGTCATTCGCAATTTCATTGCCCACGCAAACCAACATCCATCAGGACAACAACTACTCTTCGACTGAAGTACGACCGCCTAAAAGCCCTCTGCAACTTGGTAGTCCCTCTTTGTGTGGTTTGTGGTCATTGTAGCTGTATTATTTTTAAAAGGTAGTTCAGTTGACACAAGTGCACAGAGATAAATCAACTACATTTCTCTTGCAATAGTATCGCCACTGATTTATTTGCAGTATTCGGATACACAAATCGCATAGCACTACATTATCTTTTTTTGCAACAGATTGACCTTAAAACTGGGTATCTTCCACTGATTCAGATAGTTTAATAAGTAATTTAGTAGCTCATTTCTGCGGAGATATCATTCAAGATGAATATGGGAGCTTATTTTGGGTTGGTTTGCACATTCTTGAGCACAATATCTTTCATCGAAGCATTTGAGAAGCAGTCGTTTCCAATCTTTATGCCAAATGTGCAGCCACAAAAGGTAAACTCGTAACTACAATAAATTTTAAGTTGACTTGGCATGAGAAAATATATAAATGTGAAAAATTCTGTCTTTCAGCCCGAGACCTATTTATGTACCCCCATTCGTGTAGATCCTACAACTAAACATTACATTGGTAAAAAATACGACACTACTTTGATGAAATATGTATAATAGTTTGGAATTTTAATGTTATCTTTAAATCACAGTTGGATTTGAACCAAATGCATCGATGGACGTGGCCCATCACATACTCGTGCGAAAAAACATTATTATTGAATTCAGAGCATTATTATGTTACCAACTAGTTTATATTAGTAGATAAGCATAATCACCTATGAGTATTATTTATTTGCATAATTATTCAGATGTATGGCTGCTCTGTACCTGGACGAAATGAAGAGGTTTGGAACTGTGGCGAAATGGCAGCAGCCCGTCAGCCTGGTAAATAGTTATAATTATTACCTGGTTCAGATGTTCCCTTTGAGTGAAAATAATATATTTTTGATAATTCAATTTAAGGTCTGAAGTCAGCGAGCCCTTGTGCGAAGGGGTCACAAGTGATCTACGCCTGGGCCAGAGACGCCCCAGCTTTAGACCTCCCCGACGGAGTGGCGTTCGAAGTGGGAGGCAATACGGCCATCCAATACATTGTGGTAATAAATTCTAACTAACACATTAAATATATCGTAAAATAAGTTTGAATATCTCAAGTACTTCATTCCTTCATTTATGTGTCCAGCTCCAAGTTCACTACGCGGATGTGTCGTCCTTTGAAGGTAATATCCCAGTTTCTCATAATATAAATGTACTGAGGATGAGACGTGAGCCAGGCGTCTCAGCTTACCTCTTCACGAGCAGTGTTAAATAAGATGATAAATAAGTAAGCAGAAAGAAGTACAGGGAATGCTTCCTATGGGGAAGTTGAGACTTCGAGTCAAACCCATAACTATTATGAGATTAGACCTCAATGGTCATTAAGTATGACTTATAATATATTCTGCTAATTATTGGATATTGCTGTGCAGATGGTAGTACTGACAACTCTGGAATTATCCTACACTATACCGAGACACCGTAAGTGATGCTGTTTATCATGTTTGTAATAGTTTACATTTCTTAAATTTTTCTTGATCAAAACTTTGACATTAGGCAACCTAAAGGTAAGTAACGGGTGATAATTTTCCAAAGAAAGGTAATATTTACTATGTAATTCCAATACTAAATATACAACTTCACTCGGTGAAGCTGCCGGCGTATTTCTTCTTGGAACAAACGGATGGATTCCTCCACTCCAAACAGAATACATGTAAGTATATGTATGTACGGATGCAAATGCTTTTTGCAAATTCTAACAAATTAATTTCACAGGGAATCCGCATGCACCATAAACGAGGATAAAGTCATAAATCCATTTGCGTTTAGGACACATACACATTCACTGGGTAATTACTTTTGACATTGCATTTCCATTACATTATTAGTATAGTGCAGTCAGTTGTTTGACCAGGTATGTTTACTCGGGGTGGCATGAATTGGTAACAAACAAATGACCACTGAATTGAATATAACATAATTTCAGTAGAAGCAAAACATATTACTATATAAAATTCTTGGATAATGAAGAAATTGTGACCACGAACTTGCTGCCCTGTATACTTTTTGAGGTGGTTCTTTTTGAACTAACGGTTTAAAAACTAAATATTTCATTTGCAACTCGACAGGCAAAATTGTATCTGGTTATCGTGTACGAAGAGATCACAAAGGAGTGGATCAATGGACACTCATCGGAAAAAAGAATCCAATGCGACCACAAATGTTTTATCCCGTAGCAAATAATATCACTATTACAAAAGGAGACGTTCTGGTATGTACAAATTTAATTTGGTTAGTAAAACATCTACCTTATCAAACATTTTTGATATTCACAATTGAAAGGCTGCAAGATGTACCATGGTCAGCAATCGAGCGAGGATTACAAAAATTGGGTGAGTGAGAAACATGAAACAGTTTGTTTAGTAAAACGTTGATTTTAATCCAAATTGTTCCAATTGGGTGTGCATCTATATTATGCAGAGCAACGAATGAGGACGAGATGTGCAATTTTTACGTGATGGTAATTTAAGGATATTTTCTTCATTGCTTGTCCAACAGAACATATGAGAAACCATGATGCTTCTAAATAAAATGTGCATTCATGGCTTAATTGTATGAAAATTAACTGAGGTTCGGTTTAACATTTGATGCATTATTGTTATTGTTTTAGTACTGGATGGAGGGGTCGAGCCCACTGAACCAAAAGTACTGCTTCACTATGGGTAAAAAATACGAATATATAAGTGCTTAAAGCAACATTTTTTTTAAAAATTGGTGTCTGCTTAAAAAATCGGCATTTTTACGGTACGTTTACATTTATCTAACTGATTTTGCAGGTCCGCCCTTTTACTACTGGAGTCGTGGGAAGCCCTGGCTGAACAACATTCCCGACAAAGACGCCTCCTCCATCTAATAAAACGGAAAGAAGCCAATCAACGAAGAAATCCGTATTATTTTTTAGAAATAATTTTTGCAGAAGCGTTGTTGCACAAACTTTCGTTACGGGAAGTTGAGTTATTTTTATGTTACACGAATTCTTTCATAGTTTTGTATCATTTCTATTCACAACTTGACTAATCCTGAGTATGCATTCCATATTTATTTTTTTCACCTATTAGGTTTGTAAAAATCTGAAAAACCTGTTTAAAATTTAAAATTTTGTAACAATTGTGTTATTTCTCAATGAGCTGGAAAAAGACTGTATGACGTACTTGTGTTTAAAAATGTAACTTTATTTCTTTGTTAGTAAATTAATTCTGATTGAGTAAGATTAAGGTGTAAAATTATATAAAAAATGCATATAAAAATCAACTCCATATTTCAAAAGTCTGACGATTTAAGCAAATGTCTCCCCTATCAAATATTGTAAATTACACTGTACTAAAAAAATATTTCATCAATTTGATGTACACACGTGTGAAATCTGATTGTGCGTACCTTGTTAAACCTTAAATTGCGTGATTGTTGTTGATGAACATTAATGTGATCTGTCTAAAGAATCCTATTTACCTATATCTTGTCCATATTTTAGTTGTTATTACACATCTTCCATAGCATACGACATATACTAATACTATGTATGTAAATTAGAAAGTATTTTCATGATCGGTGCTCTGATTCAAATTCCACATCGGTAATATATGCCGTTTACATAATACTTAACAATAATTTGAATTACTCCAAGTGCAGATTGCGTGTCATTTTTTTAAATCATTTGTTGTGTTCAAGTCTTTTAGGAAGATTGTAAGTTTACATTATTGGCATTTGATTTATTTTTTATATATCAATTGGTGCAGAATAATCCGTAATAAAATGGTTTGTTTCAATCAGATTCGATTCACACTTCATACCCCAATATTTGGGGTCCAAATGCATATCAAATTTATCTGAAAATTCATTTTTCTCGCACATTTTTTTGTCCTCATATATCGTATTCTATTGGCAAGGAGATTTTGGTACATGGAGGAGGAGGACTGTCGTGGATAAGCATCTCACTTATCACGGTCAAGGTAAGTGACTGGGAGTGAAAGTGGTGTAGCCAACTAGCCAGGGAGAGAAGGAGAAAGTCGTCCCATTAGTAAAGCAGAGGACCAGCAGAGCGTGTGGTGTGTGGTGTGCATGCCGTGTGGACCATTTTCATTTCCAGTCAATCCTCAACGAATGAAGGTTGAATCAAAAAATCAAAAACAACATTCTTCTTCATTACTTACAATATTACAAATTACTAGTTCACTTATCGTAGATAAATTACAAAGTGTTACCCAGCCAGGTGGGATCGAAAGAGAGGTAAGACAATGGTCATAAAATATGGAAAATGAGGCTTATAGTTTATATTTGCTCCAGTGCAGTCGATATATATTTTCCATTATATAAGCGATTGTTAATTAGAAATTACCTGCTTCTGATGTGATGTCAAGTTAAATTATGAATGGTCGCTCTAGAATTATTCCAAAGAGCGTTGTATAGTGCAGATAATACAATTAATTAGGGGATATATTTTTGCATGTGTGAAGGATTTGAAGAAGACACACCCGGATTTTGTTCGACATTTGACTTTTAAGCAGCAAGAAAGATGTCGTCGTCAAATACCCATAAACATCGGTATAAGAACCAGGGTCTTGACTCCCATGAGCTTCGCCGACGACGAGAAGAAGAAGGAATCCAGCTTCGAAAACAGAAACGAGAACAACAACTGTTTAAAAAGAGAAATGTTAACTTGCCCGAAACAAGCCTTAATGAGCTACCGGTTAGTTAATTTAATTAGCATATTACATTTTCTTTGTGAGTAGATGACAACGTTGGCGAATATTTGATAAATTTTCATATTATGATTAGGAGGATCTTTCAGCCGGGGGTTCAGTAATTTCGCAAGAAATCATTCAAGCACTCTTTTCCGAAAATCCCGAGGGTCAACTTGAAGCTACGCAAATGGTTCGAAAACTTTTATCCAGAGAACCAAGTCCACCTATCAATGCGGTTATCCAAACGGGGATCGTCCCAAGATTTGTCGAATTTTTGAAGAACGAATCCAACTGTCAATTACAAGTACGCTGGTCGTTTTTATTATTATAGTTCATTCTATTCCTTGTCCTTCTCGTGCCACCATTTGTTTTTTTTCGCTTTTTGTAATTCATAAATAGTTTTAGTATTTGTATGCTAAAATGTCATGATCAACTTGCATCACAACGAATAATATATAGTCGGTTAAATAGGAATAATAATGATAATAGGGAAGGGAAGGAATGAATGGTAGATAAATTAATTATATAAGTGAATGCATTGAGTATACAAAGTATGTTTGTTTGTAAAAAAAAACAAGTTCGAAGCTGCCTGGGCCTTGACGAATATAGCTTCTGGGACGTCTGAGCAAACGCACATTGTCATTGAGGCTGGGGCTGTACCACTTTTTATTCACCTCTTGGGATCTCAATATGAAGACGTGGCAGAACAAAGTGTGTGGGCGGTCGGAAACATTGCAGGCGACTCATTTCAGTGTCGCGATTACGTCCTTCAACAAGGCGTCCTAACCCCACTCTTGCAGTAAGGTCCCACACAAAACTATATGAATGAATGATTTGTGAATTAAAAAACTTCAGTAGTATACGCACCTGTAATATTTAAATCCTTTAGTAATAGTGTGTGATGATTTTTGTTTGCCTTTTCAGACTTTTGTCAAAATCAAATAAAGTTACAATGACACGGAACGCGGTTTGGGCTCTATCGAATCTTTGTAGAGGAAAAAATCCCCCCGTCGAATTCTCCAAAGTGTGTCCATGTTTGCCAGTTTTGGCGAGGCTATTGTTCCACACGGACGCGGATGTTTTGGGTAAGAACTATCTATTCACAACTAAACGGAATGCGTCGTAACCTCTAGAATTATTTTATTTTACATGAAGCTGATACTTGCTGGGCAATTTCTTATTTGTCGGACGGACCTAACGAAAAGATACAAGCTGTTATTGATTCTGGTGTTTGCAGAAGATTGGTGGAGCTGTTAATGTATGCACACCGTGTTTATAAACAAAACAGAAATATTCAAGTCCCGAATAATGTGTAATTTTTTTTAAATTAAAATTAGGCACCCACAGCAGAACGTGGTATCTGCTGCATTGCGAGCTGTTGGTAACATTGTCACTGGGGATGATTTGCAAACACAAATCATTCTGAATTGCCAAGCACTCCCTTGTCTTTTGCATTTACTGTCATCTACAAAAGAAGATATTAAGAAAGAAGCGTGTTGGACAATTTCAAATATTACTGCTGGAAATCGGCAGCAAATTCAGGTGAGATTTTATATAAGCTACTGAGCTATTTTACTTTAGCATAGGAAAGTTATTATAAATAATAATAATAATTTGAGTCGTCCACAGGCTGTGATTGATGCCAACGTTTTCCCAGTTCTTATCGAAGTAATGAAAGGGGGTGAGTTCAAGACAAGGAAGGAGGCAGCTTGGGCAGTAGTTAATTCAACCACTGGAGGAAGTCCTGATCAAATCCGATATTTGGTCGACCAAGGGTGCGTTTGACGTTTCACGAATTACATATACTTCTGACAAAATGTTTATAAAGCACATTATTTATTTATTAATCAAATAATTTGAAATTATGTGCAAATTTTCAGGTGCATTACTCCCTTATGTGACTTTTTGACAGCAATGGTAATTATATTTTTTATATCTGCAATTTTTTGTTTACTTTATTTCATAAAAACCCAATGAAACCCATAAAACCCATAAAAATACCATTGAAACCACGGATGGATGTGAAAATAACATCCATCAACTTAGATAACTTAGATGACATCCACCAACAAATTCATTTATAATATAATAGTTTAACATCACATAGTTTAACGAATGCTCTTAAATCCAATTAATAATAAGTTTCTCGTAAACCTTCTTCTGAACACCCTCCTTTTTCATCTTATCGGTATCTAAAACCTGTCGCTTCTTCTCCCCAGCCCCTACAGTCTTAAATATCGGAACCATGAAATCCACCTCTGTCGGAACAGTTTTGAGCTTATCTTTCTTTACAACAATCCCTTTACCCGTCATCATAACAATAAAATCTTTAAAAATATCCTCATCCCAGCCATGATCGAAATGGGCAAATTTTTCAGCTAGATTGTAAACATCCTGACCACCGACTGTCTTCATTCCCAACATGTTAGCGACGAGAACCCCCTTGTGGCCTAACGTCTCCACTTCCAGCGACTTTTTCAAACTCTCTTCTGCTGTAAACGTGGTGGGTCGGCTTGAAACACATTGTGTCTGTTCTCGGGGTCGATCCCCGCCATGGTGGTGGATTTAGCGCTTTGGTGACTATAGGATCCTTTAACAACAGACCGACAGGTCTCTGAACGATCTTCCCCGAATCGATAACCACCCTGTTTATTATCCCCCACATACACGTAAGGGAGCTTGCGGTTGAAATTTGTGGGAACAAAAGGTGAATTTTCAAACTTAAGGGAGTTGTTGTCATCCCTAATTTCGAAACCCATGTTGTTTAACGCCAAAGTTTTGTTCACGTCATCCAAGTCTGCAGACTTTGTGTAGATCTCACAATTTATGAACTTGATCTGCTCTGATGGTTTTGCAGCGACAGAGTTGTGAAATGACACCATGATAGACATTAGAATCTGGGGGGAACAAAATGTTATATTTATGTAATAATTGAATTGAGGATTTTTGCAGAAATATCACATACCCCTAAACTTTGAAACTTCCTCACGCTTTCCTCGTTGAGATATTCCCAACGTTTTTCTATTACAAACCACGCAGTAGGAAATTTTGCGAGGTATTGGCCGATTGCCCGACAGTCGTAATGCGGTCCTCGTAGACATAAATTTAATCCGAGATCAGTGAACTTTCCCTTCTTCAAGTTCGGCTGAACGAGGGTCAAGTTCATCTTGTCCAAATTGGCCACGTCCCTAATCATCAAAATCTCCCTTTTTACTATGTTGTGGCTGTAGCAATGTCCATCCAACTATAAATATTATAATTTTATAATTAGAGATGATTTCAACAAAATAATGACAAAATAATGACATACATTAGTCTTCTCAGAACAATTTTCCACCCTGCATTTGGATCCGACAGAGGTATTCCACACAAATTTCACTCCCTCCTTCTTGACTTTATAAAACAATCTCCCATCAACATACTTCACTCCCACTGGTTGATTGTCGTGAAGAAACGTTACACCGGGTGGAGACGCCGCTTTCCATGGGTCACTCTTCTCAAATTTTTTGAAATGTTTATTCCACAATTGCATGAGATTCTTGTACTCGGCAGTTGACTCGACAGTCTCTAAGGTGAACTCAATCAAGGGATATTTCTCCTGAAGGTGGTTAAAAATTGTCACTCGTACTGTGAAGAGGGGAGATTTGGTGAATCGGTTCGGTATGGGCAAAATAGCGGATGAGGAGGGGGTGGGTGGACCTACAATTACTTGTATATATTAATTTGAGGAATTGCATAATCAGAAGAGGATGAGGAAAACAACCATTACCCTCGCTAAACAAATTCTCAAACTCTTCCTGCGAGTTGAGAAATCCAACTTCATTGTCATCACTCAAAATGACCCTGCTTCTCCAATCAACCGAAGTTTCCCGTTGTGGTGGGATGACCTTGGCGTAAGGTTTTGCTTTCTTCACGGGGGGTTGTTCTGCTGGCGAGGGAGGAGGAGAGTCAATTACGGTGCTGCTGGTACAGGCAGTAGTAGTTGAGGTCGAGGGGGTGGCGTTTAGCCGAATCACGAATTTATCCATAATTATAAATGACTATTATATTTTTATGTGGAGAGATAAAATAAGAAACTCCAACAATGTGATTGAGAAAATATGAAAATGTGGAGTTTGTATGAAGTGGGAAAACAGTGAAAGCGGGGTAACTTGACAGTAATAATGATTTATTTTAATCTGTCTGAAAAACAGGATGTGAAAATTATTCAAGTGGCCTTGAATGGTTTAGAAAATATTCTGAAAGTGGGCGAGTCGGATGCACGTGCCACCGGAGCTGTGAACCGATATGCGGTAATGATTGAAGAGTGCTATGGTGAGCGAGTTACACCCAACAACATGCATGGATTACGAAGCATAATTTTAATTCAATTACAAATTGAAATAGGTTTGGATAAAATCGAGTTCCTGCAATCACATGAAAATATGGACATTTATAAAAAAGTTTTTGACATGATTGAACAATACTTTGTAATATTAATAAAATTTAAAAACTTTTGACAGTTGATGAACTTTTATCTTTTAATTCTATGAAATTCTATTTCTCTAGAGTGATGAAGAAGAAGACACAAACGTTGCTCCATCGATCGACCCTGCAGCACCACAGCAGTTTCAGTTCAACCCCCAACAACCGGCTGATTTTAACTTTTAAGGTTAAAGAATGTTAAATGTATAATCTTGACAAGATAATTGATCCATCGTATTAGTATTAATTCAAATTATTGTAATAGAATATATAATGCTCTCCCCTTATTCTATCTTGGGCCAACAGCGAAAACGTTGAAACAATGAAACCTAACTACTAGTGTGTGAATATGTTTTTTCAGCCATATTATGTGAAGATGGTCCAGAGAATGTGGATGTATTGGTCATTCATCTAAAAAATGACAATTACCTACTGCTATTAATATTAAGTGCATGCAACCTCAGAATTTGACTTAAGTTTTACGGATTTGCACGATGAATTGGTATCGTGAAGAATTTAATAACCACAAAATGAACGTAGTTAGTGAGAGTGTGGACGCACATTACATTATTATAATCTCTGAAATCTCTTATTAATATATTGTTTTAAAATTAACTCTAGTCTGTTATGTTCAATTCCGAATATTTTATAAGTTGGTTTCACAGCTGTGTCTTCAATTCATAATCATGGCTTAAGATTAATTAATATCGACCGTCAGTATGAGTTTTATTGACAAATTAGAGGAGACATGAATTAAAAATTGCTTCATCACAATGTGCTGATAAAAAATCGAGTTTGACGTAGGAAACTCGCCCTTATGTAATCTAATAAATATGTAAACATATAAACCCAAAATATAGCACTATGTAGTTATGTTTATTTATTTATTTCCACGTTAGCAGTGGTACATTTATCACAAGTATCTTCGTTATGCTCAGATGGATTATTGGCAACTTCCCTCACGTTAGATGTGCAGTAGGCGTTTGCTTGTGAGCAAGAAACAAAAAAACAATAGAACTCAATGCTGACACTAAAAAGATAACATCAAACCATCGATGGTAGAAATTAAATTGCAAATCTCCTAGCACTTGAGTTACCTGAAAAATATCACATTACCGCATATTAAACCACATTGTCTATAACTGAGAGTATTGGGTAAAATACATTTCTGAAATTGTTCGCTTACGATTACTCTGTACTCTGGTGGCATATTCATTCTCATCAGTAAAACGGACGAAACGAAGTACATCCCCTTAAATAATGGATGATAATAAAATGCATACATAATGTGATACTGAAGATATACGCTTAGAAATTAATGAAATTTACATACCATGATTTGAACTAACACTAGTACAATAACATTTGAGGATTTCGAACTTGATATTGCATAGAAAAACTAGAACCAGATAAATAACACAATTAAATTTGTATTACCTCTCCAAAATTTAGTTTTCCAAGCATGCATCATCTCATTGTGGTCAAATAGTTAATTTATGTGCATACCTTGGTCAGAGTCAACAGTAACCCTCGTATGGAAGTTAAAACGATACACCCGACAAGAATAAACGAAACATGTTGAGACCAAAATTGCACATCCACATCCAGGCCAATCCAATGAACACATATTTCAAGGCCTAGAGAGATTTGAATATTTTTGACTGTTGTTCTAACTATGTGATAATAGATTCAACACTCACCCCGAGTAACTGGATCAACTTTACCGACACGGTTAAGTACAATATTTACGGTGCACTATATAGAAACGAGTACAAGTTAAATTTTTGAAATACTATCATGAAAATAATACATGAGAGGCTCACAATAAAAATTTTCCATATGCAGTACAAAGAAAAGAAATATCCCAGAAAGTTAAAATAAATTCCTTTCCATGTTTTTGACCATTCGACTCTTTCTTGCATATTCCTCAACTCTACAATTTCTAAAAATAAGTGACGGCTTAACTCTTCTAGTGACGATATTTCTTCACGGAGATTATTAAAATCTGCTTCTGTATAGGAATAAATTAGACTTGTTGTAATTTGCAAACATATAAACCCAAAGACGACAGCAATGGTTGATAAAGGAACTAACTATTAGATCGTGTAAGTATGCTCCAAAAACCCCCTTTTGAATTCCCAGAATCTCTGCTACTTAAAGCCAGTCTTCTCTTCTTAACAAGCGTCATGTCTAAGGTCTGAGTAAGTTTCTTTTCAACACTTTGAATGTCACTCGATCTAACAGGTCTATAATACAACTGAATTAAAATACACAAACCTGTATTATATCGAAATACGCAATCTGTTACCTAATAAACAAGGCCATAGAAGTATATGGATAGTTGACAGCACCAAAGCCGGATAGCAGTCCCATTACTGTAATTCCTATAACACCAACACGACTAACAGCTTGTTCCATGGAAAAAGTTTCCCGTTTTGGACTGTGAATTGGAAAGGGGTCTCCCACTTTAATCAGAAACAAGTGAAACATTTGGAATGAAAAAAGTTTGAAGCACATACAAATAAAGTGTTATACCTTTCCAAAATATGTAAATGTATACGAACCAGACTAAGACTGACAGACCACGGTGAACCCCATTCCCACCTAGACCAAAGTGCGTTTTGAATAAAAAAAATCAGATCAGCATTCGAATAGGCAGACAATTCTATATTTATATCAAGCTCACCAATCCTTAGGTTGCTTATCACATAGTACCCAATATAAAATGGAATCAGAGCGATGGTCATGGTCAATATAAAATACAGCGTAATATTCCAGTGCACATATCTGGAGCTGTACATGCAATTTATAATTACTCCACACCATGATAAAGCAATTTAGTTAATTAATAGTCTCACTCTGAATCCAATACTCCCATAATTTCAAAAATAATCAATTCGAACAGTGTACAGGAAAGAGAAAACGTTGTTGAGAAAATTAATTGAATCAGCATATTGTGTACTTCATAGTCTTTAAATAATTGTTTGACAAAGAAAATCCAACCTCCAACGAAGAATATGACCTGCGCAAGTTATTACATACCGTACATTTCCTTACATATATACTTATGATTTCATCTTTAATTTGATTTATTATTACTTGGGACCCCAAGATGATTGCTGTGTCTTCAAAGAACCCCATGTTGTAATTGAAATTTTATTTTGATTTTTTTCCAGTTCTTCTACAAAACATTCATATTGTCAACTATTAATACCACCAATAGTTAACCAACCATAATTTGAACAAGAGCTACCTTTAGCTCACTTCAGTTATCATCGAATTTGAATTACCGGTCAGCTGGCATAGCTGGGTGGAACAACTCATTTTACATGATTATTCTAGCAATTAGTAAGCGCTGATAACTGATGGATGAGGTTGCTGGCAGGGAACTCGAAGTTTGGACTTTATAGTCAATAAATATGTAAATTCTTGGCAAATTACTAACAGTCTCTTCATTAGAAAAAAATAAAAACAAAGTTGTGTTTGTTTTGTGTCAAGTTCACGGGTGAGAGAGAAAAGTTGAATTTGGGAAGAGTGCGGGCGAGTGGTGGGACTAAATCCGGCACTTGACATCAGCACCCAGCAAGCAAAACTGTTTGTTGATGCCTCTTCGCGTCTCTCTCAAAAACTATTCCAAAATAAATATTATTTCGTCGCGCTGTTATTATTTCCAAAACTTGATGTCCAGATTTTTTGGGATAAGACAATCCAGCCAAGGGCAATTCGTTTGAAATATAACATTCATTGAGTAATAACAAGAACAAAGATAATAATACATCAAAAAATCTTGGATAGGAGACAAGACTCTTGTCACAAGAGGTTATTTTTGACACTGTGTTGTTTAGGGAAGGTAAGATTATCTTACCTTATCTGATATCTTACTAAGATATCAGATTGACTGACAAAAATGTTTACTATGTTTAATGCAATGTACATAAAATGTAATTATACAATAAATCTAGCAAAACACAATACAGATACTATAATGTTTGTTTGTGTTGTTTTTTTTTTATTAGGTAATGTCATCTGAAGACAGCTTAAACATGCTTGGTGGACATTCTCTTGCTCAACAACAACCCACCGGTCTCCTTCCACCCCCTCCAACACCCACTCAGCTCGGTTCCGGGGGGACAGGCTCCTCAAATCAAAGCTCTTCTAGCTCCAAACAAGGAGCGTCGTCCTCCGCCACAGTGGTAAGCAATTTCGTCATTATTCATAAGAATAAAATGTGGTGCAAACCTATCCAGTATGACGACATTGTATGTGTCTGTATTTCTAGAAACCAAATTACTCGTTAAAATATACTCTTGCGGGTCACACAAAGGCAGTTTCTTCAGTGAAATTCAGTCCTAATGGGGAGTGGCTAGCATCTAGCTCGGCAGACAAGCTGATAAAAATTTGGGGGGCGTATGATGGTAAATTTGAGAAAACCATATCCGGTCACAAGTTGGGTCTTTCGGATGTAGCCTGGTCTAGCGATTCGAGACTTTTAGTGTCAGCTTCGGACGATAAAACGCTCAAGATATGGGAGTTAAGTTCGGTGAGTAAAGCTATTAAAGTTAATAAAGTCTTGATTTGTTTTAATATTTTAATTTAATTTGATTTATGTATATATTAATATTACATCACGTCATTTTCTGTGCAATAGGGAAAATGTCTCAAAACATTAAAGGGTCACAGTAACTATGTGTTTTGCTGCAACTTCAATCCTCAATCAAACTTGATTGTGTCCGGATCGGTAAGAGTCGCTTTGTAATTAATATGAGTAAAATGCTGAACAGAGACTTTGGAAACAATATTTTAAATAATTCCAGTTTGACGAAAGTGTACGAATTTGGGACGTTAGAACGGGCAAATGTCTAAAAACCCTACCGGCTCATTCCGATCCAGTTTCTGCTGTTCATTTCAACAGGGACGGATCTTTAATTGTGTCTTCCAGTTATGACGGTTTATGGTTTGTGAAATACATTTATGTAGATAAAAATAAATATTGGGTGAACATAACTAAAATAGTTTTTTTAATGTCTATTTAGCCGGATATGGGATACTGCATCTGGACAGTGTTTGAAAACATTAATAGACGACGATAATCCTCCCGTCTCGTTTGTCAAATTTTCCCCAAATGGAAAATATATTTTAGCAGCTACTCTGGACAACACGCTCAAATTGTGGGACTATTCGAAGGGAAAGTGTTTAAAGACCTACACCGGACACAAGAATGAAAAGTATTGCATTTTTGCCAATTTTTCAGTGACGGGGGGAAAGGTATTTAAAAAGACTTTATTATTACGATGCGAGTGATGGCATATAATTTTAATTATGTATATATATTTAATTTGTTTAGTGGATTGTATCCGGATCTGAGGACTGTCTGGTATATATCTGGAACTTACAAACAAAGGAAATCGTCCAAAAGCTTGGTGGTCACACAGGTAACAAATCGTTAATAAATGATTTCTCTTGACAATAACAGATTTGATTACTGTTGATTGATTACATAATACAATTTAATTGACAATTTTTTCAGATGTTGTTCTATGCACTGCTTGTCATCCAACAGAGAATATCATTGCATCTGCTGCCCTCGAAAACGACAAGACAATTAAACTATGGAGAAGCGACACGTGAAGAATTATCTTGTTTGTATCGATATATAAAGTTTTACACTGCAGACATATGTAGTACGTATTCCAGACTGTCAACTGTAGCTAATTACGTCGATGCTAATATTTGAATAACTGTAATGGATTATAACATAACATGACTGGAACATATCTACTTATCAGTTTGTGAACCTATATATTTAAAAATTTTATTATTAGAGGTCAGGGACTCTAAAATTTATTTGAAGCAAAAGTTGACGAGTTGATGAATTTTATTGAATGGAGATAACTGTGCAGTATGTTATATGCTATAAGCGATAAGCTGTGGCCAATTTTGGCTGCGATATCTTGTATTTCCCATGTTGAACAAGTACCTATTTGCCTACATTATTTGTGTACTTGAAATGTAGAAAAATTATTGCAAAAAATACACTAAATAGTGAGTATGTGTTGTGGTGATGGATGTTTTCTACTATACTAATTATATTTTTAATAAAATTATGATATTTATTTATCCTACTGCTATTTAATGAAGCAATTAAAAGTAATTATTTGATCATTTTATTATTTGTGTAGAGTTTTATGTATTTTACAGCTATTAATCAATCTCACTTTACTACTACTAACTACATACATGTGTAACGTGTTGAATACTACTTTACTAAATTGGTCCCTCCGTTACTGAAAACTACTCTTGGATTTATTGGTCCCTTGGATTAATTTGTGTCTTTCCAATAGAGAAGCAAAATTGGTCCCTTTGTTCCCTGATAGTAATTTCCGCATTATATATATTTTACACTACTTACTACGTGGCACTTTGCCCCAAAGTCTACTTTCATTATCGTCTCGTATTAGTCGTATTTCTAATTGTCCAATGAATTTTTTGCCTCGTCATTCTGCTTTCTAGGTCGATTTGGTTTCAAACAGATCAGTTGTAGCATCCTGTATTTCTTTCCATGCAAATTCGACGTCCTTGCTGGTCGTGAAACGAGAGCACACTGCAAAACGGAGAATGTACAATCCATGCAACTTTGAGGGAACAATGTGAATTTTCCCTCGCTCGTTGATGCTCTTCAAAAGCTTTTCATTGTCCTCTTCTGACTTGTTCTGTAACAATCCAATTGCAAATCCAGAATAATATGCAGATTGATGATTTTAACTAAATTTTAAATCTTACGTTCATGCGGAAACAAACCAAGCCCAGCACAACTGGAGCTGATATTTCAAATCGGGCGTCTTGCATTACGAGTTTCTTAAACTCGTGTGACAATGCTATCTGTCCACGAACGTGCTCCTGCAGTTTTTTTGATCCATACGATCTCATCACAAACCACAACTTCAGTGAACGAAATCGTCTTCCCAGAGGGATTTGCCAATGCCGATAATCGGGTGCTTTCCCTTGCATGTCATGCTTCAAGTACAGCGGATCCACATTAAACGCATCCACCAGTTCATTAGCATTTGCTACCCACATTGCTGGAAAAATAATTTTATATGCCGGTTCATATCTTTCGACGGAAGTGTATGCATGCTTAGTATTTATTCGATCTCTTTATATCTTACCAGAACAATCAAAATTGACCAAAAGCCATTTGTGCGGGTTGAAATTGAAAGAGTCAGCTTTGCCAACACCCGTCATAAGATAGCGATATTCTTCGCAAATAAATGCAGATCCTATGACACGAAATATACATAAGAGTGTAACATGCAGTGTAAATTGTGTCCTATTATCTATATACCCGCATAGGCCGCATCAACATGCAACCAAATTTTTTGTTCCACGCAGACGTCTCCAATTTCGTCAAGATTATCGAATGCACAAGAGTTTGTAGTCCCCAAAGTTGCAACCACCTAACATTCCAATTTTAATTCACAATGATTGCAAATGCCGTATGTTCTTGACGACCCATCATAATAAATATATGTAAGGAATTAATGACGAACTCACAAAAAATGGAATTAGCCCTTTAGCTTTGTCCTCCAAGATGGTAGCTTTCAGTACATCCCCTCGCATTGATAGGCTGCCATCAGTTTTCACAATTCTCATCTTGATTCCTCCAAGAAGAGATGCTCTTTCAACGGAAGAATGGGATTGATCTAAAAATTAAACAAAGCCCGTCCTGAGCATAATGAGCATAATAATGAAAAAAAATCAAACAAACCCGAAGTGTATGCAACAAGTCTTCCTAAAAATGTGCTTTCATCATATCCCGAAGTTTTTGCATAGGCTTTCACTGTTCGAGCACGGGCAGACAGTAAAGCCACCAACGTTCCTTCTGAAGCCGTCCCCTGTTCAACAGTGTAACTTATTAGCGTCTAACTTTTGAAATTAATAGAGTGGCAATTGATGAAATGTGGCTAACCTGGATAACACCACCACCTTTGCCATCAGACCCTGATGCCAAGAACTTTGCAGGAAGGTCCAAAAGTTTTCCCAGCCAATCCATCATCACAACCTCCAGCTCCGTGCAGGCTGGACTTGCGATCCAAGTAAATCCAATGCATGCAATTGCCTATTAACAAAAATCAAAAGAAGCAAGCAATGAAATGATGAAGACAAGATGAAGAACGTATGGATACGCAATTATACTATTTAGGACATAAATACCTGAAATAAAAAAAAATATTTGAATTATTTTAAAAATCTTTAGTAGTAATAGAATTAGTACATATAATTTTAGTATATATAATTTGTTTTACCTACCCCAGAAAGCATATCCGCAACTATCGCAGGGTACGAGTTTGCCGTGGGATAATATGCATGAAAATGTGGAGAATGCCAGTGGGTGACTGCAGCATGTATGATAATTAAAAGTCAAAACTAATAAATATACCTGGTCAGGATAAGTATAAGGTCATTTTACCTCCGGGCATTATAACCCTCTCAATGTCCTTCATGATATCCTGCCATTTCTCCCCGTCCTCTGGAGCTTCTTCAGGAATCAGGTCACGAAGATAGCCAGGTTTCACTGTAGGGAGCACTCGCCTAACAAGTAGGATCCCGTCCGTTTAGTTTTTAATGCCCTCGCATCAAAAGAAGTAAGGTAAATATGCAACAATTCTACCTGTCCCTAATGTTTTCCAAGTAGTCCGTGATGTATTTTAACATGGCTTCTCCAAAATCCCGAAACTCGTCAGCCTCCATGTTTCCAAATATGCACGCGAGGTTATCGCTGACCACAGGGTCCGAGTGGGTGGTGGTGCTGCAAGGGGTACGAAGAGATGAAAGTGCTGAAACGCAGTGAAGAAAGGTGTGACCTCCGTCAGCAAAAGTTTCTCGTTTGTGAGACTGTGTGACGAAGTGTGGAAATGTGGCCAGTTAGGAGGATGGATGGGAAAAGTGGAGAAAGTTGGGCAGCGAGACCTGTGGAAATCAGAGATCGTTATTATTGGTTCGCTTGGCTCAAAATCTTGGAGTTCTGCAGTACGAGAGGAAAGTTCAACAGGCAGGCAGGCAGGGAGGATGTTACTACTTTCGAGTGGAGTGTGGGTGGTGGGTGCCGTCTGCATGATAATAAAAGTTACTCCTTTCACCACTCGCTTTCACTCTCTCCTCACTGAATCAATTACTGTTCCGAAGAGACTGAAACAGTATCCAGTCCTCGCACTTGGATATATCGTCCCAAAAAGCACAATCGAGATCAAGTGGTCTACTTTTATAGACTCTTTTCCTTTCTTTAGCAGAGGCTATGGCATTCCCTTTAATGCAGGAGGGTACTAGCATACCCAGTTCTCTCCTTTACTCCATGAGAGATCGAAAGCCTTTTTGACAGACATAAAGATGGTCGAACCCTAAAAATCATGAGCACTCTTATCTAAGAGTCTAGTACGTATTGTGTTGCTTTCTCCTAAAAATACATGTATAGGGAAATGGAAATTGTGTCAGAAGGACAAGTATCACTCTGATGGCCTAATGCATTCGCAATGAAAGTTGCAGGGGTAATGGTTACTCTGGGGTTTGCACATTGTCAAATTAAGTATTATGAATAAATCAATGTTCGAAAAATACATAAGTATGCAATGCCAATTTATGCAATTCTTTAGTAACATATATAAAACCCTACATTTCTTGTATAACTTACCGTAGGAAAATTGTGACAAATTCAATAATGGGAAAACGTATCACTTGACACTCTTCAATTTCTGATCTTCCGTCGACTGAAATCTACTGACAAGTGATGGCATCTCCTCTTGCAGAATCAACATGATGACTTTGTTCTAATTCATCATACATACAAAATACATGCCGGACAAGGACAGCAACTCCAAACAATATTAATAAGATTTGTGCTTAACCGTACTGCTTAATATCTACTTTTAATGCAGCACTTGTTGTTCAAATTTTCTTTTTGTCTCCAACCTGTAAATGACATTGATACTTCAAATCTTAGACACATTGTTCTCGATATATATGCACTTAACAATGCATCATTAGTCGGCTCCAATGATAACACGCTGCCTTGTAGTTCAACTTGTACACATGTATGTCTACGTGAAACTAATTAATTGATCATCGTTAGCATTAAGCAGCCAAATAGCGGAGCTATCAGGGAGAGACTTGTTTTGCAGTCTCTGTGCACCTCTCTAGAGCAGCAATCATAATGATCTCTTGGTCTTTGTTCATCATCATAAACAAGTTATGGTAAATTGCTTGAGCCGCAATATACAAGTTGCCATAAAGTGAGAGCTGTAGAGAGGTTCTTGCCTTGCATTTGTGTTTTTATTCACGAGAAGCGTTTGACTGAGGATTTTTTGCAGGACGCCCTCTCGAAGTACTGCATCCGTGCTTGCTGCGATCCTCGTGAATGTCTAGGTCACAAATAATAGCGTGCGTGGTTCAGTATTGGTGGTGGTGTTGGTTGCAATTTGCAAAGTTATTTATTTATTACGAAAGTTGCGACTCGTAAATAAAATAACCAACATCATCAAAACCACTAAAGTTGTGCATGTAATGTCTTACATTATTTGCTAATGTATTAAATAGTAAGTAATGTCTCCACAGGCGCTGTTCGTAAACTTCGTAACGCTGGCTAACCATAGGAAGATAGGAATTTTTCCCTATCCTGCCCATACTGGCCAGCGTTACGAAGTTTACGAACAGCGCCACAGACCTATGGTTTATATTTTCTTTAATAATTCTTAAAGGTCTGTGTTCTTAAACGATGAAATAATGAGACAATGCAAGCAAGGTGCAAGCAATCCATTCGTTATATTAAACATGTATGTATGTACGTAGCTACTATATGGCATCAAATGTAGATCATGAACATCAGGTCAGATAGGTGCATGGGAAATACAGCTGAATGAGTCAGATAAGGTGATTGGCTTTATTGGTCTACACTCTACAGACAGTTTAAGAAAGTTCAGAAAGATGATAAAACGTGAATAAATCAGCAAAAATATTATATGCATAGATGAGACTTTCCAATTTGAGACTCCAGAACGTCTCATGATGATTTCTCAAAACTATTTCTCGTCTCCATTGTTTATTGAGACGACGGAGTCAAGTCAAATATCAAATCTCATCAACCGAGAAAGCAGTGGTGCTGAGACAGGCCTGACCGAGGGACCGCTATTCTTTGCTTCAATCAAAATTCCTACTCCGCTTGCTTCCAGCTATCATCATCATACTAATAATACCACGGGCTCCACGCGGTCCTGGTGGACTACAAGTCGGATATATCCTCACAATTCACACAGGTAAACTTTTCACAAATTGAGTCATTGTCGACGTCAGAATAAATACAAGTAATTAATTTTCCCTTGTTTCCTAGTTGTTGGTTGGGCAGCTCAGGTGCTTGCGCTAATGATAAGATTGGAGGCACGTTTGGCTTCAATAGGATCGGGAGAAAGACATGATAGTTCTTCAGATTCGGTGGGAGGTGGAAACGGGGTCCAGACCCAGGATAAATCAACAACATCACTTTACATTCGCCGAAATTATTCACTTTACCAACAGTTGACAAACAATGATTTACGCGTGTTGGAGTTGCCGACGTCGCCCGTCGAAAAAAAGACAATTCAAGATCGTTGGACTGCCCTCCCCAGTCCACTACCTCATCCACCACCTTACATTAACAAGTCGGCCGAACCTCAGCACATGCCTCTCCGAATGAAATCGCTACCATCGTTTGGATTCTCCCTAAAAAAATCCCATACTTCAAAAAATGGAAAGGTCCAGAACAAAAATAAAAAACAAAAGCAATGTGATGACAATGTCGAGGCGATCAATGCCAATAATGCTGCTGCGACAGCTATGCTACCTTCAACTAATAGAGGTCGAAAAAGGAAGGATACTGTTGTTGTGACCCCTATGAAAAGCAATTCTGATCAAACCTCCATCACACGATGGGTGGTTGGAGAAGATCACCAAGAAAAAAAAACTAAGAATGATAACGAGGAGGATATTGTTAAAATTGTCGGGCAATCAGTTCAAGTTTCAAATCATAATAATGATGAGGCAACTATTGAAGACCAACAAAGTTCAATTATGGATAAATCATATTCTGCTATGGAAGAGGCAAGTGATCATCATTTCTCGTGTATATAAAGTTTGAAATGTTTATAACAATGTTTTCATTCATTAATTACAGAAAAACAATCAGACAAGAAAAGCTTTACACGAAATTGTAAACGTATTGAATCGTGAATTGATAAACAAGAACGAGCATTACAAAATGCTTCTCGAAATGCAAGCACCACCTGAGAATACTTCCGAGATTCTTCAACTTCTAGGTTATTGTATAGGGAAAACGTCTCGTGGTAAACCTGGTATGGAAATTTTATTCCAATATTTTTGATAATGTAGCTAATTCATCAATTATTTCTAGATCGAGTGAAGAAGCTTGAAAGCCCAACTATAAAGCTAGACAATACTGCTGCTGAGGAGCATCATAATCCTATCACCGAGCTACCATTTCATGATGAACCCAATTTACAATTTTCTCAAAATACTTTTAATCACAGGAGCAATGACACATTGCATTTTGATGTCCTAGATTCCGAACAGCTGTCGTTGGTAAGACTAAATGACAAGACGATAATATATATGCGTCCGGTTTATGACTAAAGTATGTGGTGCTTTCTATCAATGACAGGTGAATTCTAATGACGATCTCACGATGCTTGAAATACTTCGTTGTTTAGACACTCCTTTCTAGTTCCAAACAACCCAAAGGCGACAATTCTTATTTCGTAGTTCAAAAACTACTGCAATTTAATTTATTAGCAAAACATTTTAATTATCAATAGAATTGAACATCATCACTTTTTGTTAAAGCAGAAGAGCATGAATTTCATGGCATGCTGTACGTCAGTCATTTTCCAGAATAAAATAAAAATGCATGAGCGAACAGTGTACGTACGTCATACATAGGATTTAACTTTATATATGTACATAGACAATAGGCAAAATAATTTTTCCTACTTATTCATATTGCGCGATTAGTACCATCATGTATACCCCTGCAAGGAGTGCAATAATTTCTTTAATTGATTGCTTTAATGTTGTTTCTTGAAGCAGTTCAGGAATAACAGAGACAGTAGCGATATAAATAAATCCTCCTGCAGTAAATGGCAGAATCCATGCAACAGCAGCGTCACCTGGTTTTAATAGGAAAACATTTATGCAAATTCCTTCGGAAAAGCAACGGAATATCGGAGAAATTGTCAAAATTTAAACTAACCTCCGCCTTCTGCCATGAGTGACATTACAGTTCCAGAAAGTGCTCCGATAGCAGTGGTAAGTTGCAGAAAAATGGCCTGCACAATCATAAATAGCTCAGAGCATATAGTATAGTGTATATTAATGTTAGCAGTAAAAACGTATCCAAGGTCCATTAGTTACCTTTTTCTTGCTACATCCAGATTGGATGAGGATGGCAAAGTCGCCGATTTCATGGGGCACTTAAAATAAAAAATCGACCGAAAACTTTTACAATAAACCGAATCGTAACACGTGGCGGGCTCCATTACCTTCGTGAAGCAAAATAGTAAAAGTTGTGACCATTCCAACAGATCGTCCTGCGAGATATGATGCGCCAATAGCTAGCCCATCCGTAAAGTTATGAGTAAAGTCTGCTGCCAAGTTGAGATATCCAGCAACCTTAATATCCTCCGTTGGTTGTTTTACAACTAAATGGCAAAAAATATATTTATACCATTTTTTAATACCTTTTAGAACAGCATACTTTTTATATAAATATCACCCCACTTTTTGTTTGGACTTTCCCTTCGTCTTTCTTCTTTCCCTTTGCACTTTCAGATTTCTGTTTATCTTCAGGTTCGGATTTTTTAGGGGTCGAGACAGAATGGCTGTGTCCATGACCCCCTTTCATGATCCGTATGACTTTCTCCACAACAAGGAAAGTTATAATTCCTATCAATACCCACATCCCAACACTAAGGTCATGTGCATGGTAGTCGCCCTGAGCTCCTTCAGCCTTCCCATGAGAGTGACTATGACTATGACTGTGCGAGTGACCATGACCATCATCATCACCCCCTTGGGCCAGTATTGCATGAGGAATCAAATGTAGAAATGCATCACCCAACAAGCCACCCGATGCAAAGCTCAATAAAATTTTGAGAAGGCCCTCTTTTTCTTTAGAATTATCCAGCGGAATCCAGAATAGGATTGCAAATGGGGCTGCACTTATCAATAGTGTTGAAAGAATAGCTTCCATCCACAAGTTTGGGTTGCGTGGTGTATCAACGGGAGGAGTCTTTAGAGTTTCACCTTTATGTTCGTGATCATGATGATGATGGTGGTGATGTTCCTCATGGTCATGAGAGTGATGCTGTTCTTTTTCTTTTAGCTGAAATGACAATCACAATTGTAACCAGATTTTAAAAAAAACATTCAAAATAAATATACAGTATAACAACCATCTTACCACTTGTTCATTAGCCTGCCTGGAATATTTGAACGAAGGGGCCTCTTCATGATCATGTGAATGTCCATGAGCGTCATGTCCGTGATCGTGGGAATGTGAATGTGAACTTGCAAATCCAAAATTGGTTTGGAAGATCCAAAAGAAGAGAAGGACGACGACAACGATATATGCTATTTGTTGAAAGGTTTTCCCAATCCCTCGATCCTGATGAAGCAAAATATTGAATGATTTTCCATCCTCGACTTTCTTGGAAGATTTTGGTGCAGACGCTGGCTGAGGTTTATCCTTGTTGGGGTTCACTTCAATTGTCCGGCTTCGAAGAACTCTAGGCTCGGTACGTTCCATGTTGAATTCTATATTACGCAAGTAAAACATAAAAACTTAACAATTCGCTTTAATTAAATAAAGCAGACTTAAATATTTATTTGTTACCTACTTCAATCTCTTGACGGATTGATTCTGTATGACAACGGAGTCCAGGCAATTGGACACACTCAGATAAGGAAAGGTGGGTTATCTTCAGGTCTCACCTCCACATTGTCAGACAGATACAAAACTGTACACAGTGACGCTACCACGAACTGATTCAATTTGAAGTGAGAGCGTACTGGAATGTACTGTACGACTGTATACTGTATGTGGTGACCAAAGAAAGATAATAAATTGTCACAAAGCGGTGGACTCACAATCTGATTTAATGATTTAACTTTGATTTAATTTAATTGTACTGTGTGGTGATTACTCCCGTGTCAGTAAAACCTGTTCAAAATGCGAAAGTTGTGATGTGGAATCAAGACTTTACACATTTTCGTGGCAGCCAAGGACTGGACACTAATGACAAGCCGGCGTCTCAACTCGCCTCGTTGCCTATATGAAAACCCTATGGTTTTACTTACTCCTACTGCTGTAGACAAGACAAACTATTCTAATAGAAATCTATATGTGGGTCCAATACTGATAACTATGGGTGTATTAATTATGATATGCGACAGGTATAAATAATCCATGATCCAGCAGCAACTATTATCAATCATTTCCATCAAGGATGTAAAATATGCTAGATAACAAACTGAGCTTAAATTAATTGTTAGACTCATAAAATGTGGAATGACCATTTACCAAATACATTATAAATGCAACATGATGATAAGTCGTCTTAGACTTATCATCGTCTTATATATCTTTGCGATTTTCTACATTGAGATTGAAGGGAAAAACAAAGTATTTTTTCATGAAGCTCAGCCTGCCTGGTATAAAATCTAGTGCAAAGTGATTCACTTTAAAGTGAAGAACAATTTATGTCAACATCGATTAAATATATTTTAAATTTATCTATCCAAGTCCTACCACTTCCATACCCACTGACCTGAACAAATAAGATAAGCGTTCTTCACTCAATACAACCGGCAAGTTAATTATCGTTGATTGCGAATGAGCATTGTTTTGTGCAGGTTTGTGTTTTGTGGTTTGGCGGGGAGGCGGAGTTTGGCGTGCTGGCTGGATGCTCCTCTCGCTTCGTCCTCTGCTGCTGCTCTCCCGAGGAAATTTCTCACTTCAACGAAACTCTTCAACGAGGTACGTACGTTCTTCGCTCACTCGCATATTTTATTTTAATTTTCCCATTTTTTTTTGTCCTTCTCCGTCCCCCACATTTCCAGAAAGTCATTAATTACTTTTAAACTCGTGTCACCTCGGTGGACATTCAATTAGCCTATTCCGTCCGTGTTATTACTATTTTGTGGGAGTTAAAATAATAAACTTGTATTTTTTATTCCACAGGAAACTAATGATGCTGTTGGTCTGACTGATTAAACCAGGAAAGAAATTTCAAGTGGATGTTTTCAGAGAGGAGAGGAAACTGATCAATCCATATCCATTGCTGTATTGAAGAAAACGAAATAATTCATCAATCCAAATATTTCTGTTCCTGCTGATGATAGCCGTCATTCGTCCCCTTGTTGAATTCAGAGAAGATTTTTTCTTCAGACCAAGATTTTATTTTCCGTTTCCTAAAAAAATATTCGTGTAGAAAAAAGGTGAATATTTAAGTACGCTAATTTTTATAAGCCACAACTATCACATTGACATTTAAGTAGTTTTAAGTAATCAATCAACAGAAATAATGGTGTGGGGTCATTTCAATGTCTATGTTATATCTTGGGGATTATCAAACGATAGGCAACAATTTCATTTGGATTATGAGTGTACAAAAGTCAAAAAAAGTCGCCTCATTTATATTTCTCATTCATACAAATACGAAAGTCAGTAGAACAGACCCACCCACAGAACAAAATGGCGAACTTCTCGTCCAATAAGTAATTGTATTCATTTGCAAACGAAAGTTTCATTCTCTTCTCGCGTAATTTGCTGGCTCAACGTTAAAAAGGCATTACACAAATGTAGGATGGTTGTATCGTCGTCGGTTCGTCTTCCCCCAAGGAGTGAAAGAATGAACTCGTCCATTGGGAACATGCAGGCATAACAAAAAAATAGCAAGACCAAGTTTCCTCAAGCACCAACCAACACCAAGTCAATACCGCATTTGGTCGTCGTCATCATAGCGAGATAGACCAGTAAGAAGTTGGTCGGTTGTTCAAAATCTATGGATGGAGCGCCAACATCGAGACTTTAATCGATCCAATTTCAAGGGGTTGTGCATGTGTTGCTACTAAATGTTGTATCTGTGATATGTGGCTAGGAAATTGTACGCGAGAGGGTAATTCTCCTATCTGCCTGCACTATTGACTGTCGTACACTATTAATATTTATTAGTATTAATACGTGAAAAAGTAGTTTAATAATAGTATGCATTTTTCCAGGAGCATCTGGTATAATAAACTCCTCTAGATTTTACGGCACGGAACGGGCTTGGATAGTCCCATATTGCCTCATGGCTCATTCTCTTTGTTCATCATGTGGCTTCCATTCTCATAGAATGACATATTACATGAATAGGTGGATATTAGAATTAGTAAATAGTTTCATAAAACATTATAATAGTATTCAATTAATTTCATATGTATGAATAAACCTCATTGCAGCATGTTCATAAATATTTCATATTGATTTTTTTTTATTTCAGAAGTTCTGACCAATTATAGTGATGAATAATAATAGGGAGGATACACACACCCATAAATAAGCAAGTCATCTCCAAAGTGTGTAGTTTTGACGTGATGGTATGCTAAGAATTAAGTATTTCAATAATATTCTGATGATTAATTGTACGAGCAATCTCTATTTTATAATTTTTTTGTTCCATGTTTACAGCCACGCATCGACCCAGAAAGGTTACTTAAGACATTGGCTCCGCTATTAGAACCGGCGTCGGGCGCTATAAAGTCAAATAACGAAGTAGATAAAATTTATGGGTAAGAAAAACTTGTCCACGACTCTTATTACAAATGTTAATAAATATACGTTTTAATTTTCAAGCTTGATGTCGAAATTTTCAAAAAAGTTGGTGAGCAAGTGCACATACATAAACATTCTAAAGGCAACGCCTCTAGAAGTATTAGACTTGTAAGTTTCATGGTTTAAAAACCTTCGTACATAATATTTTGTAACTTTTGTTATGATAATGTAACTGACTAGATGACCATGATTATATATAGATTCCTTCAGCGTGGAGGATGGGACATGGTATTAGGATGGACCTCAGATGCAACATCAAAAAAAAGTTATGACCTGTTGAAGGAAATTTGTGGCCTACTTTTGTACGCACCAGCCACAATTCAACGGTTGAAAGAAAATGAACTGCCAAAAATTGTCAAGTCTATCTCGAAAGATTGCGAGAACGAAGGTATAATAATGATAATAGTCTTTTGGATGTCATGCCGATAATTAATTTTTTCATAAGCACAAGAGACTTATTAATTTATATTATACTTATAATTAATTTACCCTATGTTTTTTAATCTTCAGAAATTCGGGAACTCGCAAAACAAGTAGTTTTAAAGTGGATTGCCGTTGCAAAGCATTTAATTGTTGGAGGTCCTACACATATTATAGGCAGTAATTTTGGAACTGGTTCAACTGCTCACACACATTCGGTTCCCGTACAAAGCTCTTCTGTTACATCAACTAGATCCACTGGTCATGGTGATCATGAAAATCACACAACCACTGCTACTACGACCACCACTAGTACTGGGGGGGATTTAGATATTTCTTCATTTGACATTTCCCAAGCTGAGCTAAATGCGATAATTGAATTTAATCCGGAAGACTTCAACCAAGTTGTTGATCAGCACTTGGATTTATCTGAAGCGATGGCTAGTGGAAATGCTGTAGTACATTCCATTGATAGTGCCAATGTTCTTGTAGATGATTCCGCTGATACGATAAAAATTGAATTGAATAATGCATCTCAGAGCCATACACCTACACTATCAATTAACACGTCGGCAGGACAAAATGTTGTAGTTCGTGTAGATGCTAGCAGTACACCAAAGCAAGAAGAGCCTCCATACTGTATTATGATGAAGGATGGTAAACCATTCCTTGTTAGGCTAAAATTGGCACCACCAAAAGAAACGACAGGATCGCCTAATCAGCTTCGAAACCAACAAGAGATAACGTCCACTTCCACTACTGGAGACCTCTCCCCGCAACAGAAAACGACAGAGGACAAGCAATTAGGACCCGGAGGGACAGGAATGCTGAAAACTTACTCGAAAAGGACGCCTGTGGAGGTTATTGCAGCAATTGCTCAACCTCCCGCTTCTGAACAATCTAGTACTTCTAAATCTAAATCTGGCTCAAAATCAAAGTCAGACTCGAAAGATCCTTCACAAATCAAAAAACAGCGCTCAAGTTCGAAAGGTTCCTCTGCTGCAGCAGCCGCTGCTGCCAAAAAGGCTGCCGATGAAGAAAAACTAAAAGAGCAAATTAGACAGCAAAAAGCAACCTTAAAAAAGAGGTCGAAAGACGCTGCAAAACAGAAGCAACAAGAAAAAGATCAAGAAACCCTGAAAAAGTTAAACTTGAACATGGAGCCGTCTGTAACTGCACCTCCTAACAATTCAAAGATACCAAAGATACCAAAACGTCAATCCAGTTTCGCCGACGCCCTTGGATATTCAGGGGAGTCTGATAAAATAATCAAAAAGAAAACGTCACTGGATCACAATAGCTCATCGGAGAAAATCAGCAACGACTCATCCATTAGCTCTAAAAACACCACCAGTAAACCAGAGTCGTCCATCAATAATGATGCCAACAATAAAGGAAAGGAGAGCAGACGACATCGACCTAAAGTATTTTCATCAAAGAGCAGTAGAGCGGATGATTTATTGAAGGATATGACAGAGACTGTTAAAAGTAGTAGTAAATCCAATAAATCTGAAAGCTCTAATAAAACCACTGAATCATCAGCATCATCGTCTAGTTTAATGGGCGAAAAATCTTCCACTAGCATATCTTCTAAACCAGAAAAAAGACCTTCGATTGATGGCATTGAGAAGCCAGGAGACTCGAAAAAGCCCAAGATTGATAGCAAGCCAGCGAAAGAAAAGAAACCAACGACTCTTTTGAAAGAAAGCAGTCTATTCATGGATGCATTAACTGCCAGTTCTGATACTACAAAGGCATCAAATAAGACTAGAAAACGTCGACTCTCTTCAACCACCAACGACGACAAGCTAGGAAAAAGTGTCATTAATAACAATAGTAGTAATAAAGAAAAAGCAGCAAATTCTAGTCCAACTTTAATTGATCCTCAAGCACCTCCCGTGGTTGTCAAGCCTGTTTTCAACTTTTATAGAGAAACGCTGGAAGACATTGATACTAGGACTGAAGGGAATAAAGCCGCCTCTACTGCTAACCTAAATACTTCTCTGGATGGACAAACAATGGATATCTCAGGCTCAGGAGATGATCTTCAAAATAGTGAAATGGATGATGATGATGATAATAATGATGTCTGCATTGTTATTCCACCTAAACTAGATTCTATTCCTTTGAAAAGTGCCCTTGTAATTCACCGTTCTAGAAATAAGCCTAAAAAGAGTGTCCGATGGAGAGATGATGATGAGTTAACAGATACTCGCACATTCGAGCTAGATGAAGAAGAACGTGTAAATGTGACCAAGCACAAAGATTTCTTGTCGGCAAAGGAGCATGAGAAGGCGGAAGAGAAGGAATACATCGTAAAGAATCTTAAGCAACGAATGTTGAATGAAGATTCTGAAGAAAAGATGCCTTGGAGAAAGCCACTCCTAATTGCCCTCTCCACGGAGGAACCAAAAATTGAAAGCAATCAAAAAGACATTCAAGAAGAAAGAGAACGACTAAATCTGGGCGTTTTCCTTCCTCCTGGCTCCATGTTACCAGATACAGCTTCTGAACCTGACCCATCATCACCAAGCGAAGATGAAAGAATAGAGTCCATGTAAGTGTTTATATTTATTTATAAGACTATCATTACATAAATCAACAAACGTAATTTATTTTTAAAAAAATATTTGACAAAAACTTTATTTATTTTTCACGTAGAACAATCCCAATCGAAGATGTCATGAACGTGACAAAAGTATACGATAATCGTAACATGCCGTGGCCTAAACCCAAACCAGACTTTTCGCATCGAATTGTTCCCAAACCTATGTTGCCTCCAAACAATCATCACCCGTTTGGAATGTCGGCTAGCTTTGGCGATGTCAATTTCCAACAGCAGCCCCCACCTCAAGATCCGCAATCTGTGTTTCCTACCGATTTTGGCAACCCATGGAATATCGGGGGTGCAAACCCAACTTCGCTGATGGGTGCAAATAACATGAATGTGAGTTATATTAAATTTGGAAAGCTTTCTACATCTAAAATTAGTCCTTTTATCTTATTTATAAATTGTTTATAAGAACATGAATTTATGTATGTACCTATATCCTGCAGATGAATGAGATGGTCCGATTTCCCCCTATAAATACAATGACACTGCCCCCTGGATTTCCACCACCGCCCCCAATTGGAAACCCATTTTTTCCACCCCAACAACAGACAAGGATTCCGTTTTCTCAGCAACCTCTAAATGCTCAGTTCCCCAATGTGCCGCCTTCTGTGCAAATGATGTTAAATAACAATATTGGCATTGGAAGAGAACCATTGTCTGCATCGGACAATGGCCATTCAGTACAAAATAATACCTCTGCAGGAGGACTTATTCCTCCTCGTGACTTTGATTTACGACGACAGTTGAGCAGGGATAATCCTGCTGCTCGAGATCAAGACTCTAGGTCAAGAGGTGGTGGTTATGATAGTCGGGGTCGTTCTAGCAGAAATGATTACAGTAGCAGCAGTAGCAGCAGGGGATCAAGGGACCACGATCGAGATAGGGACAGAGATCATAGAAGGTCGCCAAGTCCAAGACGTCGCCGAGAAGACAGAGATAGAGAGCGAGGAAAAGATTACAGAGATCATGATTATCGATCAAGAGGTCGATCAGGTTCGTTTACTTAAACTTTGTGTTTATGTAATTTATTCACAGTTAATTTTTGCCACTTTTCTAGAAAATAAATAAATATTCATTTCGTAATAACACAGGTTCGAAACGAGATATTCCGTGCCGGTTCTTTATGAAAGGGCATTGCAACAGTGGAAGTAGATGCGACTATTCTCATGAATTAAATCAGCCTGATAGATCAGCCACGAGATCTAGTACAAACTCGACGATGACCCGTTCTCCTCCTCCTGCTACTTCTAATACTACTACGAATGACAGCGATAACTGGGAAGACAATGGCCTATTTGAAAGACGTCGCCCCTCCGCTGATGTTCCATCAGAATTCACTGACACGCCGCTTTCCCCAACCAACGATATGATGCCTGACCCATCCCTCCTCCCTGCCAAAATAATACCCGTGGAGTAAGCGGAAATGGAAGCATGAGGCTTCCAATTTACCATGGAATAGTATTTAATAAACATTTATTTTGCAACTTGGATAGATAATAATACATATTTGATGCAAGTGGCAGGAATAATGACACTTTGCATGCAATATAGAGGTATGCATTCACTTGCTAATTTATTATGGTGCGTTAATTACTTTTAAAATAAAAAATATATATATACATAGTTTTGTTCAAGGACAAATGTATAAGTATACCCAAGTAATATGTCACTATAATTTATTATAAAAGTTAATCAGTCATTAATTTATATGCATTAATTTTTAAGGTTAAGTACATATATTGCGGAACATGGTTGTTAGTTAAACAAAACTTTCGAATTGTAAATAATGAATGCAAGTGAATCAGTTTTAGCCTGGTTGATGTTCACAAAAGATCACTTATTTCCTTCTTCTACCTTATTATCTATATGACACTTTATAAATGTGCTATTTCTAATGACGCTCTGAATGGGAGTCGTCGATTTATACTCAATACCAATCCAGAATAGTACAAATTACAATTATGACCAAGGTGTTCCTTGTTATTGTTGTAGTCTTGTACTATTACTAAATTAAAGAATGCACAATATTTTAAGTACAGCCAAATTTCGCGAGATTTGTATACTTAATATGTACAACTCCAAACAGCAACAGCAGTAAGCAGTGATGGTCTGCAAGGCTGACGAATAAATTTTTAACATCACTACTACTACTACCAGTTTGTGCATTTGATAACTTTATCTACGTCTTTGTAGACTCACAGCATCTCAATTGTCAAAAATACCACAATTTTCATAAATTAGGATCGCATTACATTTAGGTATTAGTCTGGCATATATGTATTACATTTTGCATAAATCTACATAGCAGAGAAGCAAATTTCCAACATCTTCCCTCGTAACTTCCCCATAGAGTTATCAGTGATAACTTATCACATGCCTCACTTGCACATTACGTATCTACATCCTGAATCTGATTCACATGCGGTATTAGAATTGTGCCATATTTTAATTGTCAATTCGTGTCTCGTTATAGTCTTGGTTTACTATAGATATTTTCATCATAACGTATGTATAGATCATTAACCTGGCTACAGGCTAAACACAATATCGTGCTAATGACTGAGCATTGATGTATGTCGGAGTCGGACTAAAATCGTTAATAAGCAAGCCAAATTTGCAAAAATCATGTATCATTAATGCCTTGTCCGAAGAAGAAAGTAAGAAAGCTCTCGGTGAGTAGTCGGGTATGTGCGAAAAGAGCAAGCAGTGGTGGATTTGCAGAGTTTTTGGACCTATCCCCACCGTTTCCGGAATGGTGCATACATATAAAAACGTAATTCTCTTCTTACGGGTTGTACAACAAACGAGATGAGAATGAATCATAACAACTCGTATTCAGTCGTCGTACCGAATCCATAGCTTGTGTAACACAGCCACAGCAGCGTGCATATAATATTTGATCACATACTTCATCCAGCTTTCACTCTGCAACAGTCCTCCTCATTCGCACAATCCATTCATCTTTTCTACCCAAACACGTTTTCATTGTAGTGTACGGTATAACCAAAAAGTGTATGCAGTGGCTGCTCTGCCTTTTTGTTAGAAAAAAATTGTACACGTTCACATCATGTCAAACATCGTCCTTTATTTCTATTTTTACCAGAGTGGCAATTTGGTTCATTTTCTCCGTGCTGAGGAGTAAGTTATTAAAAGTGTTCAGAAAAGGTGCAAGGAGGGTTTTCATTGTACGACCCGACCCTTTCAAGTTGAAGGGCATACGACCAGATTAATCTTCTAGGCAGAATGAGGTGCAGAGAACATTCGCTTAGGGACAAGATTTTTACATTTTTTAACAGTGTCTCATCCATCATTACAGATAGGTGAGGGGAAACTAAAGTTAGGTAGCCAAACTATTAAACCTCTCCGTGGGGCAAAGTAGTTATTATTTCCACCTATACACCAATAATAATTGCAAGACACACAGTTTTACTCTTCTTAAGCAGGAGTGTAAAAATTAGTCCGCTCGGCAGAAGCTAATCGGATTACAAATCGTCAAGAACAAACGGATACGACGACGTAAGTCTTTTTGCTATATATGTAGGTGATTATCCGAAACAGAAATAAATCGGATAGAAACTAGTAGAATAATTTTAGCTGCATCGCAGTCGTGACGTGGTGGTACAATGATGCACGTCTACGCATGTTCATCTATGGTCATTTTAATCTGGATAAAATTATATGGTGACTATAATTCAAATGTTCCATCTTGGCAACAATAGTTCTTTTGACATTGAAAGTTCACTAGGTTGTTCCCCGTTGTTGAAAGGAGAAGAGTTCAGCCAGACTCGGAGGCATCTTTATCGGTGCAAATTGCATGATACAAACTTTCTGCACGTACTACCGTTCAGTTCAACGAGTCTACGGCACGTACACAAGCATATATGTAATAATATTATGTATTCAGATAGCTAATTCTGAGAAACATTAACCCTCTCAATTTTTCTTGGCATCTATCTGCGCCTGTGGCCATGACTTGACTTGAGACTCCTCAACTGGTGACATTGCTACTTATGCTGGATTTGCAAAATATGTATGCTGATGCGATGCACAAGTACAGTTCTAGTGTGACATTGCCAACATTAACAGCAGTTTTAACCAGGCTAATTATTTATCTGATATAAACTTGATATATTGAAGACAGTAATTAGTTGTAGACAAAACTTGTTAAACTATGCCGATCGTAGAGTAGTGGACAATTAAAAATTTGCATTACTAGCATGCAAGCAAACCCAACTTAGGATTAGTTATTTCATACCCAGTCAGGGAATTACTTGTATGGCGTCGTTGGCAATTTAGACTTTTTCAAACTAGTTTACGAATACGTAATAAACCACATTTTTTACAAGTAATCACAAGACGACAACGTCACGGCATTGCTATTTGCATGAGAAAGTTGTTGTATTTTTTCGAGTATACCGTGATTTTTGTACCTAAAAAGACATGGTCAATACAAGATAATTATATTAATTATAATACATAATTATAGATATATGAAGTTTGCAATATTTTAACTACTCGGGAGGCAGGAAAACTTGCTGGAATAATGCTAATAATCCATTGAATGGTTTACTATACACAGTGCTTATTAAATTCATACATCAACTTATTGCGTAAGAGAAGTTTCATTATGGGGGTATCTGCCTACAAACTGATGCTTCTGATCTGTCTTTCAATTTACACCATTTTGCTCGTGTACTACATAAGTCTTAGCCTTCGGAAGCTGAATGTTAATAATTATCGTCACCACCACCAAATCAAACCATAAAAGAATTGCAGTAGGTCATGCAATTGATTGATTATTCTTAATATGCGTAGCATAATTCCCATTATCTTGACGCCATCATCATTGGAGTCGAGCAGATGGTCATTCAGCTTAGATAACCTGAAACATATGTATGAGAAGCTTTGACGACGATACAAAACAAACATTTCATAAAATAAATGAATAATCAACGACACCACCACCAGGATCTCACTCATTGAGTTTACTGATACATATATAGCATGACCTTAATATGGCTGTGATTGATCATTCGACGAAATATTTGACCAATAATATGTAATTCTACATCGTTTAGAAAATAAAGGTGGCCGCTATTGTCGAAATGTGGGAAATTCAGTTTCGCGTGGGTTGCTTCGCTAGCCCTGGAGAATCTGTGGGTGTGGTTGGGAACTGTGCTGAACTTGGAGACTGGCAGCCAAACTCAGCCCTGCTTCTACTCCGAGCTCACGAGTAATTTTTTGCAAAAAAACCTTTTCTTATTATTGGTACTATATGCGTTTTTTGGGTAATGGGTCCCCTGTTTGAATTTGAAATCCGCCCGCCACCATGTTAACTTACGGACGAAATGAAACAGCGGCAAAACCAGGGGGGCCCATTACCCAAAACATTCATAATATTAATAGCGACTGAATAAACATATTCAACTGAAAATTTAGGTTCGAAAGCCCTGAGAACCCGGAAGTATGGGCTGGAACAATTTTAATTCCCAAGACCATAAAAGAAGTCCAATTCCGATACTTTGTGTGCATGAGCCTAGACGACCTTATGGGAATTCATGAAAAAGTTATCGTGATGCGACGATGGGAAACCACCCAAGTGCCAAGAAGGATTAAACAGCAGCACGCAGGTATGATCAATTATCATTTAAATGTCAATTACTAGAAGCAGTCTATGTAGTTATTTAAAGTGTTATTTATTTAACCTATTGTGTTTGTACAGCTAAGGATGGCGTGGATACATTCGGGGTCTTCGGGCCTGAGGACAGAGCAGTAAAGATTGAGCATGGTTGGCTAACGTATGAATCTGTTGTACGTGTGCAACTACAATTTTTAAATGCTAGCCTAAGGGATTCGAACCCCTGAAACAATTTAATAGAGCCACAAACTTCTCCCCAATTAATGCTGATGTAATAATCTTGCTGACAGGTCCAGTTTAAAATTTATGACAGTCCAATCCAATTCTGGAGAAAGAAGTATAAAAATGCTCCTGTAAGGATTGTGTTCTGCGTCTTCTATATTTTATGCTTGTTGTATCATCGTAACTTACTTATCTCGATTTACCGTAGATTCGAATGAAGATGGTTGCTGTGAATTTAAATCGTCAAAATTCTGCATCCGATTATAATGATAGCATGGAGTATCAGGTATGCATACACATAGCTTAAATATCCACCAGACAACTGGACTGGGTAAAATTTTGCTAGGATTCCTCATCTGGCATTGATATATGCCATGTTGGTTGGCCAATTATCGAAGGTACAACTGAGAAACAATGATATTATATTATCCCATAAAATATAGTATGAAATCGATTTTATTTGTTTTATTTTGAAGTGGCTGTGATCAATGAGGATAGTTATCAACTAAGACTTCAGGAACAATTTGGAACAGTTTTCGATCCCCGTTACATGATGGTTTTCCAGGCTCAGGTTTTGCAGCTGCATACTGTGGTGAGTATAATAATTGTCTGGTGAAATTTCAAAGGTGGCAATGAAATAACGGGACAATCTGTATTAATATTTGTGTTCTTCTGTTTGTATTAGGCTTACATGATAGATTTCTATGTTGATGGAGATGGAGATATTCCCAAGAGGTACAGGATCTATTTTATATTATTTATTCGCAAGAATTTTCCACTTTCATTAATTCAACTAATTTAACTAATTATGAAAATGGAATCATACACATACTACATTTGAACTGGGTCCTAAGTAAATAGCTACCCCATAGCACTTTTTCATGAAATCCTGCTTGGCTCTTTTCCTACGAATTAAATAAGCAATACGTTTATCTCTGTTCCAGCATTGGATTTTGCCATATCCTTCCAAGCAATCTAAAAGCAATTGGACAAATGTGTGTGCCCATAACTTCGTTGAGACAGGAGCCAATTGGACAAATTAATGGTATTCATTTGAGTCGTTTGATTTCCATTGTAAGACTTTCACCACTTTCTTCGTAGTTGACTATTTGGTTGTGAAGCCTATGCCGACCTGCGCTTGTGATATGAGAGTGAGTTATAGTCGCTATTGGAAAAATCAGTGGAAAGGGTTGGACATTGGACACAGAGGTATGCAATACTTACTATTAAGGTTTAAAATATAATGTCAGATTTAATTTTTATGAATCTCTTAGGCGCTGGAAATTCTGTCAGATCTTTCCAATCGTGCGTATATACTTTCAAAGCTCTTTCAATGATGATGAAGTGATTACTATTTATGCGTAACTCTTTTTTAGATGTGCAAATATTCGAGAAAACACAATTGCTTCACTACAAAAGGCAGCAGAACATGGAGCAGATTTTGTAGAATTTGATGTCCAATTATCCAAAGATTTTGTCCCCGTCTTATTCCACGATTTCCATGTTAGTATAGGCCTTCAGCAAAAGGCAAAAAAAGGTGGGGAGCTAACATCGTTACGAATCCCCGTTAAGGATCTCACTCTTAAACAACTTCATGAGCTAAAGGTAAACCCAATTAAATAAAATTAATTAACTGTATTAGATTACTGTATTACTGGCTAAAAACTTTGTAAATTATTACACATATGTGTGTAAAGTACTGAACTATATGCCTTATTAATTTGAGCATCTTTCTGTCTTTCATAAGCTATCTCTTTGTTTAATTTCTCACGGCCTCATGCCGCAACTTTTTGGAGAAACCAATCTGAATTTCTCCGTAATTTTTTGACTTGCTTATTTGCATTGGTATAACTTAATAAATTTCCGATCATCAGGTGCATTTGGCAGATTGGACAGCTTTAAAGTTTGTCAATGATTTGGACCTTGGTTGCAGGAAGGTTTGTTGCTTCTCTCGAAAATTGAATTGTTCTCCAAATTTTCGTTGAAATAGTAACACCAGTTTTGCCAAGTGAATTTTCCCTCAACTAAGTTCATCTTGTACACAAAAATGCATTGTTTGACTGTTTTATGGTATGCAAGTATTTTTAAATCTTGAAATAACACTAGGTTGAACCAAATTACAGCCAGTGTTTTCTCGTTTGTGTTTTTACCAATCCTTCATTTAATTACTGAAGAATGAGTGAGCCAAAATAATGTTATAAACGTTTTGTTTAAGATTGTCCATATTTTATGCAGGTGAGCCACGTGAATGAAATTCACACGGACGAAGACGAAGACGACGCTCACGACCCATTTCCTACCTTAAAACACGCCTTGGAAATTTTGCCAGATCACGTGGGGTTCAATGTCGAAGTGAAGTGGACGATGGAAACAAAGGTAAATATGTAGATACATATGTAGATATGCTAACAATGCGATGACGCCAGCGGTCTCGCTCCGATTTTTATGAAACTTGGATAATTATGTAGCCTTAGGCAAATAATTAAACACGTGTTTCGGGATTTTTCATAATGTTCAGCTTAAACGAAATTATGACGTGATCCGTGAGCGAGAATTACCATTTCTACCGTGACATTTTTCTCGTGAGGGAGAAAAATCCAGATTCACGCTTAGCGATTCCATCATGATTTCGTTTAAACTTAAAATGCGTGGGCGTGACGTGGTTTTCTCCCGATTTCAAATTGCTCGCACAAATTTTGAAAATTTTGAAAATTTTAAAAATGCAACAAACTAGAAATTTCGAAAAATTAAAATTTTTGAAAACCAGAGTTTTCTTAAGTTACTCAATGTAATTCTGTGCAAAAATCTTAATGCATTTTGGAAACCGGATAAAATTTGAAAATTTACCGCATTTCGATTCTTTAATTCGGGTTAAAATTTATTCCCAAATTTATTCCACTAAATTTCCGCCACAACCGAAATAACTCTACCCGTTTTACTTTTTCATGAAGACGCGTGATTTCGGTTGTAGGGGAAATTGAGTGACTTAGGAAAATTCGATTGAGTAACTTAAGAAAAATCTGGTTTTCAAAAATTTTGATTTTTCAAAATTTCTGGTTTGTTGAATTTTCAAAATTTTCAAAATTTGTGCGAGCAATTTGAAATTGGTAGAAAACCACTTCATGACAACGCATTTTAAGTTTAAACGAAATTTTGAGGGAATCGCTAAGCGTGAATCTGGATTTTTCTCCCTCATGAGAAAAATGTCACGGTAGAAATGGTAATTCTCGCTCACGGATCACGTCATAATTTCGTTTAAGCTGAACATTATGAAAAATCCCGAAACACGTGTTCAATTATTTGCCTAAGGCTACATAATTATCCAAGTTTCATAAAAATCGGAGCGAGACCACTGGCGTCATCGCATTGTAAGTAATAAAATGCCATCAAAGTCAAAGTAATTTTTATCGCCATTAATTGACTTTTGTATTTGTATTGATTAGGACGGAAATTGGGAATTAGAAAACCCGTTTGAGTTAAATATGTATTTAGATATCGTACTAAAAATTGTTTTGGAGTATGGGGGCGAACGACGAATCGTTTTTTCCTGTTTTCACCCGGATATATGCACAATGTATGTACAATTATCACAAACTATAAAGTGCAATGAAAAAATTATCTATAAAATCAATTTCAGGATTCGGTTGAAACAGGTAAAAAATAATTTATTTACTAAAAAATCGGTATTTACGGTAATTTATAGCTTATATACGTATGTGTCATGCGTTCTAAACGGAGACTCGTTTAAATCATCTCGGTCTTTTCGACATTGCGTGAAAGTTTAAATAAGACCCTAATTTTATGATCACCTACAACAATAAAATATATGTTTCACAACCTTAGATTAGTATATAACATTAAATTAGTATTAGTTCACAACTTATATTATGTTCTCCTCGGCTTTCAGAACAAATATCCCGTCCTCTTCTTGACTCAAGGAGTGACAAGTAAGTTAGATTTTTTTAAATTCTTAATGTTATGCTTTTATTCATATTCCATATTCTTATATACTTAAATAGGTAAATATCCAGAGTACAAAGATGCACGAACAAAAAATATCTCGGTGGCAGTTTATTATGCCCTTCATGCTGGAATATTGGTAATATAAAAAAAACAATACGCATAAATAATAATAAATATGCGTAAACAATATTGTTTAAAAAAGATTTATTTTATTGAGCACCACTCCATATACCCTAATAATACCACTAACAACCAATTCCAGGGCTTAAACGTCCACACGGAAGATATTCTACGTGACCCATCGCAAATTAAGGAAATTGTGGAACATGGCCTAATTGCATTTTGCTGGTAAGGTTTAAAATTATTATACTCCTCACAGCTCAGGCAATTTAGAACTCTGTATTTCGCGACAGGGGAGATGATAATAACAATGCAGCAACAATTCGCTACCTTAAGGAGCTAGGACTTCACGGCGTAATCTACGATCGAATCACAGATCACATCCCTCATACTGAGAAAAAGAGCATCTTCTTTACGGAACATCAGGACGAATTATTGCAAATTGCGGTCATGTCCCCAGAGGCAGAAATCAGCCCTGACGTTATAATTCACCACCAAGTGCCCCCAGAGGATACGGACTCTGATGAAACTCCGCCTTCAACACTGCCAGACTCCCCCACTTTCAAAAACGACGACTTGGCGCAATTCATAGAGTCAGAGGTTAATGGTCCAAATGCGGTCTTATAGCTCAATACTTGATTGATTTTCGCTACTTTTAGATATATGTCCTTAGTATTCGGATTATTATTGACCTCTTTGGTTTTTAATTCCACTACTGCTATGCTACTAGCGAAACAAGAAACTTTTAATTTGTTCTCTGTAATACACGTGTTTAAAATCTTTCATCGTCGCTTTTATGAACGTACGCTATCTACTGCAATGCAAAGTCAAAAAGATTATAACGTTAAGAAGGAATTATGAATTACCTTATACCCTCTACATATATAAAAATTAGACGATCACGATCAATACCCAAAGTATATGACTATTACACATCATACATACAACATATATACATACGTACTATATTTAGGAGTAGTGGCTTGGCTTTGCATTTAAGTTCTGCATAGTGCCATTTATACGCTATTTACCGTAATACTCCATTCGGTTGCTCAAATTAAATAATTTTGATATCAAAATAATAGCATTTATTCACTGATGATACCGCACTTGGTGAAATAATATTTGCAATAATTAATAAAAGCAGTGAGTTCTCATCGTTTACGTCTAATTTTGTTCTCATGAAACGAGTATTATGCTAACTTGTTTGACCATCATTTCGTCACGTTTTCTTTACCTTGTCACCAAGGCTTGGTTTGATGTAATGCACGCGAAACAAGAAAAACGACGCACAAAGTTTGCATGTGCAAAAAAGCTACTCATCCGGGACATTCGAGATCATCTCCAGCCGCGCATACATAGTTGCTGTTGCCCAATAATAAAAACAAACATACCAAATAAATCAATCCAATAAGATTCCGTCTTTGCAATATATTATTGTAATAATTTGATTATATATATTTAATACCTGTGGAATTCTGGTAATTTCTACTCTTCTGAAAAAGTGTGTCTCATTCAACCGGGAGGCAGCACTTGTATACAAAATGACCTAAAATAAAATTTACATTTCACACCAAGTGACCAATTTCTTTCGACTGTGTTGAGTGAATGGGGGATCTTTGGAAGGCAGTGCAGGGGATGGCGACCTTGGTGTCCAGTCCTCCGGATACTTGCAGCGGGGTTGCCCTATCCTCCGGAGATGGGGCCGAGTCCACCTGGATTGCTGGGGATCAGGTATTTTTATTTTAGCTCAGAGATTATTGGGGGCTAAAAATCAAAGTTAAAGAAAGATCCCACCAATAATGCAATTTTTATAAGTCACTCAATGTACATGAACATGATGTAACTCTTTCTGGCAATTGTGGATTGCGTGTGTTCTTTTATTTCATATGAGAATGATGGGAATGCAACGTATTGAGCTGCATAGACTCGTCTGAATTATCTTTATGATTTTCCTCCACAAATTAGGTGTGCTATATTTGCTTTCTTGTTCGATGATTTGGCATAATAAGTAAACACGGCATTCATTTCATTTACTATCCAGCTATACGAAGCGTGTCTGTCTATATTAAAGAGTTGTCTGTGAATTTCTTCTGATCTGAACTACATTTTTAACAAATCGAAATATGTTGTATATTGAATAATCATGTCAAAGAATGACGTTCTGTTTGATATCTTGCAGGTTTTTATTCTGTCCCTATGTCTTGTTATTTTGGTGGTGGTTGGATTTGCGTACTCTTCTATCAGATACTATCGTCGGAAATGTAAGCCATTGTCAATTGTCAATATGATGTCATATGTTATGGTTTCCATTAATTTAAATTTAGACGAAGCTCGAGATGCACACCTTGGATTTTCAAAAACGCGATTTCGAAAGAGAGATAGATTTATGTTCTATGGTAGAAAGGTGTTACGACAAGTCACATCTGCTGCAGGTTCAAATAGGCGAAAAAAGATTATCACAAAGATAACCAAAAAACTATTAAAATTGAAAACTGATACACCACCAACACGTCTGCATGTAAGTAAATTATTTTTCTCCTTGGGTTTAAATGTCGACTATGGTATATTTAAAATTCACTGGTTGCAAATTCCCAACAGGTACTGGAGCCTGCCGCAGAATACCTTCAAGAGGAGATAGGATACAATAAAGCTGACCAAAGATTACCTCCAGAAGTAACATATATGCTGAAAAGCATTAGGTTAGCATTTATAGAGTAAATAATTTTTAAACATGCAAAATTACATTAATCAATTACAATTTAATAGAATGTTTGGCATCTTTGAGCGGCCACTATTTCTTGAGCTTTGCAAACACGTGGAAACTATTCATGTCACCGCCGGACAGTATTTATTTCGAATAGGTAGGCAAAGTAGAGAGAATAATTAAAAACGGAAACTCGTCCACCACACAAAAAAATTGATTTGGATAAAATTCTCATTATTTTTGTAGACCTATTTCTAGAGACGGGTCAATATTTTTTAAAACGGTTTTCACCAAAGACTTCCTCATTATATTCCCTACAACCCTTTCCGAGCTTTTTTGAGCATGTTCAAATATATTGACCCGTCTCTGAGCTATAAATCGCAGACTTTGCGATTTTTCTAACTTTGAGCTCCTCTCACTCTGCAAGGGCCAGAGTAGAAAGGCAAGACTGCTATCGTTGGACTCTGAAAAATTAGCTCCACAACCAAACGTTGAGAATCTTATCCAGGTCATTTTTTTGTGCGGCGAGATTCTGGTTTTCCTTATTGTCTCTCAATAATAAACTTTATTACTAAACTAACCTTGTGCATTTTAAATATAATTGACAGTCAAATAATTGAACAGTTTTTCCAACATTGTAGGAGATGCAGATGAAAATTTCTATGTTGTACAAAGTGGGGTGCTAAATGTTTTTATTACCGGCAAGTTTATTTCATATTTTAAAATTATTTATTATATGTTTATTTTGAATATTATGAATATTTTAAATATCAGAACCAGACGGATCGACTTTAACTTTAAAGGTCGTGAAAGAAGGAGACTCAATTGCTTCCTTATTGAGTTTTACGGATGTATTGACTGTGAGTTTATGATTGATTTGTGTATAGAATACTTTAGTGCATGTGAATACTTACATATATGTTTTATATATTTCAGGGTCACCCTCAACCTTTTAAAACTGTTTCTGCACAAGCCCTTGAAAATTCGTCAATTTTGAAGTTACCTGTGGATGCATTCCGAGAAGTGTTCGAAAAAAATCCAGAGACGTTTGTTAGAGTCATTCAAATCATCATGGTGCGCCTGAATCGTGTTACGTTCACGGCTTTGCATCAACATTTGGGTCTAAGTCATGAATTAGTTCAAGCTCCCAGGCGAAGAAGCATGGCATTTCAAGTATCTCCATTACGTAGAAGTACCGGCTATGTTCCAAGTTCCATTGAAGATAACACTCAAACTCCTGGTAAGATAACTATATATAAACTTGCTGTGTTAGTAATCTACAAATATTATTATTTAGCGTTTCAGTAGCTTATATGTATTTGTGAATTTTTGCATGTGTTATTAGATTTATTGGACTCTGATGCGGGTGCGTTTGTTCATGCGACGCAAGCAAACCACAATCTGCTCGGAGCCGAACCCATTGCAGTTCCTAGCCAAACTCTGCATTCGAGTTTAAGACGGCGCCACAACATGGGAATGACGCCTCCTACGGGATATCATCCGAGTGGCACTAGTTCTGTTGGGGAGGGTGATGGGAGCCAACCAATAATGTCTGAATTTTTTGTACCATCTACAGAAAGTGACGATGACTCCGCATTCTTACTAAAGCAAGCCGTTAACGCGTTTAAACTTAGCTTAGGACTGGAGGATATTGACACCATCAAAGATTTGGTAAATTTGAAAGATATTCCGGCTGGAGCCTTCCTCGCCAAAGAAGAGTCAAATCAGGTTACTTATTCCACTTAACCTTTTCCACTTTATCATTTTCTAATTGTGATTGCATATTACAGGGTGACTGTGGACTCGTTTATGTTGTGTCCGGTTTGGTAAGCTTGAGCTTTATTGTTTTTATATTTTATGAAATATGTATAATTATAAAGTGGTAAATACGACTATGAATTAAATGTTATCATAAACTGAAATAGCTAACACTCACTCAACGAGAAAATGAAAAGGACGTCGTAATGTTTAACGCACATCCTGGGGAATTTGTCGGGGCCTTGGCAGTTCTAACGGGCGAACCATCAATATTCACAATCAAGGCCAAACAGCATACGAGGCTGGCAGTTATGACTTCTGCTGCATTTTATTCGTATGCTATTCATTTAAGATATGTCAGAAATTATTTTGTGTATTGTATTATTTATAAACATTGCCCATGTATGCTTGCTTCAGGATAATGGCTACGAATCCAAAAGTCGTTTTACATTTGGCAAACATTGTTGTGAGAAGACTCAGCCCTTTTGTACGCCAAATTGACTTTGCTATGGATTGGATCTTCTTAGAAGGAGGTAGGACAACTTGTATCTTTTCCCATCCTCAGTGACTAACACTAACACTTTATATAAGTGATTAAACATACATTTTCAAAAACTTTAATTTTAGGTAGGGCGTTGTACCGCCAAGGTGACGAGTCAGACTGCACGTTTATCGTTTTAAGTGGACGCTTGCGATCTGTTATAACACGCAATGATGGGAAGAAACAGCTTGTTGGAGAGTATGGTAGAGGAGATTTAGTTGGAGTTGTGGAAACGTTGACACGCACTAAAAGAATGTCAACCGTAAGTTGGTTTAATCCACGATTAATTTATCCATGTACTACCATAAGGATCAACCTTAAGATTAATTTTTCCACTCTTCTCGCCAATTTCAGGTGATGGCTGTGCGAGATACTGAACTAGCGAAATTACCAGAAGGGCTCTTGAATGCAATAAAATTAAAGTATCCTATAGTTATGAGTAGACTGATACAGCTGCTAGGACATCGTATTTTAGGTACGCTTAAATATGTTCAAAGTTCTTTTACACAAAATGTTTCTCTGATTTCGTAAAATCAATCTTCTAGAGAACCATGATCTTGTATTTTGTATTTTTAGGTTCTTGGCAGCAACCAATGACAATGAATAATGTTCCAAATTCTTCGAAATATGAATCGAAACCATCACATGTTAATTTTAGCACTGTTGCTGTACTTCCGGTAACTGAAGACGTCCCACTGTCCGCCTTCACCTATGAACTTATACATTCATTAACATCCATAGGTGCATACGTTTTTTAATATCAAATAAAATCATCCTGTAACCTCCCATCGGAACTGAATTTAATAAAATACTTGATTTTTTAGGGTCATCTTTACGCTTGACGTCGGATTATATAAAGACTATTATGGGGTCAAGCATCATGGATGCTGCAAATGAATACAAACTTACAAATTGGTTGGCTCAGCAAGTGAGGCTTATAATAATTATATTATTAATTGAGATACATTTATAAATTTGGACCATTGACATGCTTTTCAAAATTATTGATTCCTTGCAGGAAGACAAACATCGTTTAGTTTTATACCAATGTGATTACTCCATGACGGTGTGGACGCAAAGGTGTATTCGACAAGCCGATTGCATCCTGATTGTAGGGATGGGAGCAAATCAACCTTCGGTTGGAAAGGTAAAATTAATAATTTTAATTTGATTAAATTATATTGATGTAACTAATTTTAGTATTTTATGTGGGTTATTAGGTGGAAAAACAGTTGGAACATTTAGCTTTCAGAATCCAGAAGGAACTAGTTCTTCTACATAAAGAAGGGTCGCGGCCAAAAAATACTGCATCTTGGCTGAACATTCGAACGTGGTGCTCGTCACACCATCATTTGCAGTGTCCCAAACGCATGTTTTCCAAAAAGGCGAAAAATGTACGCAAGTGTGACAATAACGATTTACATACAAAATTTACAAGACAGCATTATCATTTATTTCCCACTTGTAGACCGAGTACTACGAAACCATAATGCAGCAAGAAGTCAATATTCATTCCGATTTTTCTCGACTTGCACGGTGGTTAACTGGTAATACTATATTCACTGACATGTCTTTGAAAGTTATCAATATATATCTAACTGATTTGCTGATCTTTGTAGGAACGTCGGTCGGTAAGAAAAATAAAAGTTAATAATTAGTGCCTATAAATACAGTGGAAATATTTTTTGTTTGCCATTTTAAATTTTAAATGCCATTTAAAATCATTTCTGTTCTAGGATTAGTTTTAGGGGGCGGTGGGGCTAGAGGGGCCGCTCACGTGGGAATGCTTAAAGCAATTCAGGTAAATTGTAAATGATATAAATTCTATAATAATTGAAAAACACGTAAAATCATCAATTATTATGATTCAGGAAGCTGGAATTCCTATCGACATGGTTGGTGGAGTCAGTATCGGGTCCCTTATGTCTGGACTATACAGCATGGAAAGAAATATTGTGACCGTGACCCAAAAAGCGAGAGAATGGTCCCGGGTAAAATATTTTGAGTTTTATAGTTGTGATTTTATAATCATTTATTTTTCTTCTTTGTTGTAGAAAATGACGCAGTGGTGGAGGCAGGCCATGGATCTGACCTACCCTGTAACCTCCATGTTTAGTGGAGCCGGATTTAACAAGACATTATATGATGTGTTTGGAGTACGAATTTCACGAGCTTATTTAAGAAAACAGTTGAAAAATAATTTTTATAATAGACTAGTTTGAAACTAGTCAATGAAATTGTGGTTTCATAAAATCTTTTTTTAAACCAAATAGGATGCCCAAATCGAAGATTTATGGCTACCATATTTTAATGTGTGTAATTAAATTCAATCTGGCGTAACTCGTCTATTTAATCTCATTATTTCATACTAATGTTTTCTTTAATGCAAGCTTATCTTGTTTTCAGATTACAACAGACATAACAGCCAGCGAAATGCGAGTACACACGCATGGTAATTGACACAATACACTTATGTAAAGGCTGCTTTGCAAACTCACTCTACTATATGCACCATTAATTGTTTGTTTACCTGGCTTTATCAACCTTTTATTTTGTTTATTCCGGAATATGTGTTAATGGGATGACTTGGTCAAGTCAATGGAGCGAAGAAATGTTTGTAGTCAGAAATTATTATTATTATTAACCTACATGATTTTATTTTGGTTTAATTTCGACTTTGTTGCATATTTTTCATTCAAGATAGCAGTGCAAGTTTGCTAAAGCTAAAATTAACAGTGTACACAAAAAGATCCTCAGAAAATCTAAATGTCCTTATTAAGACTGTTCTTTCTTATAACTAAACTTTAGGCTCACTCTGGCGTTATGTCCGTGCCTCAATGTCTTTAGCAGCATATTTACCCCCGTGAGTAAACACAATTACCCTTCAATTACATGTGTATACACACAGTTCGTTGAGGTGCAATGTGTAGAGAGACACGCAATCATGACGCAAAATACTTTTCAGCTTGTGCGATCCGATGGATGGACATTTGCTGCTTGATGGAGGATATATTTGCAACTTACCATGTGAGTTGACGTGTTAAAAGTTTTGACTTATCTAATAAATAAGGATTGCCTGTTATGAAGGGTTCGGTTTTGTAAAAATTATTGAATGTTATGTGCTACTGGGTGGAATGGCTACTATTGGTTTGTCCATTTGAAAGAGATCTGAGTTTTGGGTTTTGGTGGGACGCTTGCTATAATTGAATTGACCAAGTCGTCCCCTGGAATCAACAATAGGCTTGTTACGATGCTGTATTGTATGCTAAAATTGGCTATAGCTAATGTGCTGCTGTACAAGGGGGTTATTGTTTAATACACTTTCAGGAGCGCTGTGGAAATATACGAGAGCGTCAATGACCATGCCACCACTGTTTCCTCCGTGAGTATTGGAGTAGATTTTCTGTATATTACACGTCTGTGTATCCTGACTGTAAATTTGCTTTTGTTTTATTAAGACTTTGTGATCCCGAGGACGGACATCTTTTAGTAGACGGAGTTTATTCTGATATTCTCGGAGGTTGAGTTTATTATTTTTGATGAGATTTATTATAAGCAGAATTCATGCAAAACCGAACCTTTCATAAGGCAAACATGTTTTTAATAGTAATAATGGCATCTCATAACTATTAATATTTTAGCTGATGTAATGCGAGCTCAAGGAGCAAGATACATTTTAGCAGTCGACGTTGGGTAACTTTTACATTTTATTAAATCAAATTGTCTATTAGAGGCAAGGGTGCAGAGTGACTCGTTTTTTTAAAGGTCTCAAGACGAAACAGATTTTACCAATTATGGCGATTCTTTATCTGGTGAGTAATTCTTATGTTGGTCCACTCCTTTGCTTACTCGTTGTCTGTCGCTGCACTTGGTATCCTTGTAGACAGATAAAAATACAGTGGTTGAATGCATGGCTATAATACGGAATTTGTACAAAAGTACGGCTCTAAGTTCCAAATTTGAACTCTAACTGAGGATGAGTGGTGCTTTATGTCTTCCTATAATTTCCTCTACTCATCAATGAATTTATTAATAGGCTGGTGGCTGTTATGGCAAAAATGGACGACGCCATTCCGTTCCGTTCCAGTGAAGGTTCCTACAAAACTGCCACAATATTGTCAAGGGTCATTGTGACCTTAAAGCTGAATTATGAGTGTGTTCTTTCCAGGTCCCCAACTTGCCTGATATTCAGTCACGCTTGGCCTACGTCTCTTGCGTAAGGCAGCTTGAGGTAAGGGGGAAAATAGGCATATCTAATGGTTACTGTTTAATTTTGAGTTGGAAATAGATCAAGATGAGAGAAAGCTTTTTTTTACAGGAAGTGAGAAACAGCGATTACTGTACATATATTCGGCCCCCTATCGATCGCTATAAAACACTACAGTTTGGAAGTTTCGACGAAATAAAGGTATATTATATAACCAATTAGTACAAATTATATTATCGGATCTTGTTGCGTCATAATCTCACAATTTCTGCATTTTTAATGCTCAGGATGTTGGTTACCAACATGGATCTACATTCTTTCAAGGCCTTAAAATGGGAGGTGCTATGTTACCGATGACATCATCATTTGGATCTCAAACTCAGTACCTTCAAAAAGTCGCCATGGTCCAAAAACGAAAAGCAGAGCGCCCAGCATTTAATAATTTTACTGATTTGGCTCAGATGGTTTGCAAAGTTCGAAATTTGCACTATGGAGTTAATTCTGACGATGGTACTTAATTTATTTTTTTAAAGCGCATTTGATTCATTACGTTTAGTATGGTTGTTTCACTTTTGAATTTGATAGATGATTCTTACGAGGATGACGATGATTATGGCCAGTATGGTGGATATGCGTCTGAACATTCTTTAGATTTTCCGTGTGCCAACGCAATGCAGAAGGTGATTTGATTTTTCCTCTTTTTATCATCATTTAATGGTTTACGTTTAGTAGAGATGCATGTATTCTCTATAACTTATTGCATTTTGTTTACAGACGGCGTCCGATCCAGCCATAAGCTCGAGTTTTGTTCCACCCTATGAGGGCGATATTGATATGTGACCACAGTAATATTATGTGTACCATATCGACGATATCCTTTCCTACTACTTTACCCTTCGTATTATTTGATATGACTTTACTTTTCTACTGCAAGGAAGGGTTTAGCGGCTGTGTTGACTTTATGGATGTGCTTGAATGTAGTTGCTTGTGAAACCTACAGTATGCAGGTTGATTTAGCCCGGGTCAGGGTCAGAGCCCCTGTCTAAACTTTTTGCTGCTTGACCCAACTATTGCCACATTACGGTTCAAAATTCAACTGTGCGTGTTATATGATATAACTTATATCTCACGATTGCTTGACATTAAGTATCTAGGTAACGCTTCTCCCTTAACGGTTGCGACAAATGGTCGAGTTACAAATAAAATAATTGAAACTCTCGGATGTAAAACAGCCTTCGCGACAATTTTTTGTAAAATTCAACCTAGTTACGTTTAAATGCCGTTTTTGAAAAATTTTTAGCCCGAGTCAAGGCTTATGGAACCGTCATGTCCGTCCGTCCGTCTGTCTGTCTGTCCGGCACGATAGAGCCAAAACGGCTGAACCGATTGACTTGAAATTTTTACCATATGCATAATGGGAAAAGTTAGGAAACGAACTCGAATATGGGAGAAATCGGCCAAGTGGTTGACCAGTGGGGGTCAAAGTTTTTATCTGGAGCGACCCGATGGGGTAAAGTGCAACCAGAGTGACTCATACTGATTTTTCAAAATAAGCATGACTCGGGCTAAAATTGAAATTAAATTATTTTTGATTATTTTTACAAATCGGTATTTAAATGTAACTAGGTTGAATTTTTTTTAAATTGTCGCGAAGGCTGTTTTACATCCGAGCGTTTCAATTATTTTTAAAAATCTTTGGTTCTTCTCCCATGGGCGTGAGAACCAACTCTTTGACCTTTAATAACTTTTGAATGGGCAGACATAGAGACTTAATTCTTGAGGATGAAATCGTCGTAATTTTTTGATTGATTTTTTAAGCTAAAAATCTTGAGGGTACTATGTCTAATAGTAAACTTGAAATTTGCAATGTGCAGCCTTTATTTAGCCCGAGTCAGGCGTTGCGGTTGTCGGTCAAAACGACCGACTGGTGGAGTGGCATATTTTTGAAAAATCTGTATGGATTAGTCCCTACGGTCTCACCCGTTATCAAAATTTCAACTTCCTACGACAAATTTGGGACTTTTCTATGACATTTAATATGTTTTCAGTCAACCCCTAACCACTTAAAAGACCCCACCGACCTAACCGATCATGCCCGTCTTTGAACTCATCCTTAGTTTTGACCCCAAGATGAACTTCGCAAAATTTCAGGTCGCTAGCTTGTGTTTAAAGAGAGTTGCGCACAGACATCTTGACAAATCTATAAGCCCATCTGAAAAGGCCTAAAAATTAGATTTCCCATTGTATATAACCCATGAGATATTTTTAACAACTTTTATTTTTTGAAATCTACAGTGCAGAGTCCATTTAGCCCGAGTCAGGGATTCTGTCCTTGACTCGGTGAGTCCGAGCTCACTTCTATTTTTTCGAATTCACCGACATGATAATATTACCAACCTCCGTGGTGTGGATGGCTAAATGTTTGTTAGATATTTTGTACTATTTGGCATTTTAACTTCATATTCTTTAATGAGAAGTCATTAAGTATTACCGTGCCGGATTTAATGTTTTTCAAGCACTTTCTAATCGGTATGGGTCACCCCATAGGGTCCCTCAAAATAAAATTCTACCAATGTCATTTCATATTCTTCCATTAGCAACCTCTCTACCAAATTCCAGCTAGATATGACCATTTTAAAAAACCAGTATGGGTCACCCGTAGCGTCCCTCAAGATGAAAAATTTTCCAACTTAAATTCATTTTTTTCTAAAAAAAAGTCACTAGCTACCTCTGTACTTAATTTCAGCTTTCTAAGACAATTTTGAATTTCGAAATTTTATCCCACCTACTCACATGACCCCCACCGGTCAACCACTTGACCGATTTCGCCCATCTTTGAACTCGTTTCCTAACTTGTCCAATATGTACACACATGGTAAACATTTCAAGTCAATCGGTCAGCTCGTTAAAGAGTTATCGAAAGACAGACGGACGGACGGACATGACGTTTCCATAAGCCCTGCCTCGGGCTAATAAAAATGTAAATTTATTTTGTAACTCGTCCATTTGTCGTAACCTTATAGACTGATAAAGTGTCAAATAATCTTGCTTATATCTTTCTTTATAATTGGACTAGTTGCCATACACTGCAGATAATTTATAATCGTCATAAGTTGTCCCCCAGCCTTACAAATTTAAGCTTTTTCTGACTAATTTACCAATGCTGGTAGTCCATTTAGGCAGGGTTTCATTTAGAATCGGTTCAGCTCTATCGTGTCTTGGACGATGAGACAGAAATGACGGTTCCATCAACCCTGACTCGGGCTAAATAATCGATATTCAAATACACATGCATGTGAAGGTTGTAAGCGCAACAATCTATACTACGCTTGACCATTAACTTAAACCAAAAGATTTAATTTCTTTAGCTTTCTGTATATCAAATATACCAACCAACGTAACTCAAGACATAAGTCAATAAATCGCTACTGCATACATACATATATTAGTAAAATAAGCTAATGAGCATTTTTTATTCATCGTTCATCGATGGTACAAGAATAGATAATACGTTTCCTACGAGATGTAGGGATCCAGTCACTAGTACCTCCACAGTTTCGGATACGTTCTGTTTATTACTAGTGAAAAGTTCCAAGTGGTGAGCCTTCGTGGTTTGGTTGGACAGGCCGTTTACAAAGTCGATTGCTGCATCGGTGCTGTCCAAAATTAAGGACGCACATGAATTGACCGAGTTCCATTCTTCGGCATGTTTCTTGCATACACTGATGAGATCTGTCTCACGAGATACATTCAACACATTCCAGTTATCTGTTAGAAACAATGCATATACGACTAGGTTATAAAACAGCATGCAGCAAGCATTTGGTATCCTAAGTTGATGATAAATGATTAATAATTAATTACCACGATCCGGAGTTGTTCCGCGACGGACAACTGGACAAAAAATGGCCAATTGGAATATATTGGATTGAGCGAAGGGAATGACAAGATCCGAGGCACGCTCGCCAGTTACATTAAATATCAAAACATGGCAAGAACTTTTGCTAGACACATTCGTGAACCATTCCAATGCGATGCATAAACTTGCTGGCGTATGTGCACCATCCAGATAGTACTGGAGAAAATTGGATTTCGGAATCCTCTACAAGTTTATCAAAATATATTGAACGCAAATAAATAAACACTAATAGCATTTTTAGTAGCATTTAAGATAGATAAATGTTACTAAAAAACGGAATTCCAACCTGAAATCTTCCCAGCCACCGAGTGGATTCTAAACCTGAAATGTGAGCAGGAGAGAGTAATTTGGAACATTGGAAGAAAGGTATTTCTTTTTCTGATTCACAAAGATGTAGTTTTTCGGGAAACTTTTGCTTAAGAAATGAGGTTGTTAGCTGAACTGCCAAGGCAGAGTTCAATTCAGACACATTTCCGTCATCTACACCTAGCTGAACTTTCTTTGACAATTCGCACATTTTCGGAACCACAGCAAAGGGACACTAAGAACCAAGATGAAAATTTACCAGTAACATTACAAAATTTAAAATATCATGCTTCTAATCCTCAGTGAAATTAATGGTAAATACATTAACTTGTATAGCGTACACGTACATTAACTTGTATAGCGTAATCTTGCATCAATTTCAAAATATCACTAGGATGGTTGTCTACGGTGAAAGCAGGGCCTAAAAACAATGTCTCATGTCATGTCATTGTCAATTACAAATATATAATAATAACATCTAATGTAAGTGAATACCTACAATTTGCTTTCATGATCCCCACTTTGTTCCAGGCAATCTCTTCCAACGTGTTACCAAGCATGGACTGATGTTCCAGTCCAAGTGAAGTAATTCCCACCACAGTGGGATTTCTGAGCATTCCACAAATATACAATATGCATATAAAAACAAAATAAAAGAGGAAAATTGCAATGCAGGAGGTTTGCTTTGCACTCACGGAATAACATTTGTACAATCATATCGCCCTCCAATGCCCACTTCAAATATTGCAACATCAACTTTCTCCTTCAGGAATGCGTAAAATGCCATACAAGTGATAAAGCGAAAGTAGGGTGGCATCTGAAACTCTGGGTACTATACATTAATCAAGTTTTCAGTTTGAGTATAACACAAATCTAAATACATGTACGGACATGTTTGAATGTAAATAAGTATATAGATACAATTTCTGATTCATACTTTCATCTGCCAAGCGTGGAGGCTGTTGTACACTGGGAAAAAGTACTTTGCAAATTTCTCTGGAGAAATCGGAGTCCCGTTGATTCGAATTCTTTCTCGGACGACAACCAAATGGGGAGAAGAGTAAAATCCTGTACGAAGTCCAGCCTTTCGAAGCATGGACTCGGTGAAAGCGCACGTCATTCTACGCACGTTTTTTTACGTTACACAACTAAGTAACTTAATACAATGCGATGGAGTAAGAGTAATTAGAATGTCGTAATGCCTCCCTCACCCCTTGCCCTTGGTCCCTGTCACGTGAATCGTGTTTAAGGATTCCAGGTCAGTCTTGGAAATACCGATCGTCTCCAAAAACATGGTCATTTCTGGGAGGCTCTTCAACTTTCTCGAATCCCTTTCACACGCAAGTTTAGCCCTAATTTGGGCATTTGATTGCAAGGAATTGAGTTTGATGATGGCATCCTGGAGTACCAATAATTGTTACTGAGGTTCTATGAAAATTGTCCACATATACAGAGGCAGATACATATCTCCGTAGAGAAATAATGAGTGGGCCAAATTTCTACACTTACAGAATATGATAACCCAACATCTTCAGCTTGAAGATTTTGTGTAGCTTCAGACGTTGACATCCTTCTGCACACCTGCTTTTTGGGGATGAGACTACCAACACTTGAAAATACTTTTCTCCAAACTCTATCCATGCAGCTATCATGAATTTTCTCTAAGAAAGAGCACAGTAGGCAACACTTCTTCGTTATGATTGCATGGAATCTTTCTGTGCATAACAAAAAATGGCGATATTTATTAGCAATCAACTAGAATGGTTAGTGGAACGCAGTAAACTAAGCTGTGAGTACGAAATAAATAACACTATTGCTATATTTACACATATAATACGTATGGATGGAGCTGATGAAATGAGTTAAAAATCATATACGGAGGCTCCGCCACTAACACGTGAACGTTTTTGACCTTCAATTACTGGTTGAACGGCTTGGAGTTTAGGTCCCGAACATTTTTTATGTGAAAGCCCTTTTCTCGAGCTACAAATCGGCATCGGCGATTTCAACTTCTGTACACTGATTTGACCATGGCGAAGTCAACTTTAGACCACTCGTCTCCCATAACTTTCCAAACTCCGTCAAATGTTTTTGGGTGGCGGAGAAAAGATTTTGTTTCAGATATCCAAAGCCGAATAAATCCATAGGACTTACATAGAGTGACTTAACAGGCATTTCACTATTTTGGATGATTGTTATCCCGAGTCTAGCTTTCAGGTCCTTGGCGTAATCCTGGGTCAAAAGGGCGGTGTGTGATGACGCTGCGTCGTGATGAACTATCACTTTTTTTGTGTCCTTGCCATATGGTTTTGGGACATGAATCTCCAAAAGCGGTTTTAAAACAAAGTCAATGAAGTACTTCGTAGTTACCTTCACTTTTTGTGGAATTTTGATAAGTGGGAGGACACCACGACCAGATAATGCACCAACCACCATGAACTTGTTGCAAAAGTTTTCCGTGTGCGGGATGGTCAATCTTCTGGAATTATTTTCTTCTTTGGTTGTATAGTAAATTTTTCTATGACCGTTGGTATCTTTAAAGAAAATAATTCTTCATCCAACGACACTAAAAAGTCACTTTTATCTTTTGTTAGGTAATTTATATAAAACTTTTTGCAGGTCAGACGACGATTTTGTTTATGCTTCTCAGTCAGCTGATGGATTCGGATTTTTCTTCTTTTTTGCTTCTGCAAAATTTTAATTGCTCGTCGCACCCTAATCTATGACACTTTGGTTAGACGTGCCACTGCTCTCTGGGGTGGTGAGTTGCCCTTAGAGGTCAATAGGTCAATTTTCTTAAGCACGGGCCGAATTAGCACTTTTCGGACTCGGGTTTGAGGCATGATGGTTGTCCTTTGGTACGAGCTTGTCGTTGTTGACCTTCATTTATCAGTACCTTATGTATCCCTGTTTTCGAAACTTGTTGTCCTTGAATTTTGAAGTGGTTAATTATGTCTGTGTACGAAAAATTAAGTTTGGAAAGTGTTTTTATGGTACCCTCTTACTCTAAGGTCAATGGTAGGGTCATTTTTGAATCTAGAGAGCTAATTTTTTGCTCAGCCCTTATCAACAATCACATGTCGTTATGCTCAAAATTTGGAACCGAAACTCAAACCCGTTTCGGAGCAATTCAAGAGTGAACACGTTCACGTGTTAGTAGCGGATCCTGTACTCTTTTATGATACGTATAACACAACTTGACCGGCCATCATCATCGCTATCATTAATAGCAAAATGATGCAGTGAAAAAATGATAAGAAGTTGTGCGTACAAACTGATATGGATTTGTGTAGAATCTAAATAGGTTAAGTATTAAGTACTAATTTTTTTGTGACTGTGTTCATAAGTTCATATTACAAATGACTCATATTGGTAGCTTTGCATAGCCGGTAATACGTAGTCCTATACATAGTCGTAATATGATTCACTATAGTTGTGGCATGGTTGTGATTGATTTATGATGTTAAATTGAATTAAGGGTGCGGAGCATAAAAAACATTCGTATTTTAGAAGCAACTTTAGGGATAATCCATAATTTGTTTTAGGAACCCGTGAGACTCTTCTTCTTCGTAGTCTAGCTCATGAGTAAAAAATGTGCATGTGCATATTTTCATCTAATCTGATAAAAATTGAAAGGCTTATCGTCTGACGGAAGCAATTCTTCCTCCGGGTTAAAAATCATGTCTCATTCTAAGCATCTCACAATAATAAGTATGCTTGATTTTTCCATTGGATTCTCAATTTCTCAGTATGTAGATTTAAAGTCATAAAATATTCATGCATGAAAATTTAAATGTGAGAAGTTTATGAGCCCAAGTTTTTCAATCCAATTTTATACAATTGTATTATGTCAGAAAACATACTTACATGTATTTTTTGTTGCTCCATCCATAGAATGCAACTTAAAATCCTATCGTACGGTACACTTCAAGTCTCTCCATGCCTAAACGAGTTCAGCTGAATTACACACAGGTTGGAAATTCCAACTTAGAATGTATAGCAATACAAAACAAAGAGAATTATTGCTCAAGTATAACTACAAATCTCGACAAGTTGACACAAGACTGCGACTCAGTTTTATGGCGTGTTTGGTGACATCTCATATTATTATTCCGCTGCCAATTTCCTGTAACTGTTGAATTTATAATTATAATAAATTTTGCCCAGTCGTCAGTTGGAGGATGGGATTGTGAATGTGTGACGACGAAAAAATCATCACCAACCAAACTAAATCCAGCAGAGACAAATAGACATCCAATCTCTCTGAGCATTACTCACATCACATTTTACTTGCACTCTGTGTAGTGTGTACTCTAACATTCAGGATTCAGGTTTCGTTAAAATTATTATTATCTTCAATCAAAATATCACGTTTTAAAAATAGTAAAATGGTAACAACAATAACGATTTTAGGCTAAGCGGCGGATAGAACGTAGAAGACACAAATTCAAAATTATTTGTTTGTATCAAATCAACTCAACTGTCGTAGAAGATTACACTAAAACGTCACAATATTGTAAAGTTTCTGCAATTTGCAAATTTTCTACTTTCTACAAAGGGGTTTATTAATAACGTGTGAAACTAAAGTATCCTGAACAATTGAGGATTAAGACTGAGGATTTCGCTCATTTTAATAACAACAAAAATGTTTCAAATGCACACTGAGCTAAGGTCCCTCACGGCCCTTTGCGTGGTAATTAATGGTTAATTAATATAAGTAATTGGTAATTCGAATTTTTATATAATTATAATTATAGGTAGAAGACGTTTCAAAGTGCCCGTTAGGCTATACTCCTGTGAGTAACCAACTTTAATAATTTAAATGTTCGTTTTTCACCTATACAATTTAATAATGGAATTATCAATTATGTAATGTGTAGATTGTTCGCACTTATGATAGTGAGTTGGATGCAGACCTTTGGAAGGATGGGTAAGTTTGCAAAATTCTATTAAACTGGTTTTTAAATAAATGATGTTTAATTCAATCGTAGATTTTTTGGCCGGCGAGTGACTCGATACGTTTGTAAGTGGTTCATTTAATTTGTTTGCGTTTATAATAATTGATATCTGTAGATATTGATATCTTGCGTTTATAATCCTTTCGTTGGGACAGCTTATAAAATCGATACATTTGTAAAGCTTTCGATATTTCTAAAAACTTGATACACTTGTTCAGAAGCATGATATAATCACATTTCAATGCTCACAGGCATTTCAAAAAGCCAAGGTAGACCGGAGCATGTTATCCAAGATGTTCAGATTTTGCAAGAAAAGGAGCTTCCCCCTGAAGGATTTTCTCTGGTTCAACAAACTACAGGTACCTTTGTTATTCTTTGTTCGGAAGTCAAGATTGCAACTAAATAATTACTCCTAATTGCTCTTGACAGATTCTAATCAGAAAGCGTTCAAAAAGAAACAGTTATGCTATAAACACTCACATTTTAAACAAAATGTGGAATCCATTGTGGATGTTGTAATTGTGAGCAAATTGAAGAATCCACCCGACGGCTACGACCACATTGGAGATATTAGTGGAATGCACTTTTTAATCAAAAAAGTGTCCGCATTGACAAGATTGTCAAACTCTGGCCCACCCCATTTGTCCCACAAGTATGTTTTTGATTTAAACTTGAACTCATAAGACCTGCGTGTAGAGTGTTTATTCGGGACTTTTATGTTTTCCTCAGCTTACCAGGTGGAACGGTATACCCTACGCTTCACGATTCTATGAATAACCTTAGCATGAGTAAGTCGGCAAAAACTATTTTGAAATTTAAAATACTAACAGCAGTTTAAATGCATGATCTACTCTTTTTAACGATGAATTAGCAACGAATGGAAATGGCGTTCACAGAAACTCGTTGCCTTGTTCAGAAAATTTTCCATACTCCATGCCGAATTCACCTGCTCACATGATGATACCGGGTATGATGGGTCAAGGACAACAACAATCCTACCAGAATAACACAGGGACCTATAGCTCACAAACTATAGCCCATTTGACTGGTTTAGAAGGTGTGCCATTTGTTCTACGTGATGATCTTCGGCCAGCAACAGGGCTAGGAAGCGTGGTGGTATAGAAATAAACATACTGCAAATAAATATAACATGAATGATTATGCAGTCACGATAAAATCATACTCATGATTTATTGAATTCTTCAGAGTCCACGCCCGCTGAATAAATGTAGCATTGAAATTAAATCACATGTGGACGTCGACCGTGAAGTAAGCTAAATAGTAAATAGTATATTTCTTTCAGTTTGAAGCCTGGGCTTAGTTAACAATGTGCGATTTATGTGTCTACTTTAGTACAAGTATGATTTTGACGTTGAACGGGAAACATTATTATGGCAAACGTGAGAAAATAATTGTCAGCATCATCGGCAACGACTGGAAAATTAAGAGAAATATTTTCTACCTATGTACTACAAACCAACTACCGCAATGTATGATTGGACCTCTAAATTATAGCTTACCTTCCGCGTAATAGAGGATTAAGCTTTTTATTCTCATTGATATTTGCAAGTAACATAAAAACCAGAATATTATGACAATTATCAAATTATTATCCATATTATGCCAGTACTATACAAGCTGTTATTGTTGTTATACTACGACTACTGCGAGAATCGATAAATTGCTCTATGCAGAAAAATAAATATAAGTTGTGTCGAAGTATTTTGGTTAAACCGCACCCTGTAATTTCTTTGCGAGCATTTGTTTAAACGTGTACGAGATTATAAGATTTGCGACCCCCTGCACAAAACAATGATGACAATGGTATGCACCAACATAAGAATTTCATCATCACTTGCATGATGATGATGAGAATGCACATGTTGCTTTCCCTACCAGAAAACCCGAACCTATTTTCGGATGCATTTTTTGTTGTGGGTTTAACGATCTTCGTACTAGCATGGTTGCATCTTTTTTCACACGTATACATGTAGCTTATAAAAGCTTATAGCCATACAGAATATTGAAGAATTCGAAATATACATGAGAAAACATGGGAGCAACTATTCATAGATATGCTTGAAAATCTCAACTTCGCAAGCACTGCAGTGCACTATATATTACTTGCTTACACCGACAAACAGACCAAAATGTTTCTATTTACGTCTGCATGTTATTACCCTTCCACCATCAGCGACAACAAGCTGGTCAAATTCACTTAGGATTAATGTTTCAATATCGCTTCTCCATACACCTATTACGACCCCTCGTTCGCCTCCATGTCACAGCTTTGAGGTTTCCGACATCAACTGAGTTCTCAGCAAATCCAGAGTGACATGCTTTCAAAATTTGGTAATTTGGGCATTAGAGATGCAGGATGAAGCATAAAAGTGAATAATCTCCCCAAGCTATAAACGCGTACCTTATTTATTACCCGTAAAATCAGAACCTAAATTAATTTGTGTGATAGAGTTTAGGGTGTCGTGTGTGTTGTTTTGTAAAATCCGGATAAATAAATATTTCCACTATTTATCAACATAAATATTATTGTGGGTTGGATTATAAATTTATAAAGCGTTGTCTATCAGTAAAAAGCCTAATGCATTAGCCAGCTCTCTCCATCAACGTAGGACTAATGTTTTAATAAGTATCTAACCTAGTACCACGATTTCGCACACTTGAATCTGCAAGCTCGCCAAAATGAATAACTCAATCGCAATAACAACGCCCCCACGAGTGCATTTTAACCCTGTCGTTTCCCAACGAAGGTATTGCCACCACCAATACGAGGAAGATTACCAAGCAAATCATCATCGTGACATCACTCCGTCATTAAACAGAGGCGAAATGCCTTTCGATAAAAATAGAAATCAAAATGATATGAAAAATGGGACTCGAGTGAGTGAGACATGTTCAACCCAAGTGGAGAAAGTGAAGAAAGTTCTGGTAACGATTGTTAGTCACACACCCACTTCGCATCATCATCATTACGGTGACAATTCACGACCAACACAAACAAGCAGTGATTCCATCAACCAAGTCTCCTCAACAGAAGACACTCATCAGACAACAAATATTCCCGACCTGTTGAAAACAACCCCTTTGTTTAGTAGAAAGCGAGCAGAAGAAGACAATTTAATAGCAAATCAAGCAGAGCAAAATTCCTTTAAAAACACGTACAACGTAGAGGAGGGAAAAAGGGATAGGAATATTGTTGATGGGGACAAGTCGTCTTCGTCATCGTCGACATTTCCTCCCAGTTCCAACCACCAATTATCACCACATTCACTGTCATCGTTGTTGCCTTGGGGGGCATGGAGAAAGACAGGTTTGCTTCAACAGTTAAGTTTATTGAAACAATTTGTGAGCAAAAAGAAAGCCGGCATCAGCAGTCGCGTGCATCACCCACACCAATCTGCATCTCAACAAGAATACAATTTACCCAAACCTAATAACAACAACAACACCGCTCTTTTTGGCCTGGCGAATGACAATTCAAAGAGGCAACACATTAACTCCAAAAATGGTACGCCACCCTGGAAAATACTGTTTTAAAGAACACCTGTTTGAGTATACATAGATAGCAAAACTGGTTCGGAATCTCTGGAAGACACAACAATTAAACAAAGACCACCGCGAGGACATATTTGATTTTCTTGATTTTCGTTGAAGTTTTTGGACCACATTATGTACATGATTTTTATATGCTGAATTATTATGGTAGATTTTTATTCGTATGTTTTGAAGTCTTATTTTACTTATTCTCAATACCCAGAAATATTTACATTCGTCGAACTTAACTCAAATCATGTGCTCTTTATTTTATGTTTGTTATGTAATTTGAAAATTCTGTTTTTTTACTATGTATGCATATAATTAGGACAACAAGGACTTCATGCCAAACCGGAAGTTACTCGTTCTGAAGATTATCCAGACGAACAAGGAATGAGAATGCTTTCACCTCGTTCTCGTTCACCATCAAATCAATTTAAATACACGAGTAAGACTGGTACGATGGACTTGTGTGAGAAGAAACTCTGCACAGATGAACTCTCTGAAAATGTGGACAAAATCCTGGAAGAAATAGCGGGTCTGGAGGACATGATAGGAAACACCTGTGAACCAGTTGCAGTGTCCACCACACCCACTCGTTTTAAGGAACAAGATGCGACTGCAGAATTTGTCAACGAATGTTGTTCAGTCTCATCTGCTCTGTCGTGTTTGACAGCGTCTGCTAATTCTCTCGCTCTTGTTGGTTCAATTTCTCTACCACCCACAGCACCCCCCTCATTCACCGGATTGACAGACCCTGGAATTAAGAAACCTCCACTACCCCCAGCACACAAAACTAAATATCTAAATTCAGGTAGTTCGTACATATAAACATGGCCATTCTTATTATGCATTACAGATATCCTGTCAGACTCCAAGCTAGCCGAATGCGAGATATGCAAATCTGGTACATGCAAACGAGTTTTACGTATTTTTACAGCGGTCTTCCTCTGGAATTTACATTCATCGTTAAATATATGGATTACACTGCTGTCTGTAGATTAAATGGTTCATATGCAGAGGTGTTTGACCTTATCTCTTTGAAATTCTTTCTATTGCAGTCTCGTCAGTCAGGATAATATGTTTATCTTATTTCTTTGTGTGAAAGTGCATATATACATATCTCCTTGCATTTTACATCGAATGTTAAACGTTGTGATTTATAAACTAATGCCAAGGCCATGTATTTGTTATTTTAGTTTTGCGAAATCAGTTTTTTGGACCAGCTCCTGGAATGCATGAACCTCGTGGTGATCGTGGTACTAGCCGACTTGGTACTACCCCATTAAAATCCTCCCACAAACTTTCACATGAACTTGAAAGTAAGTTGTCGGAAGTGAAAGAAGAACTGCACCGATCGCGGGAAGAAATATCCAGGTTCCATCCGAATCTTGAAGAAATAGACAAGTCTGTGCGCAGTTCCGTGGCCATCGATCGATTTGGGCGAAACCCTCCAAACAGGACGACCAGCTCCAATTCCTCTAACTCTGAAAACTCGACTAATGACCACCACCACCACTCCAGATATGATGAAGAAAATCTCGCTAAACAGTGCAACTGGAATGCGATTGTTACTCAAGCCAAAGGAAAATTACTAGTCTCCTCCCAAAGTAATAAGTTTAACAATGTGGGAGAGTTTAGTCCTAAGAAGTGCACGGGCATCTTGGAAACCGACTTGGACACAGGTGTGTACATAATAGTACATACACACATTGTTCTTTTTCTTCTATAGTTCTTGAAGTTTTTTCGAGACTTTGTAATCTTATTGTTATCAAACATTTCATATCGGTTTTATTATATTTTTTTTGTAGGTGCCAGTCGGGAAATTCTTAAAAGTGACTCCCACTCATGGCAATCCTCAGAACCTGCTATTCCGTACTCTACAAGGGTTTCGCTGAGATACTTGAAATCTCAACCTCTCTCAAAATTTGTTCAAAAACAAAGTACATGCAGCAGCATGCAGAATTTGAATCTCGGAAAATCGTCAACATTGACACCGGCAGGCACAACCGTTTCCAACAAGGAGGATCGCTCACGATCAATGGAGTTCCTCCTTGACGATGAGAAGCATGCAGAGCTGATGGTATATGCATTTTTATAAACTTATGACAAACTGGTCAACTACAAATACTCTGCTACCACCCATAACAAGCCAATAGAAAAAGTCAGCATTTATTGACAAAATTATTTCATGGCTTCCGAGTACTGATCTCTTCTCAACGAGGACATGATTAGTCAGTTGCACGTACATACACACATTACGTTGGCAAACTCTCAATCATTTAAACGGCCTTGCAATGAAGTTTTGTAACAAACTGTTTAGTAAATCTGATACCCTTCATAAACAAACAATTCTAGATTAGTACACGTATAGCTTCTACAAATGATAATTATCCTCCAGTCCGGTTAATATTTCAATGACAGCTGCAAACAACTGGTGCATGGTCATCATTAATATTTCTATGTGTGACTCTACATCCTCATATATTAAAGAACTCATGATATTGATTAGTTGGATGCTCATAATCAAAAGAGATTACATGATAGAACAACAAGAACTGTGTGGGAGTAAAATATTTTCATGCTTTTAGTAGATTTTAATGTTTAAACTGTCAGTGCAGACTTCCTCGTCAAGTGATACATCGAAAATAATGGCAGTTTTTACGGAATATTTTCAGCCTCCAGAAAATGCACTGCAAAAAAATCAAGAGCGTGAGGTGTCTGAACATGAATTACGGATTCAGGTAAGAAGTTTTAGCAAAGCGACATATATCTTAAATATATTACAGCGATCATTACATATACATAAAATGGGTTATGAAATACCTATTGACGATATTTTGTTTTTCAGCGATCATTACAAAGACTCAATGTGCCTGATTGGTATAAGAACTATGCAACACCGACTTCCGCGTGTAAAACGCCAAACCGAGAATTTGGAAGTGGAACTGGATTAGCAGGTAAAACTTAACTTTGTTCTTGGGATGTTTGCTAATTAAATAAGCTTTGAAAATATTTATTATTGTATGTCTGCAGGGGGTTGGTCAGGCTTGTCATCGTCGAAAACGTCATCCCTGACCAGCTTACAATCAGCGGGTCGTTATGCAGGTCAGTTTCATTGACATGTTCTGTCTAGCTATTGTATAGTACGTATGATCTGGAGCTAATTATTTGTATATATCTTTACTAGGAAGTAAAACAGGATTTTCGTCCACCAGACCAAGGGTCACTACAACCTCTGGTCGATCGTCTCGGGAATCACTCATGAGTCCAAATTCAACTGCGAGTGCTAGTCCGTCGCCTTATTTCGAAAGGAGTTCATTTACGTAAGATATTTGAAATTAAACATATATTTTTCCACTAACTTTTTTTACTTACTTTTTCCAATAAGTTAATTAAAATCGATGTTGAAACATGTTACAGTTATGGTATGCCATATGCACTCTCTCGATTCTCTACCCGAATGAGCTGCGGTGCAAGTCCTGCGTCGCTTTCACCATCCCCCTCACCAGTTGGAGGTATCACGTCATCGACATCCACTCCCGTGTCTTCAGGTCCTATGTCGCGATACGGCTATAACAAGACACCCTACCTTGGTTGGCGGTCTCAAGAAAGGTTGAATTCTAAAACATTGTACCGCTCACCTTCTGAAAGGTAGATTTATAATTTTGATTTACTTTTCAACAAACTATACTCTTTTAGATAAAGGTTTTAACGTAACCCATATAAAATAATGTATATAATATCTGCATTATAGACTTGCGGCTGACTTGGTCTCTCAACAACAAAAATCAACCACACCCATCTCGACTACGGCAAGTAGTGACGTGAGTACAGTTACGTCACCCAGAAAAGAAACGGCATCAGATTTGAGTCTTAATATCAGCGATACTAGTGAAAGCAGCAACAAGTTGAACAGGTACTGTAATCTTCGTACTCACTCTCGCTGGTCTGTGCTAGTCGGTCAAATATTTGTTCTATCCAAACTTCTGAAACTTTACTGGTCCAAGTAAATATTTAGATTCTAATTCATTGTTGGAATTTCATTTTCATAATATTATTCCCAAGTTTTTGACAAATTTAAAATGAAATTACAACACTTTGTTTTGTTTTCTTGACGTGATGATTTTGACAACAGGGTACGGAGCTCAATTAAGGCCGTGTCTAACGCCATAGTCGACTATGTCAATGAGACAAAACCGTTAGATGAAGGAATAAATGGACGTACGTCTCCGAGACGGCGAATGGTATGGCTAGAAAGTTCATTTGTGGGTGAGTACGGCTTTTAACAATTTTGATGTAATTTAAATGTTTAAAAGAGGCAAATCAAAAAAGTTTCATAATCTATGTGTAGTATGTATAATTTTTCATAGCCTAGGCTTCATTATTAACCTCTCATTTGTAGGTACGAAACCACTTGATTCTCCCGGAACGCCGGATACCACACCGTCGTCTGTAATCATGAGTCACCACCACAACCTAAGCGGACAAGGGACAACAGCCTCGTACCTACACAGCAAACGGAGCGCTATGAAATTGGATCATAACGGCGATAATAACAAAGACACGGTCAAAACATCTCATGAAAGCTCACAGGCTTTTTCATCATACCTTTCTAGAAATGGTGAGCCGCCCTTTTAGCAATTCTGATATGGTGACACGGTTCATGGCGTCAAAGCAGATTTAATATTCAGCTTTCTGTTGCATTTATGAATCTTGGTTTTGCTCTCTTTCCACACAAGCAGCATTGTTTTGATTGACTATATATCGCTTTGTATCTTGATTATTTATGAGCGTGAACTTTCGTAGTCTTCTATTTCTCATAATTTTAGCATATGACATGTCCTCCTAAATTGAGGTCATATTTATCACATACTGCACCAACTATTGCCACTATTACACTCTCTTCTCATCTTTACTATATACATATATGTATATCTTTATATCTACTACGTATATCACTAAATTACGAATGAGGTTGTATTTTGTATTGCAATTTTTGCTCCAGAAAAGCCAGCAATTCTTTCGCGACTCTTCTCCATCTTCCTCCACATGCAGACAGTTTGATCAATCTTATTTATTATTTAATTGATCTCCTGCATGGCTTCAATATCAGGTTCAGGTCGTTTTGGTCTGAGGAGGAGAGCGTCACCACCTGCCCTTCACAGATCTCGATGCCCTTTGGATATGTGGTAGGGTCCTATGAGTGTACTATAACCCTAAAGTGGTTTGACTCCATGGCCACATTTGCGCCCGCCACACCCACTCAAAGGGATGAAAACCACAAAAGTTACCAACTTCAAAAATCCACCAAAAATCCAATTTTGCGCGGATTTTGATAAAATTTGCATTTTTGTGATCCCAGATAGTTGCCTGATAATATTCAATAGCAATCTCAACTTTTTTGAAATTTTCGAAATTTTCGAGCTGACAATAATGCTATTCGAAAAAATTCAAAATTTCAAAAAATTTGGGATATCTACTGGATATGATCACACAAGTATCTGGGATCACAAAAATGTAAATTTTATCAACATCCGAGCAAAATTGGATTTTTGGTGAAATTTAAAGTACATGAAAACAGGGCTTTTTTCGTGTTTTTGGCGCCTTTGAGTGGGTGTGGCGGTCGTAAATGTGGCCATGGAGTCAAACCACTTCAGGGTTTTAGTACACTCATAGGACCCTACCACATATCCAAAGGGCATCGAGATCTGTGAAGGGCAGGTGGTGAAGCTCCCCTCCTGAGAAGACTTTTACATTATGTTTACTTTCACAACTGAAGCCAGTTGTGGTACAAGTAGTTACTTTTCGATTCTAACTCTAATATCATTGACCTAAAGATAATATATACCTTCATATTTGCCATTCAAGTATTTAAGTTGTAGTACCCATATCTGTTAAAGCATTCAATATTTTTTGTTATTATTGTTGTAAAAATGCAAATATTTGGTTATTTTTACTATATTCTGCTTTGTTCTTAGTATTTTAGTTACGTATGATTCGCTATACTTTCCATCTTATTTTATTTGGTCTACTTATTTGTACATGAACGATTATTGTAAATTTTTTATCACATTTTCATTTGAATTAAAAAACTGCCTTTACTGCCTTTGGAATACATTTTTATACCAAAGTTGTTTATTTTTGAATTCATTATACATATACATATGTACATTTAATCATTATTTTATAATCCTGTCACAAGTAGTGTTAATTTATAATTACTGTCTTTTGTAGTGAAATGGAGTGATGAATGACGGATTTCTTCGTCTTGAGTTCTGCATTTGTCCCTTCTTGCCATTTAATAAATTTAGTAGACTAGAACGCTGTGGGTCGTAAGTAGTACTAGCATTCTTCGCCAAATTTTCTCTTCTGTACGCTCTCTCTCTCTCTCTCTCTCTCCACGATTTTGGTTTTGATTTCTCCATTGATTTGCACAAAGATGAGTTGTTCAGTTCCCTCTTGATGACGTCGCTACGTTTTTATGAAGTCTAACAATCCTCTGTAAAAGCAGACAGCACCTTTATAAAATTACCCCCACATTACACTTTTAAAAATTAACACGACAGTCACCAAATTTAACCAGCCACCCTCTCACCCAAACAATTCGTGCAATGCAATTCTTATGGCAATCCACGCAATATACACGATCTATGCAATCTACGCATGGTAAGTTCAAAATTGGTTCCACATTTATTATTTGTATTATTTATACACTAATAAGTGCATGCAATTCTCATGCATCAAAATTAAATTCCGGAATTGCGTTCTTTTACGAGACGTTATTACAATTAAATTTTTATTTGCGCTTATCAAATCATGATTTGTTTACATGCATCCACCACACAGTCACGGCGTTTATAATGTGCTCGCATACGTAATAATACTATTTTGTTTATGGATTCGCATTATTTACTCAGGTTGATTTCTAGTTTACTTATTGTCATTAAATCTCTTCGGTTAAAAACCGGTCACTAAATTGGTTTTTTGTACTTGATTCATTCACAAATGAGTTTATTGCATGTGTTCAGAGAAAACGGGAGAATGTTCAGAAAAAACCTCACCCACACTGGACGACATTCTCGATTCCTTACTCGCTTTAAGGCGACCCCACAAAAAGATAATGGGGAGCAAAGGTATGCAAGATATATAAAAGTTCAATAAATCCACGTAGCTATGTCAAAATCAGTCCCAACTGCCCCCACAACCAACCCCACCTTCTTTTCTTCTCTTATTACTCCCCACTCACCACCATAGTCGTGAGCCATTTATTTATTACACCGTATACCGAGCCCACTGCTAAATATGTACACATACCCACACTCGCTCACTTTCACTCACTTTCACTCTCGCTGGAGCAGTTAGCCTAGCCACACACTCAAACAGCTAAACAGAATTGAGTTACATAAATGAATCCTTATTGTCAGTTGAATTTTGTACGCTGTCGCTGACAAAGTGTTATGTTGCGAGAAACGAAATAGTAACTCAAGTGAAAGAACAGTAGCATATTTGTCGTTGCTTTTTTAATTTAGTTTAGTCATTGGTTTAGAATAATAGGACATCTAAATAGCTTGTCGTATTTAGTCTTGATAACAAGAGTTTCTAAATAGTTGTCATTCCTCTCCTTTTTCCTCTAATAGGCCACACCATCACTAAACATATACCAGCAGCAACAATCACTAACCCACTTTCCTGGTGAAAGTTTCGCCGCTTTTCCTATATGCATGCCTTTCCAACACCTTTTCTCTCTCTAACCCTTCTGATTATGATCATTTATTTATTAGTTGTTATTTTTAAATCAATTTCCATTTCATGGCTGCAGCAATAGTTCACTCGCTTGTATATCGTTCGTATCATACACATGTGTTTAATATAAGTTGTTGCACTTTTATTCAAACCTTTTAAAATACTATACACATACCACTTGACACCTCACCTTCTCATATTGCCAGCCTTTATTTGTATCTGTGTTAGTTGTGAATTGTGATGTGAAATGAATGTAATGTGGTGTGTGAAAGTCAAAGTGAGAACGGGAATTTCAGGTGATAACAGCCAGCTTCCTTCCTCAAAAGACACCACTACCACGGCTAGAATATCCCCACCACAGCCGCCCTTCACCTCGACCTTCTTGACCTCCTTCTCTCCAGACGCTAATCCGTACGACAATCCACCCATGTCGGACTGGCAACAACGAATGAATCAGCCCTTGGACGACACCATATGCTTTCCCCAGGAGGATGTGGACCCATTCACGTTGCCAACCACCACCCCTTTCACCAGCAATACTACCACCACTACCAGAGAGAGCACTTACCATGATCATGATGCGACTCCCACGTACATGGACGCCTTGAGAGACATTAGTGCAACGAGTGCTACAAACCCTGAACTGGGGTCTTCAGACTATGGTGCTACTTCCCCGACGACAAAGTATCGTCCCTGGCTGGACGACCCCACATTCGGAGATCGGAACGAAGACGAGGACGAGGGGAAGATTGCTCAAGAGGAGTTAAACTTTGGAACTCCGACTGAGATTCTTCCCCCGGGCCCCACCCTCGTTACGAACCCTTTAGCAGGTCTAAACGAAAATTCCAACCCCACCACCCCCGCCAGACATCGGAGAGTCTCCTTCGACCTCGACGTCAGTGACAAGGACGAGAAGAGCAGCTCACGGTCAAAAAGAGACAACGAGCCCGTCGGTAAGAAGACTAATAATTCTCACCCTTCCCCCTCCAAAAACTATACGAATATGTGTCTCTCAGTATATCGTTATCAAATAACATCGTAATGTCAGGTTTTTCATGAGTTTTAGTTTTATTTATGTGAACGTAGTTTTGTGGTTGATTTGTGGCTTTTTTCACAAATGATAGTAGGAGACGAGTTTCTGTTTCTGGTTGACACCAACTTTCGAGATGAGATGAAATTGCGTCTCCACATTCCAGCGCTTTTTATTAAACCAGCTTATGCTTTGTCCAACTTAAATTAACTATTCGATAATGTGGTTTTTAAGAAAACCAAATACAGGATGATTCAGCCTGGTTAATTCACTTTTTCCATACAGGAGGCACAATTCAATGCAAAAATTCCAAGTGTGGAAAGTCGGCAACGGGGTTGGAAGCACGGAGAGAATTCAAGGTTAGAATAAGATATCATGCAGGATTTTTCATTTTTGAATTACTTAAGAAATCACTTCCATTTCTTTCACTTGGAAGGATTAAATAGTATGAAGAATTTTTTATCTGGGGTGGCAATTTGTCAGGTCAGGAGGTCAGTTGAAGTTTTAACGAAAAACTTTTAAATGTCATGAACAATGCAATCGAGTCTAAGAATTAATTGCCTAAGTTAATTTCAATAAATATTTTCTCTGCTAGGATAATCCTCGCTGTTTTATTAATTAGTCGAAAATTACTGAAATTTTGCATGCATATGTACATAATATTGTTGTATATGATATACGGTACATAAGTAGGTATATAGATACTATATTGGGGAAATTAATGCATAAAATGATGCCACCTTTATAAAATTTTGGTGATCAAGATTTGGTCAATGGGTGGATGGAAAAAATCTATTCTGGCTATATAATTTTTTCAAAAATTCTGCATGTCAAGTTTTCATATCCTTTTTAGCCCGAGTCAGGGCTTATGTACCCGTCACGTCCGTCTGTCTGTCTGTCTTGCGATAACTGCCGTAAAACAAATCCGATCGACTTGAAATTTTGCACACATGTAGTATGGGTCAAATGAGGAGTTAAGTTCGAAGATGGGTGAAATCGGTCAAGTGGTTGACCGGTGGGGGTCATCGGAGTGGGTGGGGTATTATGCACCAAAATTTCAAAATTGTCGTAGAAAGCTGAAATTTGGTACAGAGGTTGCTAATGGTTTATAATGGAGGAATACAAAGTAAAATTGCAAAATTTTCATCTGGAGGGACCCTAGAGGGTGACCCATACCGATTTTTAAAACTTATCCAATCGAGCTGAAATTTGGTACATAGGTTGTCAATGGGTACTAATGGAGGAATATGAATTGAAATTCAACACATTTTCACCTGGACAGACCCTATAGGGTGACCCATACCAATTTTTCAAATTCGTTAAATCGAGCTGAAGTTTGATAGACAGGTTGGTAATAGCTCTTAATGGAACAATATAAAGTAATATAAGAAAAAAATTCATTTGGAGGACCTTATTGGGCGATCCATACCGATTTTTGGGCCTTTTAAGATGGCCTTATAGATTTGCCAAGATGTCTGTCTGTCCGTCCGTCTGTGCGTCCGTCTGTGCGCACGATAACTCTCTTTAAACACAAGCTATCGACTTGAAATTTTGCATACTTCTTCTTCGGGCAAAAAGTAAGGTTGAGTTCGGAGATGGGCATGATCGGTCAAGTGGTTGACCGGTGGGGGTCATTGGAGTGCGTGGGGTATTGTGCACCAAAATTTCAAAATTGTCGTAGAAAGCTGAAATTTGGTACAGAGGTTGATAATGGTTTCTAATGAAAGAATTGAAAGTAAAATTTCAAAAATTTTCATCTGGAGGGATCCTAGGGGGTGACCCATACCGATTTTTAAAACTCATTCAATCGAGCTGAAATTTGGTTTGGGGGTGGCTAATGGCTACTAACGGAAGAGTATGAATTGAAATTAGACACATTTTCATCTGGACAGACCCTATGGGGTGACCCATACCTATTTTTCAAAATGGTCATATAGAGGTGAAATTTGGCATGGAAGTTACTTATTGGTCCAAATTGAAGAATATGAATTGAAATTTGACAAATTTTTATCTGGAGTGACCCTATGGGGTGACCCATACCTATTTTTGAAATTCATTAAATCAAGCCGAAAATTGGTAGAGATGTTGGTGATGGATCCTAATTGAACAATATGAATTAAAATAGGAACAATTTTCATCTGGAGGACCTATTGGGTGACCCACACGGATTTATTAAATCATCGTATCAAGTGGAAATTTGCTACATATGCTGTTAATTGATACTAATTATAAGAATATCCCCAACTTGGCCTGACTTGGCTATATCAAGTCTGCCCTGTAGGTTTAAATTGTTTAACGTCCATTTACGATAAAATTTCATGCTAACAAGTATCACCGTGCCGGAATTTAGCTTCTTACGGCAATTTCTGAAAATCGGTATGGGTCACCCTCTCGGTTGAAAAATTTTCCAATTTCAATTCACATTCTACCATTATCACGCTACATGCCAAATTTCAGCTTTCTATCACAATTTTTAAATTTTGGTGCATAATACCCCACTCATATAACCCACACTGGTCTAAATCTTTTCTGATAGAACCCATCTTCGAACTTCGAACATCTTGGTTGTTGGATTGCCCAGATACATGTATGTATCAAATTTGGTAAAAATCTGCTAAGTCGTTCGAGAGTTATCGAAAGACAGACAGACGGACAGGTCGATTACATAAGCCCTGGTTTGGGCTAAAAATTATATGCAAATCGTTCACTATAGTCTGGCTTTTAGGTAATAATGCCGTCTTAAAAGGCCCCGCAAAGTTGCTTGAAGTAGGTTTTTGATATTCTTTTATCGAGCTGAATTAGTTAAATAGCCTGCCAATTGTTATTAATAGAAGAATGTGAATTTAAATTGGAAAAATTAATCTAAATTTAAATTTTTTGAAACTCATTTACGATAAAATTTCATGGAAAAGTCTGATTGAGTGAAAATATGTGTGCACCAACAAAAGTATAACCTAGTCACCCGCGTGGCTGGAATTTACATATGTTACGTCGAATATTAGTAGGATAATACTCTGTGAGTTTTAGGAAAAACTATTCGCTCGTTAAAAAGTTATGGTCATGGTCAATACTGGTGACCAGGGGATATCACTATATCTTTTAATATGTTCATATGCATTTACGATAAAATTTCATGCAAAAAAGTCGAATGAGGGTGATAATCACAACTAGGCCTGACTCGGGCTATATCAAGTCTGCACTGTAGGTTTTTTATTTCTATTTTTCGGTATGCATGATATAAGTTTTCTTGGTCTCTTTTCTCAAGACATGTCACAATTGCAACGCTTACTACTGCTCCAGAGACTGTAGACGAATTCACTGGGAGAAGCACAAAAAGGTTTGCATGCAGAGTCGAGGTGAGTTACATTCATACATAAATCTCGAGATTATTATTCCCAGAAAAAAGAGCGTGAATTTTTACAAAAATTTGTTTGTGACGTTGCAGTGGGTCAGTTGTGCAAACAGATTATTGGTCACTGTAAGGTAATTATTTTAGTCCATTAACAAAATACTAATTTAAACACGTAAAATGAAAAATGATTTTCTTGGCAATGTACTTCAAAATCTGATAATATTATAATTTGCATATGTACATAAGTATTGGACTTGAGTTGTCAACATCAACTTGGGCGTCTCAACTTGAGACTCTCAAGTCGGGTTGGATTACACTTACAAATTGTATTCTATAAAACAGGAGGACTCGTTCGTGGTGAGCCAGCTGAGCACGATGGCGCGTCGGGGGTACTTGGCCAAGGGGCGTGGTTGCGTCAAACTCTTCTTCTCCTCCCCAGATCGAGCGGAACGGTTCCTCACTGGCGGACTTCCCGAACTGCCTGAACCCTGGTGAGCCTACATGAATAACATTGGTCTTTCTTGTCCTGTCTGTCTCGTGTGTGACAACCGCACGTTGCTCTGAATAGTGAAAGCATACCCTTTTGAATTTCAGGTATATCCCCCACGCGGACATGTTACCTGAAGGTAGGCAATTCTATTTTGTATCTTGCAATTTGCTAGTATGTAATTAGACAGATCACGTCCTATCCACGTAAATGCCAGAGATTGGCCAAACTTGTGTTCGATGTATGAAGTAGACGCAGTAGGTCAAAAGTGTGAGAATCGAACGAGACAGTGTCGCTGCGACACTGTCGCAATTTATTTACGCAAACAGTGAGATTTTTTCATGGTAGGCTGAGTAAACTGCTATAATGAATCTTGCAATTGCAGAAATGGGTGCCCCGACATTTTCAGACCTAAGTGAAAGTTGTCGAATGTACAATACGGAGACACGTTTCGTCCTCTACGTTAGTGTTTGTGTGGTCAACGAGGTTCCCACGTCAGGTTCAGTGAAATGGGAGAGAGAAATGGTGTCTCGCTGTTCAAAGATTCGTCTCCTGATTCCTCGAAGTTTCGACGAGAGTCAGCCCCACCATCATGCCGCCATCCCAGCCCACCTTAATCCCGACGACATCGACCCCCGGTCATTCTCCCCAACGCACGGCCCATGCCCACCACCACTACTGCCATCCACCACCAGTGACAGGGGTGATGGGAGTGGTGACGAGGGAGGAATTGTTGGTACGGACAATGAGACCCTCATCCTAAGATCAGTGCCTACCTCCGAGTCGCTGAAGGTATATGCATATATGTAGATATTTACATATTATCATCCGTTATTCTTATGCATTTGTTCCGATTTCTCCCAAACATTGAAGACCTTGTTGATGGATTGCATGTTAATTTGTATGTTTTGTTCCTCAGTTAAACAGTGACGACCGACGACGGCGTGAAATCAGTTTCACCAATATACAAAAACATCTCATCGAGCGCGGTGTAGATCTTCGAAGGTACATAAATGTGAATGTTTTGCTTTGTGCAGAAAAATAAGATAATACACGACTGTGTTGCATTTCATCAGAATAAATAAGATATTCTGGATAGCAATTAAAGAAACTAAATTTGATTTGATTTCAGAGTCTATCCTGATATATATTCAAAGTTGTGCAATTATGTGGAGAACGATGAACCTTTTCTGCCTGTGACGATTTACCCGAGAAACTCTCAGACTGGGGGTCAATTCATGTGCGTCATTATGCCAGAGTCTTCAGATACGAGTTATGGACTTTCTTCAGACCCTTTGAGAAAAGTGGAGACTATCAACATTTCCGAATAACATTTCTATATGTGTACTTATCCTGCAACAACCCTCTTGACCACCACAGCTATAACTATCTAAATTTCGTATAATATTTTTCAATGCACATCTCTCTCAACACTACGTATACATACTCATGCTAAATATGTAGGATCATCTCCCCAAGGCGCATTTATTGTTCAACTACATATTGACTCTGGTTACCAGTTTCTAATTTTGTTGTCACCACCTACTACTTCTAAAACTTTATCAATACTCTATACGCCGCCACAACTTTGTACTATTTTCTACTGAAATGCACTGCTTCACAAACAGACGAATAAGTTTGCGGATAACTCACTTTGCATACAAATATCTGACTCATTATCCGCGACATTATATATCAAATCCACTTTCATGCACGTTATGTACGCACTTTCCCTTCGCTACAAACACGCATTAGAAATTCTTCTTGATTAATGAAATGATGCGATCGTTAATAATGAGATCACCAATTGTGCTCTCTGAGATGTTGATGAATATTTGTGTAGCGTCATTCGATTTTGTGGCCTACAAACTGCTAAATACCCCAATTTTTTTCATGCACTTAACAGTGTATTTTTTGGCACCACTATTAATCCAATGACTGTAGTGACTAAAGCGAATCTCTTGTCGCACTGTAATTCGAGAAAATTGGAGAAAGTGTAAGGGCCAACATGCTCCTCTAATTTGGTTTGCCACTTCTCCAATGATGACGTTTGGTTATTATTGCATTAATGTTGTCTCACAAAATTGAATCAACGAAAGTGGTACTCGGTCGCTACAATTCAGTATTAGCATTGACGACCCCGTAATGACTACCAATTACCCACCCAGCAGTCTTACTCGGGTGGGAGTTCCTTAGACTACGTATTTATTATTGCATACAATTCTCAAACTCTTACGGCCGCAGTGGTGCTGATGCATTCCGATTTCGGTGAAAGCTATGTACACGTCGGAATGGAGAAAGAGGTGGTTTAGTAGTTGAGCTAGTTGGTTGGTGGGGTTCTTCGAGTGACCACATAAATATATTGCATAACAATGTTTGTAGCATTTAAAAGCCTAAATCTTTGAAGGTTCGGGACGTTGCCCTTGTGCCATATTATATAAAGAATTGAATTAATGTTAAAGGGAAGGATGATACTAAATATTGTGGTGGTGGTTATGCAATGGAGTACTCGTTCTTGACTAGGTGTTAGGTAAATTGTATGTAGATAGGTAGGTAAGTGTAGGTGATACATAGGGAAAAGGACTGCTGAGATTCTTTTTGACTTTGAACAATCATTATCAGTAAGACGATATCATCATCCGTTTTTATGACATTTATTATAATACAAAGAAACTTCCAGACAAAGAATATTAATTACATAGTTCATAAAGTCCGTCAGCTACTAATAAATAATACAAGGAGGAAGATATGAAAACGTAATTGACCGAGTTTAACTATCATCACAAGACAACAAATTAGTACTCATATTCTTCTCCGCACACAGACAGTTAAACTTTGCGAGAACTTTTATATGTTATTGGTAATAATGAATTATTATTATTATTATTATTATTATTATCAAACTATTTAAACGGTAGTAAAACTATTGTTAGTACAAACAATAACAGCAACCGGCAACCGTAGACCTATGTACATATATACACAAGATACATTTGTGGAGAAGGTAAAACTGAATTTTAAACCACCTTCTTCTCAGACTATTGTGTAATATAATGTGGAATCGAATAGAAAAGGTTATATAGAACAACAAGTACTAATAATGCTGGATCGAAAAATGTAACAACGATATTTCAATGTGTTGTATTGAATTTTAAAATAACTTGAATAATTATTAAAATGGTCAATGTACAACTTATTTTTTCTGTGCCAAAGTTAATAAAAGCATCATTGCACGTTGGTTGGATGATGTTGTCTTCTGAATTAAATATTGGTATTTGATTTTATCATTAATTTCAACCCATGTCCCCATCTTGATCGTCTTCCAATTCCTCATGTTCTGCATCATCGTTCACGTTCCGTTTTCTGGTATATGCTCTTCTTGCAATTTGCGGAGGATGATCCTACAAAAACAAATTTCCTTAGTTGATATCGAGAGCATTCAAATCAGATAAACTAATGAATAAATTTTGTTACCGATTCTCCATGCATGAGTGAATTTCGGTAAGCTGTAAAACAGATTTTACAAAAAATAAGATTAATTTAAAGCCATAAATCATGTATTAAGAATAATTAGTTTACCATATAATGGCTGCCAGTGGGCACCCTGGCTCGATGGAACTGCGGATCCGACACGATGATCCAAGAATTGTAGTACAACCCGCTTATCTTGCTTTAATAGTTTGTTGGTAAACTCGGACAGGATTTCCTGAAATGGAAGATTCGGAGGTGGTCCAGTCGGGTCGTTAGGGTTTTCCAATGGGTTGACAGAGAATAATATTCCTTCACGATGCAGAGCGGTGATGGCGTCCCGATTTTTAACACCATCCAGGCCAAAACTCAAAGCGAATCGCTTTGCCAAGTCCTTCAGCGCTGTAAACTCTTCGGCTGACCGGTCAACCATCCAACTGTTTGATTTTGGGAGTTCTGCAAACACGTTTGTTAGACTCACTATCATTGTGAGGGCACAGTTGACTTTGTTAATTTCTCTAGCCTTCCCCAACGTAGCTTTAATGATGTCACCATAATCATTGTAGTGCTTTACATAGTACTGAAATATAAAGAAGGGTGCGATTATTACTTTTTCAAGTCCGATTATTATTATTATTAAATGTTTCTAGGTACGATTATTTCACATACTTTGAATACATCAGCTGCAGCACTAATAGGCAGGACATTGTACACAATCAGTTTACAAAATTGTGCCAAATAATTCCTCATTTTATGTAATCCTTCGATCCTGGCATGTTCATCCAACTCATCATCCCTGTCCTCATTGAACACGTTGTCTGAAAATCAAGAGTTATTTAGAATTTAAAAATTAATGCTTTTATAATTACTCAACCCATAAAATACCAGATGAATACCTTGCATGAATCTATTGAGAAGTCTCTGCAATTCTTGATCCGGTTTGTAAACTAGAGTTTCCATCCATTTCTGGCTTGACAACTGGTCACAAAATATAATAAGTCCGTCGCAAATAGATGTGTAGGCCTCCTCTTTGAAGGAGTGTGGACCATCGTGTTGGAAAATCAAGTTTTTCATTTCAAACATGTAGTCGTTCAGTTTGCGATGAAGTTTGGGAACATCATCGGTTCCTGAAATGAAATAAACATTTTGTGAAATAAGCGTATAGTTTATAATTCACTTTGTTTAATAGATATTACCAGAGACACCGTGTTCTCCTTTTTCTTGAATGTTCTTTAAATCCCAGAGTAATGCAAAATAACATGCCCCTATAGCATGCTTCACGGCTTCTTGAGGATACAGATTTGTCCCATGTGTGGATCGAATAATTCGAAATAATCGTTCCCATACTTCAAACTAGCCAGATATTATACTTATTTTCATACATATTGTAATGACAATAATACTGAGTTATTGAAAACGAATCGCACATAAGTAAATGTGATATATCGACAAAAGTACAAAGTGATCAAATAAATACATGCTATTCGTTTTCAACAATACAATTTTAAAATTAAAAGTGATGAATACCTTGTCAAAACTGTGACATCCATAAAATACTGCGATTTTTCGGAGACTCATGTTGAGATTGTAAATATCATCCCTGTCGGGTTCTTCTTCGGCTAAGCTGGCCTCATAATCCTTAGAAGCAGCAGCAAATTTGAGCCAAATAGATTCCAAAACATTCATCAATGCAACTTCTGTTCTGCTCGACTTTCTAGCGTCGTCACAACAGATGGTTTCTAATGTTTTTGCTACAAGAACAACAATTTCAAGTTCCATGATGTATATCAGTAATTCCATTTATTTATTTTATTCTATGACTTGTAAATAAAATGATGGCTTACAAGCAACTTCTAGAACATCGGGTTCACTGTGCTGGTCTGTAATCTCTTTTATAAGTTCCAACAACATGTCCAGAGACTTTTCCTGTCGCGACGTGGTGTAAATTTCCAAATCAAAGTACTGAGGGAGAGATAGCAAGTTTGCAACTTTTTCCGGGTCCAATTTGTACTTTGTGAGTAAAGTTGGAAGAGTGGGAATGAAGTGTTCCGTTAATCGAATCTTGTCATCGCTTACTTGTTTGAGTTCTTTGGCTGATAGGATTTTTCGGGTAGGACCTCTTCCTGAAAAGAAAAAGCGTGTATGTTTTATCAATTTATTACTACTTGGCTAACCGTCCCTGCTATACCACACTTGCTAGTTTCATTCGCCGCACCACATCACACCAATTCTATGTACACAAAAGTTAGCAAGTGTGTACCCCACTCATTATAGTTGTTAGGAAAATTTAAGTTTTTGATCTATCAATTTTCTAAAGAAAAACGACTAATAAAATGGTAAAATGTTATCAAAACCCGACAAAAGGTGTCTATGAAAAATGGCTCATTTTATGATAATTAAGGTTGTAATTTACCAATTGGTGGCTCTCCAGTAGCACATTGCTTAACTGCGCAGACCATAATTTCGATAAGGGATGTTTCTTGCTTGTCATCCAACGGTTCCTCTTGTGGCCCATTTTCTTCAATGAGTAGATCTGTCATGCATTCCCAATCCTTCATCATGGGGTTGGATTCAATTAATGAATCCACCAAATAGGCTCCATGTTCATGAAGCTCTGACTCGATAAAAAATTGCACAAGATCTCGAATTAGAGGAGTGTTCGGGAGCCGTGGCTTCCCCCTCATCGTTCGAATGTTTTCAACTGCCCCTTCATCTACTACGAACAGTCGTTCATTCAAAAATTCTCCCGCAGCTTGTGCTATAAAAGTAATAAATTTTTAACAATTCGTTTCATCAATAAGTAAATGCGCTTATTATGTGAGCTGTAGATTTGGTAACAATGTCTTTGATTCTTACCCACAGCACGATGAGAAGAATAAACAAGTTCGTACACCAATTCACAATCCTTGTCGGTCAAAATCTGCAATTGAATGGTGAAAGTTAGTAATATTGGAGAAACCAACTACTCGTCAAGTTTTAATATACAAATAATTAATACTGCTTTAAAAAAATAGTAAGTGCGAACTACCTCTCGATGAAATTTGTGGATCAGAATCACCAACTTAACAGCCTGCACGGCCACATCATATTCCTTGTCCAGGGTCATGGCTACAATTCTATCCTTAAACTTGCTGGTAAAAAGTTCTAGTTTCCCCTTGAGTTCCTCCGTGGAGTACAATGGTTGTAACGCCTGAAGACACTTTAAGCGAACTTCACCAACTTTGTCGTGAAGGGTCCATCCAATATACTTTAAATATGAATCATCCAGAAAGTTTTGATGAAATTTCTTCATCCAAATCCCAATTTCAGCCATACAAATTGCCCGAATCTATTGAAACCGAAAATTATCAGTGATTAGTAAATTTTACACTATTATCGTTTTAAAGGTGTGAAAATGATTTAGTGTTGCTCACCTCGGGTAATGTGTCACGATAACGATGCACAAACACCGATTTGAACATATATGTCAGCATGTTTTTAATCTCATCCATGTTTTCTTCTAACTCTTGGCGTTTAGTCATGAGAGCTTCCAGACGATCCGTTGCTCGTTTCCCACTAGCTTTTTGTCGTTCCGAGTCGTACTGCCGTTGAGTGTTGTCCAGATTGATGGACACAGTAAGAGCTACATCCACCAACGCTGTCATGAGTTTCATAGCTGCCAACGTGGCTGTGTGCCTAAATGCCCGGACTTGTGAATCGGATAATCCAGTGAGGAGGGAAATTACATTATCCATCAAATATTGATCATAAATGATGCTGTACTGGCACTGCTTGACCAACATCTGAACAAAGTCGCAAAATATTTGCCTAAACTTTTTCCACTGCTGCCCGGACATGACCAATGGGTATTCTCCACTCTCTTCATCAAACTCCTCTGTCATTTTTCTGCAAAAATAAATAATTACAACACTGTACCCCGTGAATATACTTATAAGGAATTATAGCTAAAGTAATAAACTCTTACCGAATGATTGCAGCATGTTCCATAGATGCCATTTGGGGTGTTATTTTTCCTTTACACCCCGATGCGCTAATGAAAAATTGACTTAGCTTGAGCAAGGTCGAGTCTTTGTTGCTCTTGTAATCATCAATCCAATCATCCACCAATGCTTGCAGAGAACATTTTCCTTGTAAAACTGCATTGTACAAGCTGTCGTCTTCATCAATATTAGAATGATCTACTGTTGCAGCAGCTGCAGCACCACGTTTGCTTCCACCTGCTGCTCTACCTCGTGGTCTTTTTCCCACTGGTTCATCTGGCGAAACATGTGGCGATGGAGATTCTGCGGGGACAGGCTGTTCACGTCCCCGCTTTCCGCGTCCTGGAGTTTTCGAACCTGGGGTGGCTGATCCAGCGGCAGCCGCAGCTGCTGCTCTTCGTCGAGTATTGGGCATGCTGGGAGACTCCATTGTTACATCTGAACCAACGTGAAATGACACTGTCGACCCAAAGTGGGCGTCATACGTGGTATTTACGGATGCCGGGTCAATATCGGAGCCAGTATCATCATAGCTGCCACTGAACATGTCATTGTCGTGAAACAAGCCAGGTGCTGGTGTCTCTGGTGCCATCGGAGGACTCATTGGATTTTCATACTCCTTTAACCAATAAAACAGACAATAAATAAAAATGTTAATCTCTTTATGCATGAATTCGTCCAATTCTACATATTTATTATAAAATAATTTACTTAAAAATTATCGGTGTGAATACGAGAAACTTACCGGAACTGGATCATCCATCCTAATCCTCTTCCCTCCCATGCGATGTCGAGTGGAATAAGACATCTTCCTAATTGTGACAAGTAAAGCACAAATGTGTATTAACAAATGAAATCCTTATTCCATTTGGTAGTAATTTCGAAGTAATTAAGTTAATTATATGAATAAGTTGTATTTTGAATAGATTGCTAAACCCCCTTCCCCAAAAAAAGTAATTAGGTCCAAAATCATTATGAAACGTATGAACTTTGCAGAATTCTATCAATTCAGTATTAAAATCCAGTGTAAATTGATTCTAGCACAGCATTACCTTTTCTACACTCTTGGAGAATTTAATTCAGGATTAAAAATCCGTCGCCGCTCTTGAATCTGAACGTAGCGCTCCTCCTACTTGGTTCTCTCTAAGGACGAGTTAATTTGTGTCAGTTTTTCAGAACAGCGATCGAACAAGAGACGACCGTTCAAATGGGAAAATAGTTAGAATTAGAATTAATTACTATTAATTCAACATTTAGAATTAGAATTCCAAATGTTGCTGTGAACTTTTAGTGGAGTCAAGTTTTCGGCTCTGTTCCCTCGGTCAGTGTTGTTGCGGGAAATTCAAATTTTATTTCAGAATATAAATAAAACTCTTTCTCTTATTTCGCTTTTGCACTTCACACTTGAAAAGTTTAAAGTTTTTAAATTGTAATTATACTTCAATTTACTGAACCCTCGTCAGACTAGTGTTTAAAATATTGTACGACTAAGATGGCTACCCCAGAGAGTGATGAAGATCTCACCATCCCACGAGCTGCTCTCAACAAGATGATAAAAGAGATTTTGCCATCCATTCGTGTCGCAAATGACTCTCGAGAACTGATACTGAATTTTTGTACAGAATTTATTCATCTTATTTCCTCAGAGGCAAATGAAATTTGTAATCAACAAACAAAGAAAACAATTTCTCCTGAGCACGTATTACAAGGTTTGTGTGTAACAAAACATTCTTTGCAACCAATTTAACGCTGTCTAGCAAAATAATATATTAATTTTATATATTAAAACACGCAGCTTTGGATCGACTTGGGTTTGGAGATTTTAGACGTTCTGCAGAAGAAGTGATGGAGGACTGTAAGCAGGTTGCAGCTAAGAGAAGAAGGCAATCCACTCGACTAGAACATTTAGGAATCCCAGAGGAAGAATTATTACGTCAACAGCAGGAACTCTTCGCAAAGGCCCGGGAGGAACAAGCCCAGCAAGAACAACAACAGTGGCAAATGATGCAAATGGCTGCGCAAATGTCGACTCAAAATCCTGCACAAAGTAGTTCAAACGCGGACGAGGATGAATATTAAATTTAAGTACGTACAATGTGTGTGGATCGAAGTTTTCCCATTTTTCTACATTCAGAGAATTTAATTGTAATTTCGCTTAGTCGGAGTCAACAAGGAGTCTTTGTCAAAGACCTGTGATGTTGATAATGAGTACAGGCAGAAATAAATTCAATACAATGTTTAAATAATGTTTAAATATTTATTATTTAAGAAATTATTCAACAGAGTAGTAAAATCTTCACTCGCATACATAACATTATCATCGTCCATGAAATTTACTTTATTGGTCGGAATTTAGCGCATTAACTAAGAGAGGTTACATAAAGCTCAGTTACACGAATCACCTTCATTTAAAAACACAACTGATGCAGCGATACGGGCAATCATTGCTGGTCGAGAATCATCATTTGTGGTTGATTTCCAGCCTTGATCGAGGATCTGATATGATAATTCAGAAGCCATGCCATTGTTCAATTTGCTCGTGGTAAAGAGATTTTGGGGCACCGGTAGTATAAAGAGCAGGGTGGCACGTTTCTCTGGAGCGTAGTAATTATCACAAAGTCCGTGAAACACGAGCAAGTGCGTCTCGTCCTGAAGCTTTTCAACATCTTGAACTATTATACTTCTTCCACCATTGAGGAAATAGTTGTTGAGTTGGTCGTGAATTTTTGTGATGTCCTTGCCGTACTTTTGAAAATATTTCGAGTCCATTGTAAAAGTTGAGGGAGTATCTGTACCATTCATTTCAGAAAATATTTCATTTGTAAGTTTGGATAATTTTTGAGCAAAACACAGAGGAAAGGATGATTTCGCAAGTTTCGGAGGGACCAAAAGGACAATAGACGATGGCTGTTTTGGTACCACTCGGCTGAGAGTAGAATCAATTGCACTCAAGATGTGTATCAACGACTCCCTTCAAATTGGAAATGAAATATAAATGAAGACATGTAGTTATTGATATATTTATGGTCACTTATTCGCTGACAAAGTTAGGTGTCAAATCGATTATGAACGCTTACCGATACTGAGAAGGAAATTGTTTTTGTAGCTGCAATATATCCGACACCAGCTTCTTTTGTGAATCTTCCCAAGTTCTCATATTCCCGTTCACTTGGGAGTTTGAAGCTGTTGAAGACTCTGGTGACATATACGCTACAAAAGATAATATAATCACAACTGCCAATGAAATCAAAACAACTGATTTATCCATAGGTTTAGATTGATTTTGATTTCGCTGTGATTTCGCAGATTTGAATTCAAAGTCATCGATGGTCGTTTTACTTCCGGTATAACCCTTCTTGCGTTGTTTCAAATCCTCTAGTCGGCACATCTCTTCAAATGTTTTGGTTGGTCGGGAAGAATTTTGCGGTACTTGTTGATGAAAATTGTTTGTTTTATTTGTATTTTCCAAAGATACAGACTCCTTAAGAAAGAAATCTTTGGGCGAGCCGGCCACTTGCGATGATTCGACACCAGCAATAGTTTTACCAGTGTCTCCAATTTTCACGTTTAAAGTTGGACGTTCACGGCTGGACGAAGAAGAGTTGTCGTCTCCCTCACTCTCCTCATCCTCATCGTCAATAAGCTCCTCATTTTCTTCTAACTCCATATTTGCTGATTGCTGACAACGCTGTGACATTTAGCTTGTAAATATTTTTTCTGGTTCGAAGTACAACAAGAGCCAGTTAAAAATTGTGTTCAACGATAAAGATAATCCCGTGGCAAATTTGTGTGTGTATAAATCCTTACCTATATCACCGCAGAGAAATTAAGATAAATCCTCTCAAACTTGATTGTTAGCAATGCTAACTTAGCATTGAATACCCATGTGATCAAAGTATCAACAAGAAATGACAAGAATCGTCCCGACGTGTTTATACTCGTCTCATGATGTGGATCTGAGAACTTCACTGCGGGTATCCAGACGTAAATTGCTGCAACTAAAAAATAATTAAATATACCGTATGTATTTATCGTAGATATTAATTAAATTGATTATATTATACTATTTAAGAAATACTGATCTGTGTCCAGTCCATCCAGTTCGACGCAGAAGTGAAAATAACCAAGTGCAGTTCCCGCGTGGTCGGAAGCTGTGCGCCAAACCTGCGGCCGTGTTGTTGTTTACATCACGATTCACTTAATTCGTTATAACGTTTTAATGAACAAGTTTTTAAAAGCAATTTTTATCCCACCGTTGTCATTTTATATTCCAATCTCATATTCCAAAATTTGAAATTTTACTAACTCTTTGTCCGTCACCTGTATTAAAAGTATTAATAATCAAATAATACTAAACCAAAAGGGATGACAAGTTTTTAATTCCATCCATTTTCAACCTGTTAACTCACTGTGATATTTTGCTAGTTATTAAATGAATGTTAAGTTTAATGAACTTGTACCAACGTGAATCTATTAAAAGTATTGAACTATTATTTTGTGGTCCACAAAAGAGTCATTTTTCATAGACTGGTAAGCCCCTTAGATTTAAAGGCAGACAAAATGACAAAATTAAATTGCAAATTTAATCTTATTTATTTATTTATTTATTTATTTATCAGATATTCATCAAGTCATCATTGATTTTTGATAATGCTACATAGTGTAAATCACAACACTAGGATGGTTGAAGTTAGGCTGATTAAATTACGAAACATATTTGGCATAATTTTAATTTTTGGATCGACACCAACTCAACAAGTAAAACTTGACATTAAAGAATTTGGATCAGCAATGCTTGGTTCAGCATGTTCAGCTATTGGATGGGAATGCTGTCGATCTCCATTTCTCATTCCACCAGATGTAGCAATTAAAAGTATGAAACGAAGCTTTAATTATTTACATTATTTCACATATGTATCTGCGACCTATAATATTGGTAATTTTAATTATAGATCTGGAAACCACTCTTAATAATGAGTTCTTTGGACAACATTTGGCCGCAGACACTGTTTTAAACGCCTTGCGTTCTCATTTGCATCACGAGAACTCTAACAAAGCTCTAGTCCTTAGTTTTCATGGTTGGGCTGGCTCTGGGAAGACGTATCTCGCAGAACTGATTATGAAATCTTTATACAAAGAAGGTTCCGAGAGCAAATTCGTCAAATTCTACATGGGTAAGAAAAGTCTCTTTTAATATCCACAAAGAATGTATCTTTAACATTTAAAAATTGGTATAAGTAGTAATTATGGTACTGCATGCTTGAACTGTAGATGATTGATGTAGTGCTAAATAGTTTTAGTTTGAGGCGACAATCATAGTCCGTAATCTTATAATCTAATTCTGTCTATTTGTTTCAGCTAGCTATCATTTTCCAGACCCAAATGCTTCCAAAGTGTTGGAGTATCAGGTTAGTTTTGATGATCCGACTTACACGATGATGTGCAACTTTCTATTATCAATACTTACGTCAGCAATGTGTGCATCATCAAAATAGGAAACTCTCAGGGACGACATATTGAGGACGGTGGGTCGTTGCGAAAGAGCTCTGTTTGTCTTTGACGAAGTAGATAAAACGCCACCAAAGGTTTTTGACGCTCTCGTACCATTCATTCAACATCCAGGAAAAAAGTTTGAGGGATTAAACTTTAAGCGCTCCATATTTATTTTCCTGAGCAATATCGGAGCTAGTGATATTACCAAAATTACATATACAAACTGGAAAGATGGACAAAGGCGAGAAAATTTAAGGTTTACCGATTTTGAAGGTAGCCTTCAGCGTGAAGCGTTCAATAATAAGGGTAATAATTTGATTGAACAATTATTCCTTAAAACCTGTTTCATGTTTCATTTATGTGGTAGCATATTGATTATAGATACTGGTCTGACAAAAAGCAGAGTAATCGATAAGGTCCTTGTCGATTTCTACATTCCCTTTTTACCTATGGAACGAGAGCATGTAATATCTTGTACCAAGGCGGAAATTGCGAAAGTTAAAACAGATCTCGATCCAGAGTAAGTCATAATAATCATAATCGATTGTACAAATTCAAATAAGTTACACTTCGGTATATTCTTTTGATACACATTTCTAATGCAATGCACTATCGTCCTACAGGAAAATTGCCGACAGTCTGGCATACTGGCCACCTCTGGAGAAATTATATTCTCAAACGGGATGCAAAAAAGTGGAAAATCTTGTTAAATTTTATGACGCCCAAGAAAAGTATGGGAAAGCCTTCAATTACGACGAAACTAACGAAAATGAACACGACGAGCTATGAATATAAATACTACTATATCCACGCACCGCAAACTGTTAGCCGTTTCGTTGTCGACAAACACCATTTTAAAATAGTGTGCTACGAAATAACCAAATCAATTCTACGCTTCATGTATTCTGTATATGTATTTTGTCTGTATTTGTGAATTGAAAAATCTTTATTTAACGATTTTATTGATATTTGTGAAAGATTGTCGTAATGAATACACAATTAGTTCAGACTAAAAACAACTACACATATAGCAACTGTGCTCGAGTTTGGCACGTACATATGGATACATCCGGAATTGAAATATACTGAAAGAGTTTGACTATGTATGCATTGCTTGATTTGTTATTTTAAATGCAAAAAAGAGCTCGATGGCGGACTAAATTGAGTAAAATGTGGTTATAAGGTAGACGTTGAAGTAATTTAGGTAGCAACCTAAAGTAAAATTAGTTAGAATCAAGTATTATCATAATTAAGCGGAATGTCGGTAACGATGTTCTTGTAGTCAGACTGGCTTAGATATGAAATATCATTTATCTAGCTACGAGTCTTGGGAGGATTGATTGATGATTGATAAACGTATGTACATAATATGTACGTATTATGTAAAAGTTATTTGAGAACTGTCAATGTTGGTTTGATTATGATGGGGTTCCAGGAATTCTAGTCATAACGGGATTGTGTTGTGGAGAATCTGATAGAACGTATCGCAATGCTGCTGGGGTTCCAGGACCTTCGGGTTTCTCGAATGATCTTTCCAAGCATGCATCAAGACTAGTGACAAAAGAAGACAAGTTATTAGTAGATTATGTTTTGTCTACTACTAAATACATGTTTACACCAAGTAAAAATTAACTTACCCACTAAAACTCTCTGACAATGAGTTGTGCTGGTACCAGTTTATCAATTCCACTACAGATTTGAAGTATCTGGATTCAGATAGGTAGAATAGTCTTTCGCCCGGTGTTACAAGGATTTTCATGTGTTTCACCTGTTCACTCCACCTGGAGCAACCATTTATTAGGCTTATATTTGTATTATAGAGGTGAGCTGGATCTCTTTTTTTGATAATTCATGGCCCGATCCGATCTAATTTGATTTGGATGGATTGGACCTGAAAATTTGGGGTAAAAATTAAAGACTTACTTGAGCGACAGGGCATACGTAGCATCGCCAATTGATCCTCCCGCAAGAGTAGGTCGTACTCTGACAAGAAACGTCCCATTGGGCTGAACTTCTAGCACGGAAGTGGCAAGATCCCGATCCATTTCTCCACCATACCAAGGATAATTTTCTAAATGATTGAGATTAACGTAATGGTGAGATGGTTGGGCTATAGATAGACGCATTCCATTGGATGTGGATGGAGAGTTAACGTTGTTTAATGGCAGCGGTGGTGAGTGTGTAGATGGGCTGGATGGTACTCGAAATGAAGGTAGACTCGTTTCAGGAAATGTTAACCCTGTCGGACTCTATTTGATTTGAAAATAATACATTAGTAAAGTATTTATTGATATAAGTAGGTGTAAATTTCGTCGTATTACTAATAACTAACTATAACTTAACCCTACCGTAATTGTAGAGTCTGTCGAATTAGTGTTCATTAGTGGAAGTAATGGAGGGCGAGGGGGGAGTTCCGGAGGATGAACGGTTCCACAGGAATGAAGATTAATTATACATTCCCGGTGAGCATTTACATCGCATCTGATACATTTATAACCTTGGTAAAATAGTCCCTTCATGAATTTCGAACATTGTGAGCAAGTTGCTCCTCTTTCGAATGTATGCATTGTTAACATGTGCTGCAACAAATTAGAATTAATCAATGCGTTGGATAGCTCATCAGCTTCATGCACATCCACGAGTTTACTATTAATATATGTGAAAATAACATTTGTACTTACATCGGTCCGTCGACATTCTTCAGGCTGAATATTTGTTAAAGCAATTTCCAGTGATTTTATCCACCTTCGTTTCTGTTCTTCTGTTTGGGCATACATAGTGTACCTATTTATATGACCGCATATAATAATCATACATCAGAGCTTTTTAATGACACTAAACACATGCCCATTTAACATTGGAATTATTACATTTAATTAAATAATGAGTGAGTGCTTACACGTTGTAACCCTTGATGTGAACTAGGTTCCAACAAAAACTCCAGCGGGCCTCCCTGGTCCCAGATTTTTTTATTGTTCCAGCAGGAACATCATCTTCTACGCGATACTCTTGCAAACACAAAGAATGCTTGTAGCTGTATTGCTCCCCCTAATACATAACAATATGATTATATATTGTGCACCAGCCAACAAGTAAAAAAAAATAACTAGTATAGTCCAACTAAATACTTCCCAAATACAGAATTAATAGATGTGCAAGAGTCACAGTATAAATCATTACCCGTAAAAGTTTATCCATCATCTGAAGATAATCCAGCCGCATGCAAGTAAAGAAAGCCAAGTTGTTTGTTACAGCGAAATTTGCATATGCCATATATTTACAGTAAGTTCCCTTAATCAAAGCTATAGTAGTCGGTACTTTAGTTATTAGAGTGTACAAATCAAATAGTCACTTACCCTTGTTGTTTTGCACATTAACTGTAAAGTTGAGACGATGTGGTGATGTGAGAAAAGTATTTCATTATTAGCAAATTATTTTAATTACACTACTGGCATTCATACAACTATAACATTACGTTGTATTTACATACAACGTAATTTGTGCATAAATTAATAATGCATAGCTTTTGAATATATATGTATGTACATATGGCTTACCAGGACTTTATCAAAGATAAAGACGTAGCGCGACTTGAGTCGATTGTCATCATGCCCACGGATTCTCAATTCTCCATCTTTTTGAGATCTATTTAATGTACAAACCTATTATATATACTTTAGTGTTAATTATTTGGCTGTGGAGTACCTACCTGCCGTAATCCTTTAATTCCATTCCATCAGGCATTTTAAGGTCATAAATACTCCCCTATGAAAGTTATAAATATTCATCAAATACCCAATTCATCAAAAAGGTGGGACAATAATGATGTGGTATCAAGCAGATTTCCTCACTTCTATTTGACGAATTATAAGTAGGGTTTCACTATCACGCTTGACTTCGTTTGTAAAATCTGCCACATCAAACATTGCATCCCGAGCTCTTTCAATGGATTTGTACTCGTCATAACCATGTTGTTCCTGCAAAAAAAAGATAACGTAGAACGCTGTACACAATAAGCTTTTGCTGTAAATACGAAGCAAAAAAAACGAACCATGGATGTCTCGTCAAGTAGTTTTTGAAGAAGTAGATGATACTTTAAAATGCGCTGCATGGGCACAGACAACAAGTCTCGAAGTTTGAACCTTCCTTCATTTGCCTCTTTTTCTGCTCGCTGATTTGAAAAACCGACAAAAACAAAGAAATAAAAAATTTAGTGAATAGTTTTATAAAGATATGAGTGTAAGATTAGGTTCACAAACCATGATTTCTTGATTAATTAGTTCGTTTTTCGTACATAGTTCTTCTACGATACTTTGGGCCCTCGTTAAATTAGCGCAATAATCCCCGTATATGATAAATTTGTCTTTCCATAGAACGAATATATCTCCTAGCGTTTTGTTCAATCCGGTACTGTAAGAATATGCTGTTGGTGCAGTGGAATTTGAAGTTGATGTTGTAGTTAGGACTCGGTTTAAATCATTCAGAAATCCGGTGTGAATCTCACTAAGTTCCTACTCGGTAACAGTACGACACACTTTTCTAGTACGCAGTTATTACAAATCAAATTAAAATTAAAAAAGGTAGATTACCTTAATACCAAAGAATGCAATTTTACGGTCTTCCTCTTTCATTAAACTAGACAGTGGCTTCATGAATTTCTTTTTTAGCATCATCAATGCGTCGATATAATTTCCTTCGGTTTCTAACAGCTCCCCTTTCACATAATCCCGTTTCTCTCGTAGAGTAACAGGTGGCTAGAAATATATCACACAATATACGATTTTAAAACTAAATTAAATTATAGAAGTTTAAAAGTTCATAGACACAAAGACAGCAAGCATTATTCAGTTAAGGGGCCAACTAAGTCGTTAAAAGTCTGTATCTTGATTACTCGTAAGCATGAAAATATTTAAATTATCGCATAAAATGAACAACAAGAATAATAATAATTTAAATAATAATACTTTTTGTGTTTGACGATCAATATAGCATAAATCTTGATAAATGTCCTCCTCTGTTTGTACAACCACAGAGTAATAGTCCTCTTCAAAAATTTCTTCCGGTTCTTGACTGGTGGCAAACAGAAAATAATAATACACAAAATAAAGCAACATTAACAAAGCACATTGACGAATTAATTTAAAGCTCGCGAAATTCTCGCAACAGAAATGTATAAAAACATTTATGGACAATTGCATGAACCATTAATATGCCGAATTTTCTTTTTGAGCCTTCGAAAACAAAAATCTTAATATAATATTTAAAAGAGGCAAAGAACAAAACAAAGCTGATTCATTTTCAAGTATGGTCATTTGCACAACAACACATTGACAAGTAAAAAATAAACTCCCGTGCTGTCGTGAAATATAAACACACCTGCTTAATTCGAAACGTTATGTAGCATAGTTCTTCATATATACTCTCTTCATTTTCCAAATGCCTTTGAGGCAAAACTAACGGTGTTGGTGGCTCACTGAGAAGATTCAATTTTGTTCTTCAAATCTAGAATTATTCTACCCTCCTGAGAAAAATAATTCTCATTACCTCACAAGATCCTCCAAATTTTGACACATTTCTTCATCTAATATAGGAGCACGATCGGGCAGGGCAGAAAATCCACTGCAAGTCGAACAAAGTAATGATGTCACAGGTCTTACCACAGGATATTTCTTATTCAAATAAATCATATCATAGTCTGTGGTAATACTGCAGACTTACGCAAATCCAGCTTGTAGAACCTTGGGTGAATTAGACAGTTTTGACAAAGTAAATAATACTTTTCCAAAGTCTGATAAATCAAACAGCATTGATGGTTGAAATAGGTCTGTGTCGTGTAGGTCGAATATATTTTTGCATGTTTGTAGAAAGGTGCGGATATTTCGTAGACATAAAAACTGGAAGAGAATAAACAATACTAAATTATCTCTCCAGATTCAAAGTAAAAAATAAATAAAAATTGTCAGCTCTCTCAGCATCCTTCGATTAAGATTAAAGTCACATGAATGTGAGTCGCTCTGACCAACCTGAGCCATCTGAGGTTTTAAGGAAATCTCTTTGAGGTCCAGGGCGTTGCTCTGTAAGCAATTGAGGAGGCGACAGAGCTGTACTCCGTCTCGTAGCGTATATGCCAAATCTTTGATAGAGGTCTGGGCTCGGTGCTCAGGGGGGAGGAGGCCACAACGAGTCAGCCATTCGGCGCAGTCTTTCCAGCTCTCTTCACACATGGCGCTGGTCAATCAATTTTACTCTCTAATTGACACCCTCTCCAGCCGGAGGAACAATTAATAGTTAGTGCATCCAGCCAAGTGGCACCGTCGTATAACGTTTATCGGTTGATGTTGACGACTGTCGATTACGTTGTATTCTCCTGAACCAGCTGCCGACCATGTACCGCTGCAGAGTTAGATTGCACTACTGTACATTTAGGAAACGAATTAAAAATTTGAAACTAAAGCTGCACAAAATATAGACAAAATGGTAAAAAAAGAATGAGCAATAGAGAGGCAGGCTGTGCGGAATACAATAAAGTGTTCCATTGTAAATTGTAAATAAGGATCAATAATAGTCACCCGCGAAGTTGCCACTTTTCCCAACTTTCCTCCACATGATTCTGTCTGTCGCATATTTTACAGCTTTGTATTATTTATTGACGAACAGGAGCACTTATTTACTTCTAATGTAACTTAAATTATGTAACTTAAAGTATTACAAAGAAAGCTATCTTCAATTAAGTGGAGCTCATTCTTGGACAGTTTGTTAGTTTGTCTAATTTACTCCAAAATGTCAGGGTTCAAATCTTTGCTTGGGAAGGGAGACATAAAGAAGAGGAATGAGGAAGACGTTCAGAAACCAAAAATTCCGACCCTACGAGAAGGTAAACTAAACTTGCTAAGAAAGTGGCAAAAAATAAGAGGAAATATGCATACGACATGATTTCATATTTCACATAGACATCTTCGTTCATCCTAACGTTCTTTTTTACTAAAATTTAATTTAATTTAAAATTTCATAAATAAAACTTTTATTATGAAATAGTTTTATTATAAAACTATTTATTTAAACGATGACCAGTGGAACTGCGTCACTTGACAAACGGCTGACACAGGAGCCACTTTCTGGTCAAGGTCTGGGCGAACACAAATGAAAGAAAGAGGTTTGGACGGACGACACGAAGCTAATCAAAAAAACGTCATTTCAACAAAAGTCATACTAGGAAAGCATAAACACCACTTTACGAGGAATATTATAATTCATCATGTTCCGTGAACTTTGCATTTAATAACGAAAAATCATAATTAATTAAATGTTTTATTTTCTCGAGAAGTTCTTGAAGATATTGGGAACATGAAGGATGACGATCCCATAATTACACTCGCAGCTATTATTGAAAAACATAGTAAGTTTGCACACTTTGCATGTAGTGCAATTTTATAACAAAATTATAATCAATAACAATAATCCAATATGCAGTAACTGCAAGCCTAAATGCAATCTGTTTTTATTGTTGTACTGTCGTAGTGTATCACTAGCAATAAATATGTATCATTATTCCTAGATTCTGGACGACATTCAGTAGCAAATTTTGACAAGGAACTACGCGAGGGCATTAAGAATCATATCAGTGGCGAATCTTTGCTCCTCTCATCGTCGAAGGATCCTTCTACCAAACGGAAGGTGCTAGATGATGACGAGGACCTTGAAAACGGAGATGATATGTCTAAAGCTACCAATGCTAGGCTGTCCTATGATAAACTTAAACAATTTCTCACGGCTTGCGAACAATCTCAAAAAGTCATTACAACTTTGGAAGGGGACTTAAAGCGACTACAAGTCGAAGTGACACAGCATTACCTGGGACAAGTAGATAAAGAGCTAGAGGAACAAGAGGTTCATGAATCCCTTCATGACTCTTTATGACAGCGTAGCAAAGTGAAAATTTCACTTCGGAGGAAGTGTTCACCTTCAAGATTGCTTGTATTCTCTCCATTTCACTTTAATAAAATTAATATATACTGAAATTTTAATTGGCATTTGCATATGTTAATTACTACAAAATTTACAACATGATGCGATGTGATGTGATGCGATACGAACCGATGCGTGTGTCAGTGTACTCCACTGTATGTCTCAACTACTCCACGAAATTGAAGTGCTGCAAAGAAATCCAACGAAGCTATCCAGCCAGTTGAAGCGAAAGCCTTCAATCTTATTTAGAGGTGAAGTGGAATATTTCAATTGTTACATCAATTTATTATTTATTAAAACTGCCACACACACGATTTAGGAAGATTATCAGTCTAATCTGACATAAAGTAAGATCAAGTGTTTTTTTGCTAGTTTAGTGACTAGCCAAGTTGACAAACACATTTGTATTTACAATAATTCTAGGGTACACGCAAGGAAGCAATCGACATGAACGAAGCCGAATTAGATGAGTGGATCTCAATTGTCAAAACTTGCAAATATCTTCCAGAAAATCATTTAAAGGTTCGAGTTTTATTTGAACCTTCGTAATTATTTTTTATATTAACTTTAAAGTACAAACAATCTATACACATACAGTAGTGCAGAGTAAAGGACCCTAAGTAATAAATATTTTATTTGCTACTTGTAGAAACTCTGCAATTTGGTATCTCGGATTCTTATCGAGGAATGTAACGTTCAACCCGTTTCCACACCTGTCACAATCTGTGGTGATATTCATGGGCAGGTAATTTGTAATTTAATTTGTACTAAGGACACATGTATTTTTCCCCAGTATGTTTTGTTTACGGGTCATCTCATGCATACAGTTCTATGACTTGGAAGAATTGTTTCGAACAGGAGGCGAAGTCCCAGACACGAGCTATATATTTTTAGGTATAGTCAAAATATGATAGTAATTTTGATCAAATTATTTTATTATTTGTATATACTGTTTTTAGGTGATTATGTGGATCGTGGGTATTATTCCCTTGAAACATTTACCAGACTCCTGACCTTAAAGGCTCGGTATCCTGATCGTATCGTCTTAATTCGTGGAAATCACGAGTCTCGTCAGATTACTCAAGTTTATGGATTTTATGGTGAGTAGGGCTACACTGTACTTTACAAACTGCATAATTATCTAATAGCTTGTTAAGTGGCCAGTTGTTTGACTGATTGTTTCGTATTCTAGATGAATGCCTTACAAAATATGGAAATGCCAATGCCTGGAAAACTTGCTGGTTTGTTTAGAATCAAAATGCGTTTATTCTTTTTGTTTCTTAATTAAATCTGTTGAATTAAAAAGAACTCATTCCCCTTTTATATAGTGAGGTTTTTGATCTATTAACCATCGCAGCTGTGAGTACATATATCAAATTGAATTACAATGCCTGTGTTTTAATGATTTAATAATGTAAATACAACCACAATTTGTTGCAGTTAATAGACGATGAAATTTTATGTGTGCATGGCGGACTTTCTCCTGAAATTAAAACTCTTGATCAAATCCGAACTATTGACCGTGGGCGTGAAATCCCTCATGAAGGCGCCTTTTGCGACCTGGTTTGGTCGGATCCAGAAGAAAATGTTGATGCTTGGGCAACGAGTCCACGAGGAGCTGGCTGGTTATTTGGTGTGAAAGTGGCAGAACATTTCCTGCAAATCAACTCACTCTCTTTGGTGTGTCGAGCTCATCAACTTGTCAACGAAGGTACAATACATCTATACACCCACAATCTAGGCAAAATTGGTCAATTGCAATCTAAATTAGTTTACGTAAGGTCACTTACTTATTTCCTTTTGATTTTATTTCAGGGTACAAATATTGGTTTAACGACAAAGTCGTTACCGTATGGTCTGCTCCAAACTATTGTTACCGGTGAGTATATCTAACTCGTTGCAAACGCATTTCAGCCAGTTGGTAAATAATAATAATTTTGTATTGCCAGTTGTGGGAACGTTGCAGCAATTTTGCAGTGCACGAAAGGCGAACGTCCCGTCCCAAAAATTTTTCATGCCGTCCCTGATACTGAGCGAGTAATTCCTCAAACTAATGCCAGTCCGTATTTTCTTTAATGATAATATTTCTAACATGCATACACGCCGAGGGGATATTTATACATACTAGTTACATCAATTACCAAAAAAAATAATTAAAAATCTCATTTTATTGTTATTACTATCGTTTATTTATTAGAAAAACGTGTTTACTTTCTCTGTAGGTTATATTGGCCTAGGCGTGTTGCACTAAAACTTACATAAAAATGAATAAACCCTTAATATGACTTTATCAACATTGAACAATTGACTGCTCGTATATATTGCATTTGTAATATACGATGTTAAGATTGGAATTGGATTCGGATCTAGACGTGAGTTTTTCATGAAGAAAGCGTTGACCAAAAATAGGGTTGTGCAATAAATATAGTTACAGAGCAACGAGTTGAGTAGAAACTACTCACGATTTTTAATTTAATTAATGGTTATTTATGGTGGTGTGGAAAACCAGGAAAGCATGCACTGTCAATTTACTTTAAAAAGACACCTTGATGAAGTAACAACAAGGTTTCACATCCCCACATTGCAGTCGACCTTCCTACGTAAACGTAAGTAAGCTGTCATTCAGATATTGTGAATAGAATTGATCTCCTAACCTATAGTCACCAGTGGCCACCACACCATAATCTGCACCCCTTGTCCTCTAAGGATGGATTTCTTTCTCCTTCTTTCTCCAGATAGGATGAGAATGGATAGCGACTAAGGAGGGGAGGTTGTGTACTATCAACTCCCAGATCTCGATGCCCTTTGGAGATGTTGTAGTGTCCCATGAATGTACAACAACCCTGAAGTGGTTTGATTCCATGGCCACATTTGCTCCCGCCACACCCACTCAAAGGTGCCCAAAAATCGCTTTCACTCCAGCTTTCACTCACTCAAAACCACGCCAAAAATCCAATTTTACTTCGATTTTCAAATTTCTTTCACCATTATACTCCCAGATAGTTGCTTTCTTATTTCCAACATCAAACTCAACTTTTGGAAATTCTTAGTATTTTTAAAATTTAAAATTCTGAATGAGCATTGTTGTAATAATCAACAAAACAAATCATGCCTGCGAAATAATCATCAAAAAAGTTGAGTTTGATGTTGGAAATAAGAAAGCAACTATCTGGGAGTATAATGGTGAAAGAAATTTGAAAATCGGAATAAAATTGGATTTTTGGCGTGGTTTTGAATGAGTGAAAGCTAGAGTGAAAGCGATTTTTGGGCACCTTTGTCACGGGAGGCACACTTAACTTGACCAGATATCCTCGTGACAAGCTTACTTATCTGGACTAGTACCTCTTCCGTAATATAACTTTACTTGAAATCTAGACTTTGGCTACTTATGCCCTAAAAATGACTTTGATAATGCTTTCAGCGCTTGACTTGACTTTAGGATGATGAAATCTTAACTTTAACTCGCAATTAAAATAACCAAGCTTGTAAATACTTATTTTTGGAAATTAAAATGGAGCTTTATTTCAATCAAACTATTTGGCATGAACAGCAAAAATCACACTTCCTCTCTCTTCGAGTTCAACTTACAGACTACTTATTTTTTTACAAATGGCTACTTTTTTTTTTTTTTTTTTTAAAACTTATTACCAGGCCAACGCGCCCCTTTTCTTCTCATTCACCCTCTTACACTTAATCAATATCCGAATCCTTCAACAACCCACTCAATACATAGGTAATGTACATACATAGGTAATGTACATACGTACATAGGTAATGTACGTACATAGGTAATGTACGTACATAGGTAATGTGTACCGCCATAAGGATCATTTTCTACAATTATAATTACCATTCAAAAAACTTATCGATGACTTATTTCGTAATTCCTAAATGCTAAATGGTGGACAAATTTCTTAAAATAATATTATAAATTATTTTACACTCCCTACGGTCCCAGGACATTCTTCCCCTCGATGAACGAAGTATCATCTTCACGGCGTACGTCGAGGACCGCTAGCTTCGCGACGGGTCGATCGAATGTTCCTCTTGGGGTCTTGATCTTGGCGACGCGGACTTTCCCATCCTTTCCTTGGTAAACTGCGATGACTCTCCCTTTCTCCCACGTATTCCTCTTGGCTTGTTCGTCGACAATGACGACGATGTCATCTACTTGCAATGGCTTGCAAGGCTCGTTCCATTTCTTTCTTTGGGTTAGAGTTGGTAAATAGTTTTTGACCCATTTCCTCCAAAATTCATCGGCCATTCTTTGCGAAGCCCTCCATCCCTTCTTCTTCATCATGTCACAATTCTTGAAATTTCCTAAATTCTGCTCAGATTCTTCTCTCGGGTCTTGTCCACTGTTCCATCCAAGGAGAAAGTGGTTTGGGGTCAGCACAACTGGGTCGTTGGGGTCCATAGAGATCTCAGTCAGGGGTCGCTTATTCACAATGCTCTCTGCTTCGGTGAGGAAAGTTCGCAGAGTATCTTCTGGGTAGGCTTCTTCGCTCATCATGGAGGATAAAACTTTCTTGACCACCCCCACCATTCTTTCCCAGACTCCTCCCATATGCGGCGAAGCAGGAGGAATAAAGTGCCACTGAATTCCAAGCTCCAGACATTTCCCATTCATTTCACCTTGATCTAGTTCATGTAGTGCTTTCTTCAGTTCATTATCTGCCCCATGAAAATTGGTACCATTATCACTGTAAAGGTGGCTTGGTTGTCCTCTTCGGCAGCTGAATCTTCGTATGGCATTAATGGCAGCATCAGTTGAGAAATTATCGGCCAACTCCAAATGAACTGCTCTTGTGGATAGGCAGGTAAATAGTGCCCCCCATCGCTTCTCACGTCTTCTTCCTATTGTCACTTCCATGGGTCCAAAGTAGTCCAATCCTGTATTAGTGAATGGACGAATGTGGCTTTCAAATCGTACTTTGGGTAAATCCGCCATCTCAGGTACTACCGGCTTCACTTTCCGATTTTTGCAATATTGACATTTTGCAAATGCCTCCTTAACGGCTGATGTCAGTCCAGTAATCCAGAACTTCTGACGCAATTCACTCGCCACCGTTCCTCTTCCTTGATGTCCTGCTGCCTCATGGTAATGTTTCACAAGTAACTTTGTGAATGGATTTTGTCCTCTCAGGATGATGGGCTTTTTAACTTGATCCGGGATACATTCGGAATTTTGCAGGCGGGTGTGCATTCTTAAAATTCCCTTCTCATCAATGAATGGATTAAGTGCAATTAAAGCTGAGTATTTCGACAACGGCTTCCCCTCGTGAAGAAGTCGCATCTCCACAGAATACTCTTCTTCTTGGGCCTTCATAATTAAATAGTCTTCCGCCTGCCGAAACTCGTTTAACTTCAATTCTTGACGAGATACACTTAACTTCTCGGCACTTGCTGCACATTTCTTCATACTTCTCGCAAGACGAATCATCCAGGCTGTAATTCTGACCAGCTTAATGTAACTGCTGCACGCCGCCGGATCAATTTGTAGGGACTTCTGTACAATTGATTTAACTTCTACTTTCAACTCGGCTTCAGCATCGGCATGTTCTTCTCCTCTCGATCTTTCCCTTGGCCAAATACTTTCATCTTCTTTCAAAAATTCTTCCGCTTTGAACCACCGGCTATTTTCACTTAAATCGGTAGGAAGATGATCCCGTGTGGCGTCATCCGCAATATTTAACTTTGTAGGAATCCACCTCCAGTCCGCCACGTCTGTCTCTTCGAGAATCTCTCCTAGGCGATGAGAGACGAATTGCTTGAATCGACGAGCATCATTTCTCAACCAGCAAATCACGGTAAATGAGTCGGTCCAAAATATTTGACTTGTGATCTTTATTTCCAATTCTTTCTTGATAGTGCTCGCCATTCTTGCTCCCATTAAAGCTGCCTGCAGCTCGAGACGAGGGATTGCCATCGGCTTCAATGGGGTCACTCTTGTTCTTGCCATTACAAGATTGATGTCGACGGATGATTCACTTTCAACTCGCAGGAAAGCAATCGCCACGTACGCCTTCTCACTGGCGTCACAAAAGACGTGAAGTTGAGTCGACTTGCTTTCTGGAATCAGGGTCGAGTAGCACCGTGGAATTCGCACACTTGCAATTCCTTGCAATTCCTCAAGCCAGCCCTGCCATTTGAGATTGATGGTTTCTGGAACTTCGTCATCCCATCCTATCTCACTTCTCCAAATATCTTGCATCAGGATCTTGGCCTTGACGATGAGATGACCAACGAATCCCAATGGATCAAATACTGACATCACTACTCTTAAGACTTGTCTCTTTGTTGGCCGCTGAGATCCATCCATAATCTTCTCTGCTATTTTGTGGAAGTTGAGTTTATAACGAAACTCATCCTTCGAAGGATCCCACCAGAGTCCGAGCACTCTGCCTTCAGGAAGATCCGAGTTGTCCAAATCCAACTCCTTGACATCTTTTGATCTTAGATCTTCCTTAATTGCTTTTACAATGGTGCTGGAATTCGCCACCCAATTGCACACTTCAAATCCTGCTTTCTCTTGAACATGGATTACTTCTTCAATTATCTTAATAGCTTCTTCTTCAGTTGGCTTCGAGTCCAAGTAGTCATCGACGTAGAACTTGGTCTTGATGGCCTTACTTGCATCTGGGAATTCTTCCTCGTGCTGATTCGCGTTCAAATTCTTGGCGTATTGAGCTGACGTTGGGGATGAGGTGGCACCGAAGATCATCACTAGCATCTCGTACTCATCTGGATCTTGATCTCGTGTCATTCCTCGCCACAAAAATCTCTGGGCTGCTCGGTCTTCTTCTCGGATGAATACCCGGTGAAACATGTCCTTGATGTCACCTGCGAATGCATATTTATACTGCCGGAATTTCATGAGGACACTGACGAGCGGGTTGTTCAGGTCTGGACCTTGGCACAAATGGTCATTCAGGCTGACGCCATGAGATTTCGCCGCTGCGTCGAAAACAAGTCTTAACTTTCCTGGCTTATTGGGGTTTAGGACGCCGAAGTGGGGAAGATACCAGTTTCTTGGACTTCGCACTGCCACTTCCGAGGCACTTAATTTTCTGATGAATCCTTTCTCTAGATATTCATCCATTTTCTTACAATAGGCTTCAGCGAACTCTGGATTCTTGTCCATCTTCCGTTCTTGACATTTCAGTCGGTTAAGGGCCATATTCTTACTTTCGGGTAGAGTCAATTCGTCCTGCTTCCATAATAGTCCTGTCTCGAACCTCTGTCCATCTTGGGCTCGAAGAGTGGTTGACTCCATCACCTTCATGGCTCGCAAATCTTCTTTTGACCTCGGTCTCTCATCTGCTAATTTCACTCCAAAATCTTCTATCGTGAAACTTTTCTTCACAAGTTGGTGGAGGCTTTCTTCCGTGTATTCAGCGCAAATGTGGTGGGCGTTGTAACTCACATTTTGCTCTGACCCTACTGATCTTGAACTAATGATTGACCAGCCCAATCGAGACTTCACAGCAATGGGCTCGCCAGGTCCTCCTTTAATCGTCTTCAAATGCTCAATCAATTCAAAATGGGAACTTCCAATAAGCATCTTTGGCTTCACATTAAAGTACGACTTCAGTGGGAGATTTCTCAAGTAGGGGAATCTTGCTTTCAACTTGTCCATATCCAGGGTCACACTTTTCAAATTCAGGTTCCTCACTGTCTTAACATTGTTCATCTTGAATTGTGCAGACTGGCCAAAGGCTCCACGAATTCCAAACTTCACATTTCTTGCTTCTGGGTGATGACCGTCGCCGCTGCACGTAGCCATACAAAATGGTGCACTAGGTCCATCAGCCCCCACGACCGCTGCAACTTCTTCTTCAGCAATTGCGATGTCTGCTCCATCGTCTTCTAAGGCGAGAACAACTTCGTTCCCTGCAGGGCCTGACACTTCGACTTGCACATATCGTAGTGACGCTGCATTCACGTAATGGACTTGTGCTGGACCATTGTTGTCGACATTATCATCTCGTCTTCTTTGTAATAATTGTTGGATGGGCTTCGCACCGTGTAGCATGGGATGATGAGTAAATTTGCAGTCATCAATTCCACACTGCTTCTTACTTCTGCAATTTTTCGTCGAATGTCCGGCAACTAAACAACTAAAACAGAGTTTCTTCTCACCCACTTTCAAAATTCGATTGTCTGCGGAAAGGTTGAGAAGAATCAGACACTGGGAGGTCTTGTGGTCACTCTTATCACAAAAATGGCACTTCCTGACCCGTTCCCTCCTCTGCACTTCACTAAACTCTTCTTTCTCATTAACTCGGTGCACTGTTGCTTCTTTCTTCCAACGACCATGCTGTTTCTTATCAAACTTATCTTGAGTGTCTTCTTTCTTGTAGTCCTTAATGACTGGTGCCACCAACTTGCACGCCGTATTCAACTTCTTCTTGATCCACCGGGTGAACTCTTGCAAATCTGCCACTCTGACCCCATCAGCTTCAATCCACTCCATCCATTGCATCTTGTAAGATGATGGCAGCTTCTCCTTCAACTCTTTCATCAGCATGGGGTTGTTCAAATGCTCATCACATCTAAGAGCTTTGATTGTTGACATGAGGTTGACCACTGCTGTTCCAAACTCGATTACGGTGTCAAGTTTATCCTCACGAATTGCTGGTGCCGCTCGAACTTTCTTAATCAGTGAGTCGATAATATGTTCGGGTTGTCCAAATCTTGTCTTCAGGGTCTCCACCACCTCCAACATATTGTGCGGGCTTATCATCAGGGACTGGACTGCCTTTGCTGCATCCCCTTTCAGGCACTTTCTCAGTCTTTGCATATTTTCGGCGTCCGTGAAGTGACAAATACTTGTTGTATTCTCGAGCTCCGAGATAAAGGCTGGCCATTCTTCAGGCTTTCCACTGAACCATGGTAAATCTTTGCTGGTAGACTGGCGAGCAAAAAACTTCTGAGTCACAGAATCTTGGGGCGCCTGCACTGCGCTTGCTTGTTGCTGAAGTAATTGCAAACTTTCAGCCACTTTTGCCATGATCGGCAACAATTGATCTTGAGGGGTAGGACCATGGCGAAGCTCTGGGGGGTACACTTCCTGACGAAACTCTTTCACTTCCTGATGTATTCTCAAGTTTTCAATGCGTCGTTCCATACCCTCCAACTCTTCTTTTCTCTTCATTTCTTCTTCTGATTCAGGAACAACGGTGTGATCACCCACCCACTTCACAGTGTCGTCTGACACGTCCACTTTTCCACCATCACTCTTATCACTCCCTGATAAACTTTGCTCATCATCATATTGAGCTTGAATGATGGCTTGAGCCAACTCTTTCTTTGCTGGCAACTTTTCAATTTCTTCTTTCACTTTCTTAATCTTAAGGTTCACAGTCCTTAACTTGGTGTTGAGTTTACGAATCGCCTTGTTCAACTCTTGACCTTCTGTCTTCTTCACTTTTGCATCTTCTGTAGTAGGATCCAACAGCGCCAGCTCTTCTGCTAATCCTTTGGCACGGTCTTCGTTCTCAAAAATATCCGCCTCGATATTGATAACTTCAAGCTCCAGCTCGAGCAATGCCTCCTGTTTCTCCTCCATGAGGTCATTGAACTTCACTTCCGTCTGCAACGTAAGGGAAGACATTGACGACTTCATGCTGGACGACTTGACCGTGGGCGACGTCTTCTCTTCCGCTGGACTCCCACTGATGACTCCTTCCACCCTCTGCTGTAGGGACTGATCCTGCGCCTCCTTGGCTGCTCCTCCTCTTGTTGTGACCGGCATCTCAGGATCCATTCAACAAAGGAAAATAATCAATTAACAATTCTTAAATGTTCTCCAATTGGACGTTATAACCTCGGGATGCTCTCCTTAAGGCGAGAGCAAACCACAAATACAGCCGTCTCCGACCAGACGGTGGGCGACGAGGTTCCACAAATAGGTCCAAAACTTCAACTTCCGGATAGACTTGTAATCCGTCGAACTTGCTTATCCGGTTCGCGAGACCAATGTCACGGGAGGCACACTTAACTTGACCAGATATCCTCGTGACAAGCTTACTTATCTGGACTAGTACCTCTTCCGTAATATAACTTTACTTGAAATCTAGACTTTGGCTACTTATGCCCTAAAAATGACTTTGATAATGCTTTCAGCGCTTGACTTGACTTTAGGATGATGAAATCTTAACTTTAACTCGCAATTAAAATAACCAAGCTTGTAAATACTTATTTTTGGAAATTAAAATGGAGCTTTATTTCAATCAAACTATTTGGCATGAACAGCAAAAATCACACTTCCTCTCTCTTCGAGTTCAACTTACAGACTACTTATTTTTTTACAAATGGCTACTTTTTTTTTTTTTTTTTTAAAACTTATTACCAGGCCAACGCGCCCCTTTTCTTCTCATTCACCCTCTTACACTTAATCAATATCCGAATCCTTCAACAACCCACTCAATACATAGGTAATGTACATACATAGGTAATGTACATACGTACATAGGTAATGTACGTACATAGGTAATGTACGTACATAGGTAATGTGTACCGCCATAAGGATCATTTTCTACAATTATAATTACCATTCAAAAAACTTATCGATGACTTATTTCGTAATTCCTAAATGCTAAATGGTGGACAAATTTCTTAAAATAATATTATAAATTATTTTACACTCCCTACGGTCCCACGACAACCTTTGAGTGGGTGTGGCGGGCGCAAATGTGGCCATGGAATTAAACCACTTCAGGGTTGTTGTACATTCGTGGGACCCTACAACATATCCAAAGGGCATCGAGATCCGGGAGTTGATAGTACACAACCTCCCCTCCTAAGTTTTAGACAGAAAAGGACGACAAGAATCCCAGGAGAAATCTCTCTCTCTCTCTCGGGCTAACTCTGCCTGCGTTCCTCTTGGTTGATAAATGTTTAGTTGTACTTGTTCCGCCTCAGTTGACTCCTTTCACTCCATGCCATGCAGCACCATGTAAGGTAGCAGCATGGGAAGGAGAAAGTCGCCATCGCATGTTCAAATATTCCTCCAGCACCAAAAGGACTCAGTTTCAACTTAATTTCGCCCTTTGTGTATTTTTCCACCAACATTCATCCCTAGCATCACGGACAGGGAAATATCTGCTGGGTTGTAAATAGCAGGAGTGGACACCACTGTGGGGCATATGCACGTAGGGGAAGACGACGTGAAATAGATTGAGGCTTAAATCCTAAATTGTTCTTCCTCCTAACAAGCTCATTCGGTCGAGAACAGTTATTTATATTCCGGCTCAACGACTTCACCTTAGAGTCCATTCCTAATTCACATGTCAGCCATTACAGGATAATGATGCGTATTCATCTCATGTGTAACTATTTATGGGTGCGTGTGCGTCCGTTAATGCATCTTCTCATGATTTATGGTTTAAACTTTGATATGCCTTAGATTTATACGAATAATATAAATATGGATTCTGTAGCAGACAGAATCGTATTTGTACGGTTTGTGGGCAGGTGACGATTTTTTATGATGTGTTATTAAGTCGGCAAAACTAAATAACGCTGTTTTCCGAATAATCTTCTTGCATCATCATCGGGCGCTGGGAGGGTTGTTCTCTTGGAACTATACCTGTTTTATTTCAAGGCTTAACTACGTACATACGTACCTGGATAGTTGGCTCTCTCTTTCACTCTTTCTCCCAGAGTGCTCAAGAGAATAATTTTGAGAAAGAAAAGGTAAAACTTTTTTTTTGGATTTGCTCAATGTCTGGATGATAAAAATTTGCAAACTTGGTTGGAGAGTGAAAGTACGTAGAAAGAGAAAGAGAGAGGGCAAGGTTGGAGAAAGCGGTGGTGGTTTTAAGGAGAGAGACGTGGTGATAGTAATAGGAGTTGGTTGTTTAAAAACGCGAGGGGAATCGTAAAATGGTCTTTTGGGATGGAGAAAGCTGCTTTTTCCCTCTCAAAATTTCACCTCTACATCTTCATAAATTGCGTTCTCTTAAAACTATTCCTTTCCCTGGGACTTTTTAGGCGTCTCAATCTTGCTGAATATAAATGAGGTAATAAGGGCAGCAAAGTCTCCTTCTTGTGGCAAATGATTTTTTTCGTCCCTGTAATTTAGATGAGAAATGCAGTGAAAAGTATTATGTAATGAGATGCAGTAATGGTTTACACAAAATGTAAAAATAAAAGCTGTAATCATGTGTATACGTTTATGTACTTTTATTTATCAAATAAATTTTAATTTTTCTTTACGAATAGTCATGTATGTGTATTACCTACGTTTTATATAGAAGTCGTACATGTGTAGGTATAAATAAGTTAGCCTACGCTACTTCTTATTTACGATAAAAATTGGCTAACCAATGCGCAATGCATTGTTTTATCTATTGTGATTTTTTAATAAGTTTGAGGATCTTATAACATTAAGATAAGTAGATTACACAGGATGAAAAGATACTTTCTTTTCGTGGGCTGTGTGTATATAATGTATTTAATACTGTTTCGTGGTATGATGATGGCTTGTGCTTCTCTGATCTCTGAAATTGCAACGATGCGCTCATACTTTGTACATACGTTTGAGGATTATATTGTTGCAAAAATACAATTCGTACTACAAGTATCTACATACACACGTACATACATGCATACATTAAATGTATATATAAATTGTTCTCTGATTGTTATTAACACGAACAGGGTAGCCAATATTGTTTTATATTCAGGAATCGCAATCAAACTATCTAGATACACCAGTGTAATATATAACATTTTATAGTCATTCGTTCATTCATTATACATTGTTTACACATTATTATTTTTACATTATTTGACTTATATAATGCGCGTATTTTGGAATTAGTAAAGAAAGTTTGGCAACATCAATTTCTAAGTCATTCACTAAATATACATATTTTAGCATGTTTGTATCATATTTAGTAGATTCACAGTCAAAATGATTTTCACATTTTGTGCACGCTGATTGATTGAGACCGTATAACGGTTGCGACGTATAGCCCTCATTTGCTCTGCATGTAGAAATGTATGCATATAAAGTTTGAAAAAACTTGAAACCTTAGACGAGGGGTGTGTGAGGATAGAGTTCGTCAGGGACGACCGAGTACCTGATGGGTGGCTCCTTGAGTAAGACACTTTCACTCGTCGAGGGACACCTGACACATCGCCTGACGAACACAAATAGTCCGAAAGATGCGAAAATCGAGATTGAAAGTGAAAAGAAAATGAGGGAGCCGAAGGTAGAATATGACGAATAGCCAACCTCTTCGTCCTCTTCACCTCTGAATAAGGATTCCCCATCGACTGACTGCTGCATCTTCTGATCGCTTTGTGAGGAATCAATCAGGATTGAGGAGCCATAAGAAGTCAGATGATGCCCACCACCAGCCATATCACCCATAAAGCTACTTTCATTACCACCGTTGCCATCAGACGGCAACGACAACGACGCCGAGTGGCTCATTAAGCCCTTCTTCACGTCCACGTCATTATTATTTTTCCTATTTCGAGATCCCCACTTCCCCGTTCGTCGAGGAGAGACGTAATTATTTTCCAGATTTGGCTCATCACGCTCTTGGTCATGGTGGTTGGTGTTATGATTTTCTCCATCCATCTCCTCCTCGGTCATGACTGTAGAAGAGGAATGATTAACACTTTTGGGCAGGGTCCAAGTTGAAGAATTCTTGAACTGGTTGGTTTTTGTTTCCAAATTGGCTGGTAATGACTCTCGTTCTTGCCCTCCGCTACGACCTCCACTGCCTGGAGCAACTTTTAATGTTGAAGCCTCGAGAGGAGTTGATGATGTCATGGACAAATTAACTCCATTCTTGGAGAAGTTGGCTTGATGATCCGCACCACCACCACCACCGCCACTTCTCCACCACTTGGTCGCATTTGGCGAGGCCGTGGTTACTTGTGGCATAATGGAAGACGTGAGGGTGGATGGATGGCGATGATCAGAGTTCCTGGAAGTCATCTTTTCGGTGAGTTGCATGCCTGTCCTCACAACAGCCAAAACTCGGGGTTCTGCTCCTGAATTGAAGTTGGCGTGATTCTGACTTTCTCCAAAAGTGAAAGTCGTATGTGCTTGTGGTAGCAGTGGTTTCCCGTTACTTTCATTATTTACTGGTAATGAGCCACGGCCAACAAGAGATCTCATTTCATTAGCAGAGTCTCCCCGACGACTTTCACCACCAATATCCGCTGCTTCATCTTTGGTCGTGCTTGTTATGGGTGCTGGATGCGGAGAATTTGAGTGTGGAGAATCGATCTTGTTGTTTGTGGTCTCGGGCATTGCAGTTTTCGTCGTCCTTTTTACGCCAAGGATCCTCTTATTCTGTTTCCCTGAAATCACTTGGACATCCACACCGCCAGCTTTAACCGATAAATTATTGGTTTTGTTATAGTTTTTCAGAGTGCTGAGACCAGGATTAGATTTCGATTGACTTGTTTCATGGGTTTTTTCTTCGCGACTGTTCTGTACGTCTGATACTGTTGCTCCGGCTGTTTTTCTGGTTGATTTCTCCGTGTTGTCCATACTGCTCCTGCTGATAGATACCTGATCTCCCTCTCGACTCCTACTTTCACCAACCACTGCCACCACTCCTGCCGAAACCATGTTCATGTAAGAACTTAAGTCTTGAGATTTTGATAATCCACCACCCGCACCTTCCAGCGTCTTCGGTCTTCCGTCCTCGATGTGGTGGTGGTCTAGATGCTCTGTTTTATCTTTTTGTTTGTGACTTTCATCGTCATGCTCCACGTGTTGTTGGCTGCTACTTTCACCAATAAAAGGTTTTGTATTTGGATTGGTAATGGAGATTTGTGAATGGATTCTTTGATCGTGCACCCGATCTTTCTCTTGTTCTGGGAATGGCGTTTTATCCGTATTCTTCTTTTGCTTTCCTTTAGTCAACATTTCTACCAAAGACAAACTCTGCGTCTTTGTGATGGCCACAAGAGTTTCATTTCTCTCCTTCAACAGCGATTTATCGGGAAAATCAGTTGAATTAATCAAAGTTGGAGCGTCTCTGGATGGAAGGAAAACGGAGCGATCAGTGACAATGGTGATCTTAAAGTGACCATCGGGGTAGGGATCTTGGAAATTGTAGAGCTTTGTAAAAGAGCGTGGGTTGACCATAAACGTCGTGTGCTCCTTTCTTTTGTCCTCCCCAGCACCACCACTGCCACTGGACGAGGAGGGAGGAGGGAAGACAACGGAAAGTTTGTAGAACGATGATGTGTGTTGAAACGCATGAAGGCTGGAACCTCGCCAAACATTTTCCACCGGGGTGATCTGGTTTGATGAATGGTCGTGAACCCACAGATCTAAAAGTTTGTTGTACGCAAGAAAGATCACAGATTGATTGTCACTTCGTAATGCGTGAAGGGCGGAACGCCCCAACTGCCACACTTTTCTGTCATGGAAAAATGCGTTATTTAAGTGAATCGTTCCAAGTGAGTGGATAGAACTTGTGTTGGGGTCAAATAGGAATAGGGACCGGTCCAATAAATTGGTCTTAGTTGGACATAAGATGTAGAGGAAGACCGAGTCGCTTACACTTCGGCAGTTGCCAGCACGGATTTGTTCAACAGTAGCTTTGCTCATACTGCTCAGGTTTACTTCCGGCATTTTCATCCATTCTCTGAAAAAATCAAGATACGGCATAGATTGTGCATAGTTTTGCTGACGACAACGATAGTGATTAGAATAACTTGTCCTTAAATTTACTATTTTAGGCAATATACTTATACATTATTTGTAATACAATATTACCTAGCAGTCAAATCGAATTTCCACCAATTTACTAGCAGATTCCTCTCCACACCAACACCAAAAGTGGTGGTAGCATTGCTTCTGGCATTGCTAAGGGTGCTGGCTCTTGACGTGAGAAATACTTCAGCCCCACTTTGGTTCTCCTGCTGCTGCGGTTTCATGGCTACTTTCTCCTCTCCTCCTTCGATACTGCTACCATTGTCTTCCGTCGTCCTTTTCTCATTATCTTCTTGTATGGTGTTGCGTTCACCGCCTCGCAATTTTTCTGGCTGACCCTCCCCTTGTGAATTGCCACCATTTTTCATCCATTCTGGAAGTAGGAGGAATGGAGTTGCGAGAGAAATATGAGACTGAGTCGAGTTGCTGCTGGCCTTTCCCATTTTGGCATTAGAACGACGAGACGACTCTTCTTGTTCTGAGAAATTTCCTTGTTGACTTACTTTGGGGATTTGGCTCTGGGAAATGAAAGTGGTGGAGGATGTGGATGAAGAAAAAGTAGACGTTGGTTCGCCGCTGGCCACAGATGATATCTCACGTTTTGGTTTTGACGTTATCGAAGGAGGTCCCGAGACTGGTGGGAGTAGTTGGAAAGCCATGATCTGCAATTATTTTATTTTACTTATTATCTGGCAGTTTTAATCATTGCACATATCTTGATCACGTATGCATTAGGAAAAAATTTATTTTCGTAAACCTGATCACTGCAAATGAAATACAGCCAACGTAGAGTTTGCATGATACGAATTTGATGTATAATCTTACCGAGTCTTGGTTGCACCAGAGAATAGGTTTGTGGGAGAATTGTGGACAAAAATCAAATGTTGAGTTTCCATCGGGCAGACATGCATCCTGAGTTAACCAGCAAAATTATATTTTAAACAACGCCTCAGCTTATCGAAATAAGTAATTCATATGGTGTGATACACTAATACTAATAATGCATTCACGCATCGGACTTGTACATTGACTTAAAATTGTTTCACTCACACAGCAGATGTATGAAGTCCACTGTAATCCTCCTTCCTCTTCCGCTGCCATCGTCGAGTTACAGGACGAACGGCGCCTACCTCCTCCCGTTCTGCGGCACCCACTTCCGTCTCCTCCAGATTTTACTCCTCTCTTTCTTGGCAACGCTTTGAAACTTTTTGGAATGTCGGACACCCACACAACTCCATCCTCGCTAAACAATGCGTTGTTGTTGTCCGTCGCTGAGGATGCAGTATTTGCACCACCGGCCCAATTTTGTCCTCCCTTAAATAGAGCCAGATGTCCGCTACTTTCACTCCCACACATGAGCGGAAATACCACGTCTTCCTGATGCACAGACAGCGGGCCGTCCCCATCATTCTCTGGACGATAGACAAGTTTCCAGTGCGATGGGTCATCCCGATCTGCGGGGGTGCTACCTTTTGGGAATGATGGAGGAGGAGCATACACCCACAAGTCACCTGCGTAAATTTGAAAATGTATTTAAAATTTAATACTTTTGCTATCTAAATTTGAATTATTAAATACCCGGAATCGTTGATATTAGATTATTATTTTGAAGGGTTACTCACTTAAGTAGTTCACAGGTGCACTTTGGTTGGTTGTGGGTCCTTGTCCACCAAACAGCCACCAGTTCCCATTGGTGACATCCAGCCACGTTGCAGGACCAATTCTTCGTGAAGGGGACAGATTATAGGGATCAGCAAAGGCAAACTTGTGAAATGATGACGGAGAAAGTTGTGGCGTCTTTTCGGATGGAGTATCAAGCTCGGCCAACCCACTTCCCAGATATTCCCATTCTGCAACAGACCCAACCACAATAACAATATCAATTATTGCACTGGAATACAGTCCTCGATTCTCTCTTTTACTGTGCAGGACGGACAGGCAATAACGTTCGCTTTCATGAGAATGCAACTCCATTTAACAGTTTTTCTTTGTACTGTAATAAAACCTAAATGCCCATAATGCGTCCCGTGGACTGTTTAGTTTTGCTATTATTGCAATACTCCTTTGAACTTGTAAATATTTACGAAACCTTAAATAAATCGTTAGAGTGAAGGGCTGCATGGAAGAAGGGAAGAGAAAGTCGGGTCACTAAATTTTAGTGTATTCACATAGTAAGTACATTCAAGTTTAACGAATCTAAGCAGTTCTAGTACTTTGTTTAGATGACATTTATATTCCTCTTTTTGTATGTATGCACGTCATATTTTTGAGACTAACATGTTTGCATGAGATCTGTGGTTGTTCAGTGTACACAAAGTTGAGCTCTAATCCATCCATTTTGAGCCAAAAAGTTCAATCTGGAAGTACATAGATGTTAGGAGGGGGAGTCAGCAGTATCTTAACAGTTGTCATGTATGTGACACCAATTTATGCTAATCGCTCCCACCCGTCGTAACAATATGACACACCATTTTTATCCTTCTATCGCCAAAAAACTTGCGCCATTAGACGTGTACCATTAGGTGAACTACATGCAAGTCAGCTTTTCAAGTTAGATTGTGTCGTAGTTTAAAAGTTCATTCCCTTTCTTGAGACTTGGTGAACATGTTGGACCCAAAAAGGAGAGAAACGACAGACAACTGCGACGCAATGTTTCGAAACACACAGACTTTGAGATGTTTCCTATATGTGCATGAAATAGGAAAATTGAGAATACCAAACTCTACAAATTCCCAAGCAGGTTGATCATTTGTGTATTTTAATTTTATCATAAATATCATCTTAAATATCATTCGAACATGAGAACGAACTCTATGCACCGCTCGTCCCACTCACTTATGTACTTGTACGATGAATCACTTCAGTCCACTCGCTCACTCACCCTCTCTTTTTTTTCAAAGTGAAAAGTTTGTATCCAGTCTGAGCAGAATATAAGTTAAATTGAGTACAAAGAGTGGTTTTAAGACCTTTGTAATGGCTGTGTAATAGCAAAATAAGGAGAAGAAAGAAACAAAAACTTTCCTTGTTCTCCTTCCCGAAATCACCGAGTTTACCAAGAATCTGCTGCTCCTGGTGCTGGACCGGACCATATCATTCCTTCTCCCATTTCCTCTCCTCGCACTTCCACTTTCCCCGTGATGCTAAGACCCAGGTCTGCATTCCCTCATTTCGGAGAAAGTCTACTGTCTCCATTTCAGAGACTCCAAACCCGCGGAGGCAGCGGAGGATCGTGGAGCAGCACAATGTGTCGCACTTTACTTTGCTTTTAATATAATCAGAGTGACAACTTGATTCCTTTGACTCTCGACGGGACGACCAACACTACTCGGAATTTCAACCCAACATCCGCTCCTTTCTCCGCACCATGCAAATCATGGTAATGGGACTGCCGCGTATTCATTAATTCGGTTTCTTTATGCAGCCTTTAAGATATGTCCTTCTTCATCATTACTGTTCTCTAATAGAGTTCGTGGAAATAATTAAGCTTTGTAACTTGAATGGAAAGTAAATTACGTTAGGATATCAGATATAAAATCTGACAATCTATCTGTGTGTATTAGCCAGATTTTCTTCTTCCTTTTTCCCATCAATATAATACCCTAGTCGGTTCAATGTTAACAAACTCTAATATTCATGAAAAGTCACAATTGTGTGTCAATGTGACTGAACTTCTGCTACCGAAGTAAAATACATATTGTACCATTTATCACACCTCCTGGGTCACGGGCAGGTCACGACCCCAAGTAATTAATACATTTGTACTTTTTCACCCTTTCCCAACGATACTGCATTTTATATTTGTTGTTAGCATTCACATTGTTAGTATTTGGCGATTTGGGTTCTTCAACTTTACTAGTCAGAAGTTACAGGGTCCATTAACGAACGCTTACTTCCATGTCCGTTCTCGATTTCCGAAGATATAAACAATACCATTAGAATTGTTGGTGAAAGTGCAGATATAATGAAAAATCCTTAAAATTACAGGTTTCTATCATACAAGAAGTTTTTTTAGGCGGCAGGTATCCACTTAACTGGAGAAAATAATGTCTGCACATCTTCTCGAAAGTTGACACAACGGCATTTGACTCCTTCGCCAGCAGTGTCGTGTTCCTTTGCCGAGCATCTGAGCCACATACTTCTTTAGTTTTAATAGAATGGAAGGAAATGTACACCAAACCAGTGGCATCTATTAAACCCAGTCATTTTCTCTCTCCACCAAACCAACTTTAAAAACTTTGTCGTCGTCGCCCTTCCAACATTTAATTTCGAGTGGAAAAGTGCCTTCATCCCCACAAGAAAGAGGGAAGTCTATCTTCGTGGAATATAAATTTCCATCAAGCGCAGTCAGTGGCTTATATACAAAACTTAGTTTAGCAGGTCGTCGTAGACAAAGGAGACAGGACGAGCTCTCACTTTACTGCAAAGACCAGCGCTTTCTCTTCTCTCTCTCTCAGGACCAGCCGTACGATGCAGTCCGTAGCCGGTAACGGTGGGCACAATCTTTGTATCTAAATCGCCCTATTACCTTTCCTTCTCTGTTTTTAAACTAGGTCAATTTTGGCAAATAGGTGATTGGCAAATATGGCGGTTAACACAAGCTGGGTCCTTTTTATGTTCAGTTTTGTGCCAAAAAATATGATCCAGATTATTTTTTTTATTCAATAAGAGCAGTCGTTAATGCTAGGAATTTTTTTGTAATATGATATCTGCATACATCGCCTTTCTGTTGATGTGACCACGCCAGATAAGAAATCGCCACACACCACAAAGCCTTGCCTTATATTATATTCACAGCATACCACATCAACCATCATTTAAAGGAACACAGTTTTAAATGGCTTTCCTGCTCCTCCACTTTCTTCTACCCTATTTGACCTTCTTTTTGGGAGAGTGAGCATATTATCAGGATTATTTCTCCCAACTTTCTCCTGGTGCTGTGCTGCCTCATTTAGGGAAGGAGATTGTGTTGTTCGTCTGAAACAATAAGCCTGACGTTCATTGTTTTCCTCGTAGATGATGAGGAGGATATACCCATACGTCCCAACACAAAACTAGGAGCAAAAAGTACAAGGTTGATGAATGTCACCTTGGGTCTCCAGTTGTGTAATTCTCCTGCTTAAGAGTCTTGACAGGACTTTGCAACTTTGGCACGTGGAAACGTTGAACTGTAAAGTGAAATAGGGTCTCAAAGGAGAGCATACTTATGTGCTCATCATTCCTTCCTCAAGCAACACCTAGGTAGAAAAGTTACAGCTACAGGCTGCTCAAAGTGACAATCCTCATACTATTTACATACTGCCTTGTACGGTAGCACGTATATAAGTATGTGTACCTTGTACTTGTATATAAGAAAATCCGTTTACAGCTAGGAAATAGTTACAATGTGCTTCGTCACAGCAGAGCCGTGTATCTGTGTGTGATGGCCATTATATTCAGAAAAAAACTTGAAAAGCTGTTTGATAGATCATCTATACATACATATATGTATGCATATGTACATGTGAACTTATGTATGTATTTCTTGCTAGTCCAACTTTGGGGATAAGAAGACACATTTCTTTAAGTTGTCACAACTTCAGAAGTAGGACGCAAACCCATCAATTTGCTTGAATTTGTTTCAGAAATTCAAAACTTTACTTTCCCCTACAACTTACTTACGTATGTTGTTCAGAGCTAGATAAAACAGGTGAACATGCAAGAACGTGAAAATATTGCGAACCATAAAGCTAAACTAGATCGAGAAGCATCGACTTGAACTGGTTTGAATGAAAAAGCTAAAATAGGCTTATTTAAAGTAGAACACTGTTCAATTTCCTAGAAACTCGTATTTTAGTGATACACCCAAAATGGAATAAAGAAAATTGGAAGTTGTAGCTTTAAGGTTTTGTTTGCATAACCGCAAATTGTTAGTGCAAGATGAAAATGTGTAAACACAATTCAAAATGACTTCATTTTCTTCAGACTGAAACTTTATTTTAGCCATAGAACGAATTCCATGCGTATTTATGTACATGTTCTTGTTCGCAAAGTACTCCAGGTACATTTGCATACGAACTCATTTAATTGAGGTTCTGTTCTCCCGTAATTATTTTCACATTCTCCGTCCAATAGTTTACCGTCTACTCTTGGAAACGGTACAAAAATGTAGCAAATACAGGTTTTTGTAGCGTTCTGAATAAGACCGGGTAGAAGATCGAGAAAGCAATTTATTTCCAGAGGAACATCTTCATTTTACTTTATATGAAAGTTTACATCTAACAATTTGCCCACAACTTTTCGTGAAAATAACAAGTTGACACACTTCCCTGAGGTAGTTGGAACATGTACAGAAGTCACCCTACCACAAAATCAAAGAAGGAAAAAAGAGAGAGCCAGGAGGACGAAGAGTTGTGCGTTTCGTGGCGGTCGGTTGGTTGAGGGAAGAAGAAAGTCATATTAAATGTATCATGTCGGATGTGATGTGATAGAGCATCGTCGTATGTAATGTCTGTTCGGCTGTTGTTTCCCGTCCCAGTATTAGAGAAAACATGACGGCGATTCCCAAGGGTTTTATGGTCCATGGCTTTTCAAGCCTTGTAATTGCGGACGTGTGTGTGGTGTTGCCTGAGAGAAAGTCGAGCAGCACTATCATTCCTCATACATTACAGCTACCAGCCAACCCTATTACCACACTCCTACATCTGTCTCATGCATTTTGCATCGCTCTTGAACACACATCAAAAGCACATATTTGTAGTAAGAGAACAGGATTGAATTTAACCAAACCACATCTGCGGAGTGGACTTTACTTTCGCAAATTCAATTTATAATTACTGACTTCATGGTGGTACGACAACCTAATCTCTTTTGC